CACCCCTGGCAACAGGCTTTTTCAATGAAGAATATGCCTCATTAGATCGCTGCTTGGCTTGAACAATAGACTGTTTCAATGAAGAATTTGCCTTTAAAATAGGATAAGGACCATCTTTAACAAGTGGTGAGTGACATTCATCATCAAACAAGGAGCTTAAAAACCCACTATCAAAGTCATCTCCCACAGATGAATCCCCGCTATTAGCTAACTTTTTAGCCATAGCCCTAGTAACAGCACAAGCAGGATATATATCAGAGTCCTCTTGGACAGAATCCTCAATAGAACAAGGCTGATCTGAAACAATGGGGTCTAATGTTACCTTTCCCCCAGCTAAATCATTGCCTAAAAGCAATGCGACTCCTTCAACAGGAAGTTGTGGCCTAACACCAACAATAACTGGCCCTTTGACTAACTCCGATGTGATATGAATACGATGGAGGGGAACTTTAGTAAAACCTAATTCAATGCCTTGCATCAAAATATGGGTACCTGTGAATGACTCCTCAGATAAAGGAAGGACACCTTCTAACAACAAAGTCTGAGATGCACCCGTGTCTCTAAGAATCTTAATTGGCTTTGAATTGGTACCATCACTTGACAGTGACACAGATCCTTCCGACATGAAAGGCTTATAATCCTCCATAATATCACTATGAGTGGATTTCTCAGTATGAGTATATGAATCCCAAACAATGGGCTTTCTTGAAATGGGAACTGTAGCACAACCATTTGAATGAGCAGAACCAGACATCTCTCTTCTATTCTTAATCCTATAGCATTCAGAAATAAGATGACCAGGCTTTTTACAATAATTACAGGTGACATTTGATTTTGGACCTGAAGAATTTAATTGATCTGATTTTGAGCTAGAACTCTGTGATGAATTAGACTGGTCTTTTGCTTTGTTTGATGTATTTGATGATGAGGACTGATTTGATTTAGAGTCATATGAAGGTTTGTTACCCTGATAACCTCTAAAGTTTGAGTTAGGATTACCTTTGATAAAACTACCCTTATGAGTAAGAGCATAATCATCAGACAGGGTGGCAGCTTGACTTAAAGTTTCTACCTTGTGTTCATCTAAGTAAGTTCTAATGTGATACTGAACACAGTTTTTAAATTGTTCTATTAGCATAAGCTCTCTGAGCTTTTTAAACTCTTCAGATACATCTTTAGAGACAAGCCACCTGTCAAAAAGCTGCTCTTGCTCTCGAGCAAACTCAACATGGGTTTGGTCACTCTGTTTGTGGGCATTTCTAAATTTTTGTCTGTAAGCTTCTGGCACTAGTTCATAAGCTTTAAGAATTGCATTTTTAATAAGGTCATAATCAGAGCATACTTCTGCTGAGAGAGAGGCAAATATTTCACTTGCTTTACCAATGAATACACTCTGAAGCATAACTGGCCATGCAGATTTAGGCCAGTCTAGGCTCTGAGCGACTTTTTCAAAATGTGTAAAGTATTTATCAACATTTTTCTCTTGAAATTTAGGTACAAATTTGAGAAATTTTGAAGCGTCAAACCTATTTTCAAAATGTTGATGCATAGTAGCATGTTCATCAGTTTTGGATTGAGCTTCTATCTCAAGACGTTTCAATTCAATTTCTCTTTGAATTTCTTGTTCTCTTAATTTTATTTCTTTTTCACTTTGAATTTCTAACTCTTTTTCTCTCAATTCTCTTTCATTTTGCAATTCTTTCTCTCTCATTTCATTTTGTAATTTGAGTTCAAGTTCTCTCATTTGTAATTGCTGTTGAAATTCAGTAGGATCAACATGCTGGGTTGGCTCTACAGTAAGCTTTAATGCTTCTTCTGGTAATATTTCTTCCGCCACCAAATATGGCACCAGAATATTTTTTATTGCACCTTTTCGGTATGAAGTTTTTACTGCCAAACCAACATGTTTTGCTAGTGCCAGAAGTTCAGTTTTCTTTAAACTGTCAAATTCCTCCAAAGAGGGCGATCCTAAAAATGTCTCAACCTCAAAACTCATTTTCAATTAATTGCTGTCTTCACAATTTAAATGTACAAGTTTTGGATTTCGAATTTTGAAATATTTGAATTTTAGCTTGTTGTAGTTGTATCCCGGACGAGCCCCCAATTTCTGTTACGTTCGAAAATAACAGAAAGTAAAAACAGCAATTAAAATATGATAACAATATATTTATGTTTTGAAAACTAAATAATATAACAATAATATAAAGGAGGTTTAATACTTAAGTGATGTTCAATCAATGATACGGCTTATTCTTGATGTCGATAAATGTCGTTGACGATCCTTGAGAATGTTCCAGATCACGAAGGTTTCAATAATCGTTAATGTTCTCCAATGTTTGTAATAATCCAATAATGTTTGTCGTAATTCTATAATGTTCGTATCCAATAATGTTTGATGATAATCCACAAATGTTTGATGATAATCCACAAATGTTTATGATAATCCACGAATATATATGATAATCCGTATATAATGTATGTTGTAATATATGTCCATATAAAGTCCTCAGGTTGTGTGTTTGTAGTGTTATAAATGTTCCCACAGTATGTGTCTGTTATTTTCTGCTAAGAAGATGTCCTTTGATCAACTTTGAAATTCTGCTTTATTTAGTTCCTTTGAGATGTCCAGTTATGATTACTTAATTATCTGCTACTGAGTCCACTTTGCAGTTTTATTTATAGTGTGAAAGAATCATCTAGAAAGAATCTTCTGGAACTGAGACTACTTGTTGAGTTTTGATTGGACATCTCCAGTCACATGATTAAGTCTTAATGAATGGTTATATTTTCTAGAACTCTCTGGATGGTCAAGAGTTAACGAGTCATTCAGTTCAGTCCTGTTTACAAGATACAGTGTATAATGTCATTGTGACCTTGACCCAAGATCTCTAATAAAGATCAGTTACAGTATATACATATAGATAAACTAAACTTAATGTGAATATAATAAAACATAATACTGTAACACTAAAAAATCTGGAAGTTCAGTAGGTAACAATAGATATTCTACCACAAGAGATTGTTGATATCTTAACACTAGGGGAAGAATCAGAAGATGACCCAGAAGATATACCCTATAAGATCCAAAATTATGTTGATGAGATTTATAACTAATCCTGACTAGCTTTGCCCCCCATCCCCACATTCGAACCCCCCCCCCCAGCCTGTTGGAATAACATCAAGACTTAAATGTGTTTTCCAGAAATGCTTAATATGAATTAAGGTAATAGAAATTCAGTATAATTGTACCTCATAAGTTAAACTCCATATTTATAGAAAATGGTAGTAATCTATTATCATTATGAGGGCAAAGCCCATCTTTGATCACATTTGTATTGTAATTGTATGGTCTTTGACACTTTCCAATAATGTAAATTGCAATATCCTATATATTGAGATAAATCAGAACAAGATCCAAAAGATGTACCACATGAAACTAAAACTTTAAATATGAGTTTTATATAAGGCTGGTTACCTCTACCCCCATGTACCCCCCCCCACATACCCCCCCCCCCATCCCTAGCATGATGTAATACCTACAACACTTATATGTATCTACCAGAATTGCTTGATATAGATTATGGTAATAGAAGTACATTATAATTGTATCTCAAGTCAACTTAAAATCTGTATTTAACGGTAATGGTAATCACCTTCTATTATAAGGGCGACGCCCACTTTTGATCACCTATGTAATTGTATGGTCTTTGACACTTACCAATCATGTGAATAACAATATCCATTATATTTAAACAAATGTCTGAACTGTCCTGATAATTTTTAGAGTACTAACATGTTCTGATATCTGTTGATTTGAAAAATAATGCATATTCTGTATGATGTAGAGGTAAAGGTTTTACCTAAATATGGACTTTTTCAACAAAGATCATGGTTTCCATGACAACCATTAATGGCAGATCATTGAAACTTTGCATACTAGTTAAGAATGATATTAACAACTTCCAGTAAAGTTATTGTGATGATTAAGGATCAACTGAAAAAGTTATTCAAGGATAATAAAGTACCCCCTGTTATTTTCTATATTAGGGTCTAAAACCCCACTTTGGCAACTTTCGCCCCGGATACGGCGCGTCAGACAAAAAAATTCTGAAGTATCACATAAAAATACATAAGAAACAAGTAATTTCAATTTGTTCACTGGTAAAAACATTTTTGTGTCCTAGCTTACTACCTAGTTATGATTGAAACAAAATGTAACAATTGTTGTACAATTATATATTATAAATGTTTGAATTTGTATAAATGTATATACTGATTTTTAAGGGATGAAAGCATGTAATACTAGATCTAGCATTATGTACATATATTTTTATATTATATTAATTTCTCTAAAAATGTTAATAAATTTGTTGAATCTTAATTTGAATACTGTTTGTCTTGAGTAAAATGTGCAGTTATATATAATAGGTATATTAATTTCATGATGACTAATTTCCATTAACAGAAACTTCATAAAGTTACGAATTCGTAAATCAATTGTTGTTACCTTGGATATAATGACGTCACAGTTAGAGAACAATGGACTTTACAAATTCTTAACTTTATGAAGTTTCTGTCAATGGCCCCCAGAATCCACATTACGCACTAACATGACTGAAGTCTAATATATTTTCACATATAGCTACATGTAGCTTTGGCATGCATTACTAGGTTTTAGAGCTTTTAATTGGTCCATTGCCATTCATTATTGGTCTATTGCCATTCATTACTAGTTAATGTCACTACGACATCAAGTGATGGCATACATGTATTCATTCTGATATGACAAAACATTATTCAATGGTTTCACTTGAAATAGACAATATCGTGAACATGCCCATTTCTGTCGTATATTCACATCATTCTTGTTACTTGCTAAAGTATTTTAAAAAGTTAGTTGACACTTGAGTATACAAAATATCATTGATGTCCATGATGGTATCTAAAATAGATTTCACTTTGGTAGAAAATGAGTGATAGCAACTCCTAACTTCTCTACATAGAATACTGCTTGGAATACAATGACCTGATGCACTATAAGGTATTTTCATCCAATGCATGCATGTACTCGGAAGATTCTATTGAATTATTAAGTTTCAACAATTTACTGACAGGATCTCTCAGATTGTGAGAATTTTAATTAGATATATATGATCAAAATCTCAAAGCCAAATGTTCATCGGAAAGTAGTCGAATTTGATCAAAGTTTTGAATTGAATGTTCACTAACAACCAGTACCAGTTGAAAAATACATTTACAACTAAACTTAACGCAGGGTTGTTAGCCTCACTCTAAAATTAATGCAGATGGTAATGAATCTCCAGGAACCCAGTATAATAAAACAAACAAACAATGTTGTCATCATATGATGACTATGATGTCATCAATCAAATCTTCCAATGATACCCTAGCAACAGTTACCATAAAGAATCTTCACACCTATTGTGATGTCATACACCTAAAAATCTGACCACATTGCTTTTATAGTGACATCACACATGTTACTAATAGACACAATGTTTACAAAATTTATTGATTGTTGCTACAACTTAGAAAATCATTCTGAATCTTGACTTTGACCTGAAAACAGCTTGAAATAAGAGAAAAGACAAAAACTCAACAGGATTTATATTCATAAGCAGATAAGATGCTATTTGGACTTGTTGTGGTGGTTTATGCAGTGCAGATGGTGTTTCGTGGAAAGGAGGACCCAAAAGACAAAAAGCAGAAGAAAGGTAAACAATATTCTTTCTTTAATTTCTTAAACAAGGTTATATCAGCTGAACAGAACATTCTCATTATCATGTATCAATGAGGCTCAAATATATCATTTATGTGATTTTTTCAAACATGCTTCTTTCGGATTTTTCAATACGAATTCTCCATAACCAGATAACCTAACTCAGAAAAGCTGAGTGTCAAAATCAATTTCTTTATTTTCCAGGCGATGTGAAATACCGATTGCTGAAAAGTAAACAGCGGCTGGCCAAACTGACTGAACTCAACAAAGTCTATGATGAACAAAAGGAAAAGCTACAGAGAGAGATTGGTGATCTCAAGGGCTGCATTGATTTCCAAAAGAAGATCATTGATGATAGGAAAAAAGAATTTGAACACCTGGAATCAGTTTGTGGTATATGTCACTGCAATGACTGTATAGAGGCTGACATCAAAGCCAATAGAAAGGCAGGTCTAGCCAAGAAAGTTCACCCAAAAGAAGAGCTTTGGATTGAGTAAGGAATTATGCAATGAAGATGATGATGGTCTCAGGAATCATACAATGATGATAGGATTTCTCAATAGAAATTCTGAGATCTGGACTCAGGTGACCCATATATGGGCACCAAGATATTGAGCAGAAAAGACATTAGTATTCTATTTATAGATGCCACACAATAGTTCTCAATCTCTTCCCCTTGTTTCTAAATGTATCAACGTGTTTCCAATTCAATAAATAAAAATTCTTTATTCTATTACATTTGAGTTTCATTATGTGAATAAACAAAAGTAAATTTTGAATGAAACAGCATCTTTAATACATGTAATATGATGTGAATTACAAATAAGAATTAATGATATAAATGTATTTCTTAACTTCATCAGATCATGTCAATTCTAATATGGCAAATCAAATTAAATCTCCCGAAAATTTGCCAAATAAAAAAGTACCAAAATTTAATTAAGTAGAGAAACAGTATATCTTCATATATCTGCAAGAATTAATCCCTGCTTCATTGAATGCATTAACCAGTGATGAAATGAGTGTTTTTAATCACATTCACTGTGAACTACCATACAGTAACAATAGGACAAATAAGTTTTATTTTTCTATTTTTACATTTATTTTTTACTTTTCTGTAATGAAGTATTGTAACAAGCACAACTGCCATCTATTAGCTTGCATCAACTATTCACTCCCATTAAAACAAATATTCTATTGAAATATACATGTGTTGATATTTTTTAAGATTGAAAGTTTCAATTGATGTCCATAAGTAAGTTAACATTCAAATATCAGAGACTTTAATTTAGCAATATGACATGTGATCAATCACCTTTGGCAAAATAAAATGAACATGATACAATATGTCAAGATTTCAACCATTTGATAAAAAGACTGCATAGAGCGCAAATGGGAGATGTCACCTGTAAAGCTTCTTTTCTAGACGATGTGATCTCATGCAATGTTTGAGACAGCAGAGTCGTATACTATTGTCCGATAAAATCAAACTGACTGTATCTACAGTCGTAATATATGTACAATGTGCATAAATAATCCATTTTTCCTTCCTGCTCAGCGTAAATTGAATTCCTAATACTTGCTTATGTTAATGCTTGCTCTCAGCCTGTGATGCTTGTACACATTTAGCCATAGTACTGGAGGCTCGACTGATTGGGTCAGTCATGTAAAAGTCTGATAGGTTTTGTTGGGGCGGAGAAAGAGGTTCATTGGCTAGTTGTGACTTAACACCCTGGAACATAGAAGAAAAAAAATGCTATATCAATTTTCAAACTTCGATATTCAAACAAAAAAAGGGGTTAAATCAGTTTCAAAATGAATTGATATATGGACCATCATATTATCTTATAACACATGAAATTCCTTTAATGTAAACAAGTTTCAGTCAAGTGGTAAATTAGAACTATTCTAATGTATGTTTCACTTACCTTTGAGAGTTCATTAGATTGTTTAAAATAGTTGGCTTCTTCTACATCATTATAGCGTGTAAGGTTTGGTGCAATTTCAGTCATTCTGTGTCTCACTTCCTTCAAACTTTCATAGGGCAGTGTCTTTCCAAGGATCTTAAAGATTCGATAATAAGATCATACATTATGAGGATTTTTGGTATGTGGAGTAGATGACATAACAGCACAAATAAGCCAAGATGATGAAATGTAATCAGTGAACATCTTTTAAATCAAAAACTAAGTTATAGACTTCCAAAACTTCTTATAGAATTCCAAAACTTCTTACAACTTTTCAGTTTCATAATATGAAGCTTTTAACCAATTGCATCAGTGAAAACCTTTCTAAAAGAAATCTTGCAAGAACCAGAATTCACAGGCTAAATATCCCGAGTAAGCAATGAACTCACCTCTGAAAGTGCTCGTAATATTTTCCAATCTGTTCTAGCGATGCCTGGTGGCGTGACAGCAAGCTGAGTTTTCTGTGCCCGACCTTCCATGTTGACATAAGTGCCATCTTTCTCTGTGTAGGCAGCCCCTGGGAGAATCACATCAGCCATAGATGCCCCTTGGTCTCCATGGTGACCTATTAAATAAGATGATGAATTAGGCTTGTGATGAAAAATGTTACGAAAGAGATATGACCAAATAATGCAAGTTATCTGTAAATTTTGCAGATACACTAAGTAGATTTTGTCTCTCAAGTTACAAACACTCCATATCATTTTATACAAATTCTTAATTCAACATTTCTAGAAAACACCAAAATATCCTACACCAAGTATCCTACTTTTGCAGGAAATTCCAAATTTAGTTAAAAATATAACGTTCAACTGAGAGCAGTGCTGCATTGATTTAAATGTGTTTGTTGAATAGAACTTCCTAGTTAATACAACAACATACCTTGGTATATGACAAATGCATCCTTGGGCAAGTCCTCTCTGGAGATAGTACCCTCATCAGCTCCTAGCAGGAAGAGTATATTGGGGGGATTCTTACGTATTGAGCCTACCCCTGCCTCGTACCCAAGATCTAAGGCAGCTACTTGACTAGCAACCTGAAATATGCAGTAGAATGATGATGATTAGTGTATATTTTGAGATAACAATTTTAAACAGTTCTCTTGATCATATATTGTGTACTGCATAGCATCTCTAATATCAGTAGTTTCACTCTAAAAAATTTACATGGAAAATTGCTAAAATACCAGAATACTTTGTTTAGGTTTATGATGTAATCATAACACTTCACTGAATACAAGTCTTTTTTACACAGATAGATGTATAGACAGATAGTTAATTTACATCATTGTTCATTATGAAAGATCAACATTTCTCCTCACCCTTTGGAGGACATTGAGAACTTTCCAGTCCTCTCCTGCCCCACTTGTTGACCTCGCTTTCTGAGCAATAGAGGTCACTGCACTGTGTACAGCAGCGCCATCTGATCTTTGAAGGGCAGAGCTTCCCACTACAACCATTGGTCTCTTGGCTTCATTTAAAACCTGGAATATTACAATTAAATAACAATATACAAAGCATCAAAATTATTAATTTCAACCAGCTACACTAAGAAAATACTATGTAATAAGTATCCAAATCCAATATCCAAACATATTTGCTTACTTTGGAAAAGGGATGGGTTCCATTAGCTAATTCTTCTAAAACTTTTGTTGAATCTCCCAGATGTTCATAATCATAGGTAAGGTCAACAGGTGAGCCTACAACTGCGACTTGGAGGTCATTATGAAGCCAACTCTTCCTGGCACGGGCATTAAGGAGAGGGGCCTCATAGCGAGGGTTGGTGCCCACAAACAACAAGACATCTGCTTCTTCTACACCAGCTATGCCAGTGTTCAGGAGGTAGTTGGATCTCAGATCAGTTCTTGAAAATAAAACAATATTCTTATGAGTCATTTAAGAAATCTTCGCACCAATAAATACATTATAAGAAGTCTCATGAGAGAAATATTCTCATCAATGTACAACCATGTACATGATATGGAAAACCTCATGTCATCGAAGTAAAAATTTAAGACAAGGCACTGACAAAAAAATGCCACCATCTGCCATTTGTTTCCGATACCGAACACTGTTACAGGCACCTAGTGCTGAGCACTGTCCACAAAAAAGTTGAGGACATAACAATGTGTCACCGTGGTGGAGACATAAAAATGGTGTTACATTTTCTTCTTGAATCATTTTTTTATTTGAAATACAGATATTCCAGGCATGAATGCAATGAAGCTACGTCTTGTGAAACTGATTCTGTCTCCTTAGAACCTTGCAGTAAATGAACTTACCCTGCACCATCCATGGGGAAGATTTCTTCAGTACACAGAGTCTCACATCCAAGTCTGTTCATTAGGTCTTTGAATGCAGTTAATGACTCAGCATCTACCTGACCACCAACTATACCAGCTATGCTGCCACCACTACCAAGAAGCTGAAATTAAGACAATTAGCAGTAAGATAGGGCTGATGTTGTCTTTCACTACTGTCAATGTTTAAAATAATGAAAATTGTTTGGGCCTTCAATCTGTCAATCGAACTTAGCAAATATCTTGATATATTGATTCTGAGGCCATTAAGGAATCATTGACTATTGCCAATACAAATTAATTGAAAATACTATATCAGCTTTATGAGACTCATCCTGCGTGATTTGTGTAGCTTGCTTGAAATACAGAAAGTATTTAACAGAACAACATATTCGCATTCTTATAATATGAAGCAGAAAGACTTTGCAATGTAACTATAGCAACAGAGTATAACTTGAGATGATATCTAAAAGTTTCGGCATATTTCATTTAATGTACAACATGGAGTTAAGATCAGCATTTCGTCTTTTATTTATTAATGGAATAAAATTAAGAAGGAAATCCTTTGATTTTCTCATATTATAATTTGTTTGCAAGTATAACCCCCTCTCATTATACCCCTTAAAATCATAGGATATCCTCTTAATAACTGAATTTGAGAAACTTGTGAGTAATATCACCACCAAATATTGCTGGTAACATAAAAACATTAATATGATATTAATTATTCAAACACTGCTGAGCCCTTAATTATATACCTAAGTTACCTCTAAAATCTGTAAGTAAAAAATTCAAATATATTTGTTACTCAAACTATAAAATAAAGTGATGAAACATATATAGGATTAATTATTCAAGTGAATCAAACCAGATTCTTCTCTTTTTTGACTAGCAAAATGGGTGGGTGTGATGGAACAAAATAAAATCTGGACAATTTCTGAAAACCATGACAACCACACAAAATGACATGACTTAGAACGAACATTTTTACCATTTCATTTTCAAGATTTTCTGTAATACTATACTTCCGCTAATTAAAGGGAGAATCAGATCTACAGGGAGTGAGAAAATTGCAAGCAATGTGTACATCTGACCTACCAATATATTACTTACAATATCCTCAAAAGTTAAATTTGAATTCGGCGTCTTCATTTTCTGGATTGAGTGGTCAGATAGTTTTGCCAATCTCATACAGTACTGGATAGTCACCAATTGAATTAAGCACCATATTAATTACTCAGATGCGAGTAAGTAGTTACCAGTTTTGCCACCAGGTGGCTGATTCGGGAAAATTAACATGGCAGGGTATTTCAAAATTCCTTTAAACTTGAATATGCATCGGTTTTAGTGGTTCAATTTTCATATTACACTTATGTATCTGATAGTTATACAAATTAAAATATGTCCAGTAAAAGAAAATATCTGCCCAACACAAGAAAAGATATTTCACTTTTTGTGGTTTTACAACATGGGGTCTATGGGGAATATCCCCGACCTAGAAGTCACATTTTCAAAGAAAATTAAATTTTCAAAGTTGATAAACTCTTTTCAAAACCATATTTCTAGATGTAATTTTACATGTAGATTCCAAATATGACATCAGTTTGAATTGTGAATTTTTAATGAAGTAAATCAAGATTATTTCTACTCGCATCTGGGATATTCAATATACAGTATTTCTACTTACTAGCACTCAATTGAAGGTATAATGAATCAAATGTACATATATTTGAAATACATACCTTCTCTGCCACACTGAAGAACGCTTCCTCCCAGTCACAGTTGATGAGTTGACCCTCAGCATTCTTTACCATGGGGGATGTTAAACGCTGGCGCTTTAGCCCATCATATGCAAATCTTGTTTTGTCAGAGATCCACTCTTCATTTATGTCCTAAAACAGTTTGTTTTTATAGTTTTTAAAAAGGGGACCAGGTACAGGAGTTTCTTGAACAGAAAGAAATTTTATCTAATTTTATTACCAAAATTGCCTGTTGTTTCCACTGGGGAACTACATGTACAGTATATTCATGGTAATTCTATAACTTCCAATAACTTTTCCAACTGCATCTAACTGATCAAAATGAGAGAGTTGGAGAGTTTGTACAAGTAACTTTGAAGAAGCAGATTTTGGATGGTCCTGTCCAAACACATGAAATATTTGATATGTGGACCATTCACCATTCTGAATCCGCAATTTATTAGATTTAATTCCAAAAGAAAATATTTAAATTGAATCAAAATTTTTTTCTCGTACATCATTCATGCGTGGTAGGATTCTCATGACTTCCCCTGTCCTGGTGCTGACGACAATATTACTTCCCACGGCATCCATCACGTCAATGCTCTCTATCTTCCTCGTTTCCCAGGGTCGTGATGTGAATGCGTATGGTTTAGATGTTAGTGCACCTACAGGACAGAGGTCTATAACATTCCCTGATAGTTCAGAGTTGAACATTTTCTCAACATATGTTCCAACTTGCATGTCTCCACCTCTGCCTGTTGTCCCGAGGTCATCTACTCCAGCCACTTCACTGGCAAACCTGAAATATAAACCATGTATAAAATACACACATGAAACTCTCCAATGTCACATTGGTTAGTATCTTAATTTGGTGATAAGGCCAATCAAAGTTAAATATATGATTTAAGTCCCCTCTCAAACAAGATTGAGGCAAATTTTCAAAGAGCAAACAAAATGTTCAAGTGCCCAGATATATACCAAACTTTGGTTTTTGCCTTGCAGCCTTCTAGATTTTGTCCTCTTATCACAAACTAAACCGTTGAACTGTTGGCCCTAGCATCAAAATGAAATTCTCTATATTGTATATTTGTGTCATGTGACTTACCTAATGCACCTTGTACAGTGAATACATCGAGTCATAACAGTCTTAATAAGTGGTCCAACATTTTTATCTTCCACAGCTCTGAAACCAAGATAAAAAGGAAAGTTATTGTATGCGTATACATCAATGTTTTCCATTTATATCTTTGTCATATCCCTTGAACTACAAACAGATTACATTTCTTTTTTTTTTATTGTTTGACCCAGTTTTAAAATATCAAAATTTTACAGCACATTTTTTATAGAGGAGCCAGCTTAAAAATATTTTACCAAGACTTAAGCTAACCTCGATAACTTTATTTACAGAATACTTGACAATATGTTTTTTCTTATCGCTTATACAGTATACCATTAGAAATTGAAGTATATTGTAATTGTGATAGTATTCACCTCTTTCCTGTGAAAGCATTATCAGTAAATCTACTCCTATCACTTCCAAAAGCCATAGATTGATCCTGAAAAATAGACATAAAATTGCTTTAAAATGTGGAAAGGTATACCCTTATAATATCACTTAGCACAGCTGTCACAACAAAGCAATAATGAATGATGTCATTGAGTAGCACTAAGGGCAACATTTGAAAATCAACTAAAAACTTGATAAATAAATTTTAAAAAGCATAACAGAGCCAGTATTTTGAGAAAAAAGAAATGTGCATCATTCACTTTAAACCCATTATTGTAGCATACAAAAGGACTCTGGTTAATAGTAGCCTTTATTTAGTGTGTATTGTTGAAGATGTACATACCTGTAGGTCACATTCACCACCCTGGTCACATATAGGACAGTCTAAAGGATGGTTCATCAGTAGGAACTCCATCACACCCTCTCTGAAATAGACAACTACCGTTATAAATAAGGTAACATGTAATCTTTCAATCTTCAATTAAGTTCCTGCCCTAAAAGTCCTTGTTTCTTTTTTACAAACTTTGAAATTAACTAGAATTAGAGGAAATGCAACACAGGGACTTACTACAAGATTTCCAAACTAAGTTCATGAAAAACTAACTTGGTATAAATTCAGGAAAACTGTGGGAATATTTCATTTCTTGTGTGTTTTAGGTCTACGAGGTTTATAATCATATTACTTTACCTTGCTAGTCTAGTCTTTGGGGAGTCAGTTTTAATTTTCATTCCCTTCATCACAGGCATAGCACAGGATGCAACTGGTTTAGGTGATCTCTCCACCTCCACTAGGCACATACGACAGTTGCCTGCGATTGAGAGACGATCATGGTAACAATAGCGGGGAATCTCAACTCCAGCCATGGAACATGCCTGAAATGAGAAGTATATATGTAAATAATAGGTAATATCATGCAATATACAAAACCACCTGTTAACCAAACTACAGAGATCTATAAACTATAAGTTATTTATCGACATAGCAAACTATCAATCACTAAATATTTTATGGATACAATATTGGTAGAAATTGTACATGTACATGTACGGTGAAACCTGTCTAATCTGAACAACACTGGGACTGGCTCAAAGTGTTTGGATTAACAGGTGTTCACGTATCAAGGTTTCTTAATATGTGAGTCCTTTGGAGATAATTCAGATTAAGAGGTGTATCAAAATTTAGTCACACTCACAGTGTACAAGTAAATATTAACAAAGACAAATCAGAACATATTCAAAACTTTTCATATTTTTCGTCGAGTACAGTATTTATATAGAAAAAATAGATTTTTTTTATTACCTGTAGCACTGTAGTGCCAGGCTCCACCAACACTGGGCGATCATCAACAAACACTTCTACTGGTTCTGGGGCACCTGTTGAATTTGCCCTTGCTGGAAGTTCAAATATCAACACTACTGACAAAAGCTAAAAGTCATCCATGATGTTTACTGATGCACACAGGACTTTGAAGTATTTATAATATGGAAAATAAATCAAACTTGTATTTACAATAAACAACGGGAAATATAATTTAGAGATGCTATACCCCTATTTTGAGTATAGATAGCTACATGACCCCTTCTTTGAAAATGTAACATCCTGTATAGTAACAAACGATTCTGATATCGATTAGAATAATCTAGTTTGTCTTTCTACTCACCCAAAGAGGCAATTGTGCTTGGATTGAAAACCCTCCGTAAAGGCCACAGGCGTAGCATTTTTTGTTCTGAAAATAAATATGAATATGTTCACCACATGTTTTTTCCCTCAATAGCCGAGAACATTTCTACTTTCTATCCCAAATGTTATCCTTGTTTCCTCCATAGCCTGTGGTTGGGAATTACTACTGCTAACATGACTTACAAATCAGTTAAAGATATCCTACAGTAAAATTTTAAATATTTGGAACAAGGCCTACTTTGAATCTAAAAAATTAGCAATTAAAGGACCATATTGAAACAGAATATGTAAAAATAGAAACATCTATACATGTCTTTACTTTTGAATATTTTAGTTTGTTTTGTATTTTAGCAATCATATCTGTGGCCTATCATACTTTGATTCTTCTCTGCCATGTTATTTTCGAAAAAAACTCCCTAAGTTACAAAAGGCCACAGCTTTGCTGCACATTATACATAATAATTATCTGAAATATACAAAAGTTAGGACTTGTACATATGTTTCCATTTTTTCATTTACTGTTGCAATATAGTCATTTGATTGCTTATTTTTCATTCAAAGTAGTTCAAAACATTTAAAATTTTACTGTACATAGGCTATTTGCCTGTGTTTATCACGCCCCAGATCATGAATCAATTCAAATTAACCATGCTGACATTTCTCAACCAATCAGCTAGAAGAAAGAAACACATTCAAATAATGTTGTAATTTTGGTCAGTACTAGGAAAAAAGACCTGAAGAAATTAAAAGACAGAAAATCGTCCTTCTGGGGCAAATATTTTAGTGACTAATTCTACTTCCAAGCTGCTGTATATTTTTGCAACTGTATATAAGAACTGATAACTCGAAGACGTTTGACAATTCTGTGACATGTATGAAGGCTAGACCCAATAAGTCAAAACAATCCTGTTGCGACATGTAAGCTTATTCAAGTTTCTATAGTGAGCAGTTCATATGGTTAAAATAACGAAATAATGAAATGTTACCATGTGTCTACTTATCAGTTTGTTCTATGTGATCCATCCTGCTAGGTTACATTGTGGAACTCAGCCAAACACGACACTGAAGGCAGTATTCTGAGGTTATAAAATCTAAATCTAAACAATTTCCCATTTGCAGCCGGGTGTCGACTTTAGGCTTGCAACCGTAGATACCTCAAGAAAAGCCAGAGATTGCCGAAGATTTTCTTTGCAAACAAAGTTGGCCGAGGATACCACCAATGTGAAGAGGACGTCTCCAATTGGTCAAAAAGAGAGGCTCGGCATTCTCCGTCAGATTGAATCGGGAAAATTCGGTTGTATGGCTTACCTTCGGTTGTATGGCTTACCTTCGGCTGCATGGCCCAACCTCGATTGAATGATAAAAAAAGATGCTGTCCCATTTGCAGCCCCTTGGAGATTTCCGGAATTGAACAAAGTAGCGAACATTGCGATCTTTCAACTTTAGTTCTTTGTTTTTGACCACTTTTTGTGAAGTGTTTTCATTTAGGAGGCGGTCTTATTTGAATGCATCATTTCAGGTCTTTATGAATCAATAGATCAATAAGAGGACTAAAATTACAATTTAGCAGTTTCGTTGAAAAAACTGATTTGGAATACCCAGTGACTTTAGCAGCCCTCCCTACAATGTTTGACATTGTTATCTCGGCGTGTCCTCTTCTATAATCAGTAGCAAATGTTCGCAGAACATTTTCCAAAATATTTACTACCGTTTTCCTTGAAGACATGGTTGGGTGACAGCACACGTCAATAAGTCACATAATCCATACAGTAACTAGTCACGTGTCACATGAGCTTGCAAAATGGACGATCTAAATTTCCAAAAATTCTGCTAAGATCAATATCGATATGCTGTTGCCTTCATTGTCGTGTTTGGCTGCGTTCCACCACGGATGTCAAGTAAGTTTCTGGCGAAAGCTGGAGAATAGATTATAAAGAGGACTGGAAACAAGATGGCAGTCTATTTCAAATCTGACTCAGTTGTTCATCTAGCTTTACTTACGTTAGATACTTAGTAATCTATTTAGTATAATATTGTTTCCAAAATTATTGTCATTTGCGATAATTAGTACTAAAAGTACTTTGAACAGATCAGCTGCCATTTGCTTGACCCAATCGTACCAGTCCACAAAAACAGTGAAATCATATTAAAATACCAATAAAACTTAAAAATTGAGGCAGATGCGATACAAAGAGACTCTATTAATATAGATACAGTTGGGGACAAAAATAAATGACAGGTGGATTTGCTGAATTTTCGATCACCATTTCCTAATTATGGTGGTCTGAAAGCCCATAATTTCCAATATTGTCTAGATATATATCCCTTAAAATTTGTATATTTTACATTTTGTATAATCTCATCCACTGATGTATGGCCTCTTGTAAATTCTCTTATTTTTAACATGGGAAATCCTCACTTCAGCAAATCCACCTGTCATTTATTTATGTCCCCAACTGTATACAGGTTACAGTCACCAAGATGAGCTAATTTCAGGCAAGATTCTGGAAATAAAAAGTCATTCTTGTTTCCAGTCCTCTAAATAATCTATGCTCCGGCTTTCGCCAGAAACTTACTTGACGTCCGTGCGTTCCACAATGTAACCTAGCAGGATGGATGACATAGAACAAACTGATAAGTAGACACATGGTAACATTTCATTATTTTAACCATATGAACTGCTCACTAGAATTTGCGTTTTGATTTTAGGCTAGATCTATTGGTTACTGTTTAGTTGACCTTGGAAAACATCATGTAAAATTTTGAGCTTGATTCAGTGCATTATTTGAGGGAAGTGAGCATGCTTTCTAATCATGAAATAAGACAATGAATGTGTGACAACAGTATGACATTCAATCATACAGAAAAGAGATGATTCTACGCACTTTCAAAAGGAAAAACATTTTATTTTTACATGTTTAGAAAAAACAGGGGAGAAATTTGGATAGCTTATTCATGAAGGCTGACTAAGAATCTCGTAATAAAATTGGATCAAATGTATAATTTGGCCTCGTTATACAACTGCTCTACTCAATGCATTATCGTATTATCATATTTAAGCACCGAGTCAGAAGATATTTGATCATAAACACAAGGATAAAAATTATCAAACCTTTTCAATATGGCTGACTACGCGCAAGGCATTGTGGGTAATTTGAAAGGAGACCTAAAATGGATACAAATGTCAAATAAAATAAATATACTTTTTATATCTAAAATGATATAATGTGTTAAATTCACTTAATATTATATTTTCAAACTCATCTCAATATATTTTTGATAATCATGTGTGTGCAGTATAGTTTTCTAGATCATGATACATATTTATAAAATTAAAGTATGCGTACACATTTGAAGTCTAGCGGGAATGAAAAATCCACTTCACAAAAGTTTAGAATAATCTTCATTTTAGTCCCTAAGAGACGGTTACAAGGCGTATACGATACGATCGATAGAATCCTTAAGATGCCAGTGATAATTTGACCAAAGATCAATCAGGTATGTTTTCTCTCTATTACTGCTCTACCAATTTCAATTTTGAATGAAATTTCTTTATTTTTCAGTCACATTTTTCCTCTTTTTTCAGAGACCTATTTACCCTGTTCTATGGTTATAAGTGTATTCAAGAAGTGAACACTCTAGATTTCAACTTCTGGGTCATTCAAAGTCAACACATTATATGTATTATATAAGATGTAGTTCAAGAAAATAAATGAGTCCACACGTCACAAATATCTGTGAAGTCTGAACTGAAAACTCACGGGTCTAAACTGAACTGAACTGAAAAGTGGTGGAAGCAACAAAGCCTTTAGCCGAATGTACCAAGTAAAGAGAAAACTTTTTACTTGGTGGAATCTAAATATTTGAAATATATTTACATGCCTTACAACTGTAACGACCTTAGGGTGCCCCTTAGTATGTATCCAACAGACCAAATATAATATTCGGTCTGTTATGATTGAAATATTTCCTGTGGAAATCGCGGTGATATTTTTTGCACATACATTTCTCGTTTATTACAAGAATGTTCACCTTGAAAATTGGTGAATATGTTGAAGAGATGTTCATCTTAAACTAGAAGCAAAAATATTTGTATAAGGCGGGTACAAGTTGATATAAAATAATGAAATGTTCAGACTCACCAAAACTTCAGGATGTGTTCATAAGTAGATCGCGAAATCAATGTCAAGGACGTTTGAGTTCACGAGATCCAAACGAGATATGCAAATTTTTGAACTTTGACAACACATGACCACTTGATTACCTCGGCCTTCTTCATGAATATTTCCGCTCTATTTACTATAAATGACGAAAATTAATCGGGATAATGATAATAAATGACTAGATCTAATAAATTCCTGCACAAATGGAATTTATCAATACGCTTCCGTAATGTTGCTCCGTCCGCTCCACGTGTTATTTGTATACAAATAGACTGACGTCACTGGCTAAATCTCGTTTATCGTGAGAATCGGCATTGCCAAAATGGCTTGACCTAATCAATGGCTCCGCTACAAGAAGCGTCTGTACATTTTATGAATATCTTCAGTAAGAGGACAATATGCGAAAAAATAATATTGTAAGTTCTTTATAAGGTAATCATTTTATCATTAAACAAACTTATTTGTAACATTTATACAACACCACATTTTACAATAGGTGACTTACAGTCTGAATTTATTCAGACGAAGGATACAGTCTAGGGTGCCCCTGGGAAGCTGAAGTAACAAGCCAGATACAGACATGAAAGGGAGTGTGCTGAATCTAATGCCTAGACTATATCCTCTACTCAGTCTGAAATTTTTTGAAATTTGGAATGAAAATATTCAGACTATAGCCCATATATGTTAAAATTTGGGATTGAAAATTATTTGTTTACATAGGAAGTGCCATTCAAAATGGCCGATTGGGTAAATTAATTTGCATATTTGTTACTTCCCCTAGCTTTATTTCCATTTGACAATATGCTGTGTTACTTTTTATAGCATTTAATTGTACCTTACTACTTCATTGAATTGTTATAATGCTTATTTTTTGGAAGTGAAGTTTCCTAAAATTGATAATTGTATGCAGGAAATTTCCTGTTTTTTCCCACAAGAGGGACATAATGATCAATAGTCTGAATTCTCAGGGAATTCAGTCTATTGGATATAGACTAATCTAATGCCCCATGCAGGAATCAAACCCAGGGCCTTCCATTTCAGAGTCTGATGCTCTACTCCTGAGCCATCAAGACTTAAGTCAACAGAGCTAGCAAACTAGCAACTTGCTATCAAGGGTCATTAAGCAACTACAGTTAAGCAAAATTTTGATCAGTGTACTTTCACTTGCAGTACATTGGTTCTAGAATCAGGGGCGGATCTTGGAACCAACAAGGGGGGCCTAAATCTCAGGTCAGAGAAAAAAATTCCGCGCTTGAGCAGAAAATTTTTTTGGGCCCCTCAAACCCAAAATTTGAAATTTGAGGCCCATTTTCTTCAAAATGTGTCCTGAAATTAAAAAAATAAGGCCTAAAAAGGCCCAGTAATGACCAAAAAGGCCCACTATTTGGGGCCTTAAGGCCTTTTTCCGCTCAAATTATTTTTGGGCCCAATTTTTTTTCTGGGCCCACCCAAGGGGGGGGGCCCAAATTCATGGGTTTACTTGTAACCAGAAGATAATTTAGTTTAGGGGTTAGGTGATTATAATCTCTTTTGTCAGTAGATTCTGGCAAGAGTAGATTTAAATGTGGCAACTAGCCACAGCCTAATTGCAAAGTAAAAACCCTGAAATGTATCATTAAGCTTTCATAAGTTGTATTTATTTGTATTTTAGAAATAAATTAAAATGGAGAGACATTATTTGCCCAATGAAAAGGTGTTTGCTAAAATGAAGGGCTATCCTCATTGGCCTGCAAGGGTAAGAGTATAATGCAAATGCTGTATTCAGTACATGGTATTGGTTAAAGTTATTATTTGTAATTGCATATAAATTAATAACAACATGGTATGTCTGTAATGGCAATTCTAGCTTGGCTTACACTGTCAGTTCTTCCAATGAAAGGAAATATTCAAGGTATATACTGCTACATGTATATGCATCTTAACAAGTTGATTGGGTAACAACATTATAGACTGATATGCGATAGGTCAGAGTGACAACAATATTCTTACCTCCTGCATTGTAGAGCTCGCATTTCGGATACAGAATTTTCACAACAGGGTTCTTTCCAATAACCCATATGCGAGTAGAAATAATCTTGATTTACGTCATTAAAAATTCAAAATTCAGTCAAAGTAATATCATATTTGAAATCTACATGTAAAATTACATCTAGAAGTGTGGTTTTAAAAAGTTTTTATCAATTTTGAAAAAATAATTTTCTTTGAAAATGTGATTTCTGGCTCGGGGAGATTCCCCATAGACCCCATGCTATAAAATCACAAAAAATGAAATATCTTTTCTTTTAGTGGACAGATAATATTTTGCTTTACTGGACATATTTTCATTAGTATAAGTATCAGACACATAAGGGTTATATGAAAATTGAGCCACTTAAATTGATAATATTCAAGTTTAAGGGAACTTTATTATATACCTGCAATGTTAATTGACCCGAATCAGCCACCTGGTGGTTAAACTGGTAACTACCTACTCGCATTTGGATAATTGAAACGTACAGGGTTCGATTTTGAGCTCAACATTTCAGCTTTAATTAGCTTTCTTCTTCACATGTATTTGCACAACTGATAAAAATATATGTCCTTATGACAAACTGCAAAGCATTTAATATTTTTCTAAACTGATGATGGTCATGAAATTCATTAACCTTGATGTCATTGACTCCATTTCCCTGAAGAAAAGTACAGGGTGCACAGAAATTATAATTTTACTGAGTGGCTTCACAAAAAATAAACAGGGTTATAAGCCACGTTAAACAGCATTAAAAGCAATGTAGAATTTTAATATTACTTATCACTCAGTTGAAAATCTCTTCAGTGAAGCTAAGACTTTGAAAATATCCTTTTATGATGGTTCAAGAAAGGCAATGGAGCTAAAATTTGCATATTTTGACCAAATATATGATATATCTGTGGCAGAAATATATCATAAACTTCATAGTTCACTACTGACAGGCTGTTGCCTTTTACAGAGTTTCACTCCTCTGTTGTTTTGGCCATATCCCTCTTATAACCAATACCATGTTGTTTGCAGTAGTGTGGATTTTAAAATCATTTTAAAATGTGTTTTCAGATTTTATAAGTTGGTGTTGGTTGTACTGCTTCGTTAATCTTGTTGTCAGATATTGTCATGGCTCCAGTAGAATATAAACCTGGTGACAAGATATTTGCCAAGGTGAAGGGATACCCCCACTGGCCTGCTAGAGTAAGTTTTCTTTAGACAAATCACCAACCATTTGTCACTGGTGCCATACAAGTACATGCAAAACACTTCTTAGTGAACACATCTCTCTAGTAAACACCTGTTTCTAGGGAACACCTCTTCTCAGCACATACTCCACTGAGTTCTGTGTAAAATTGCCTCACTGTAGTGAACACCTACCTATAGCGAACACATTTTTGTGGCTTCATTGGTGTTCCCTATACACAGGTTTTACTGTACATGTAAATTGATATAAGAATAGTCCATATATCGAAGGCTTGGAGTATATCAAATCTATAAATCATTTAGCTAAATTGCAAATCTAGTCTCCAACAAGGCATTGTTAGAGACAAGAGCGAAAAAATCTCATGACCATTGACATTTTTTGGTTAAAATTGAACATGAATGGCACTTGTAACAAATGCTGATTCCCAATCTTAAAAGTAATATATTTCTATATTACATTGTTCTATACTTATGTTTTTGTATCTTTATCAAGTAGACTAGTCGATCAGATCAAATTTAGTGAAAGTCCCATCTGATGAATTGGGAATTCACTCAGTTTGAGTTATTTCTTGAGGCAATGGATCAAACTGTTTAGTTCTAGTTAACTCAAATAACAAGTTTTCCATTTTTCTGACTGCAGTAGAAGAATTGTAGAGTTTTGTTTTTTATGATATGATGCAGAATCTCTGACAAAAGCTTTTGTTTTCAGATTTGAGCAATTTTTGTTTGTTTGAGCATGGTTACATGTATATATGAAAGCTCCGTTGGAAATTAAGATGTTTTTATACATTTATGATTTATTGTATAGCTGAAAATCTCAAAAAATCATCACACATATTCCATGTTTTTCTGAAAATAACCAAACCACAGTCACAATAAAATGCAAAATTTAAATTAGTCTGTTGTTTTGAATTTTTCCATTTAGAATTTTTAAATTTTGAAGAATAGAAAACTAGCAACTTAGCTTGTAGTGTTTCAGTGATAAACTATATGAGTCAAACTTACTAGATACATTGTTATACTTCTTTTTGTCTTCTATATATTCTTTTGGAGGTATTCTTCCTTTATATATATATTTAAGTTGACCTATAGTAAAATACAAACATTTTTCTTTACAGTAGTTTATTTGAATGTTATAAAATATTTACATCATATAACTGTCATCATAATTGTTGTCAGATTTCACTTTTTCTAAATTTATGAAAATCACTTGTTGTCAGGTGATTCCAACTTCTTGAGCTGATAACCTTTAGATGGCCATCTTGGAATTTAAGTGGCCATTTTGGATCATTTTAGACCTGAATATTGTAGATCTTACTCTGTATACCAGTACATCATATTACAGATTGATGAAGTGCCAGAGGGTGGCCCTAAACCTCCAAAGGGGAAATACCCAATCTTCTTCTATGGCACACATGAAACGTAAGTAACCATTAAAATTTGTTGTTCAATGAAAATTATACCATTTTTTCAGTTTTAATTTTCTCAATCAAATAGGGGAAAAAACAGGTATTGCCCTTAATGCGAAAAATCCAAGAGAAAACTACCACATTATACTGTCATGATATCTTGAAAATGTATGTGTGTGTGTTATTTCTTTTTGATTAGAAGATTTAATATCATTTTGATGTGGCCTATAGTATTGTATGTATTTTATGCATCTTGTAGTGCCACACTTGCACCAAAAGATATCTTCCCATATGAAAAGAACAAAGAGAAGTTTGGCAAGGAGAAACCAAGAGCAGGTTTCAATGATGGCCTCTGGGAGATTGAAAATAATCCTAACATCAAGTTTGGTGCTGAAAAACAGGTTTGTTTCTTGTATTTTATGATAGTTAATGACACTATGCACTATGAGAGAAATTCCCATGCTCAAAAATACAAAAGGAAATTTCCATATTGAATTAGTTATTATCAAAGAAAAGTTATACTCTATAAAGCAAATTGAAAAAAGACCTATTTGAATGCGTGACATACACGTGATTCGCGTGAAAAGTCCGAACGAAATGCATACGTTTTTTTTTCGGCGTTCGTATTTTTGCTGTGTAGACGAACTTTAGAAATTTTTCTACAGAAATATTTTTGCTTGACAATTACCAGGTAAAATGCGTATTTGCGTGACATTTTCTGTCACGCAAAAATAACTGGCGTGACTTCAAATTCTTCAGCAAATGCGTGACAAATACGCAAATTGCGGGACAGTTGACAGGCCTGGGTCTCTGACTACAGATTTGACCTTCAATGACTCTATATTCTCTATTCTAGGAAGTTACCACTGAGGAGAGTGTTGAGGAGGAAGAGGAGGAGAAGATGGAAGTTGAGGAGGAGCATATCCTCTCACCATCCTCTCCATCAGGAAGCTCCAGCAGTGGAGACTCAGATGATGAGAAGTTGGTCGTGGATGAGGGCAAAGCAAATAAGGTAAATGATTAGTCTTACATCAAATTATATGGATGAATGTTTGTTATTTTTAGAAAGCATAATCATTTGTTTAGATTGTTTTATGCACAGAATACAAAATTATCCTAATGGTCCTTGTTATTTTGCCTAAAAGTAAAAATCTGACCAATATTGCATGGATAAAAACACATTTTCTTACGGCCAAACAAAAATATATGTCTGTTTCCTGCTCAATGAATTTACAGATTAGGGTCGGTGGGAAAAATAATTTATTTTTATTAAAAATTTGATTTGAGGGTATGTTAGACAGAACATGCTGATTAACTGTCTATACGAGAATTGTATGTACGTAAGTCTATATTAATAATACTATATGAACAACACTGGGATAAAAACATATTATTACTGTTTAACTATGTATTACTCTCAGACCTGCAAGCAGAGTGAGAGATCATTATTTTAAAAGGGGAACTTTGTGCATTTTTTGAATTGAACCTCTTTAAAAGAACTTATGAACTTCTTAAATCTTATGACAATGAGGATGAACAAGTAAATGAATCAATTTATATTATTCAAATATATTTTTAGAATTAACTTTTAGCAGTTGTAAACAGGTGTCTGATTGTTCTTTGTTTATGAATGAATGAATCTGAAAACCAGAAATGGCAACATTAGTTGAAACAATTTATCAGTCTTTATGGTGGCTGAAGAGTTAAAAATAGCTACACTCCCTTTGAATGAACTCTTCTTACTAAAGAACATCACCTTGACAACTGACCAGTCAAAACAACAAACTGATCATCAAGTTGAAGGTCAATTAGTGCAAAGTAACTCCATTTTGAAAGTATAAATTTGGAGGGAAAATGCAGCTCAGAAATTCAGTCACAAAAGTTACAAAAACTAGTACAGTTTGTAAAACAGTCATCAAAGGAAATGTTATCAAGGTAGTGTATAAGGACTTTGAAAAGAAATGTGAAAATATAACTTTTACTGATGAACCAATCAAATATTTAGGAATCTTTTTAGGACACAACAAACAAAGATGTTATGAATTAAACTGGGAAGATAGAGTAAAAAAGGTAGAAAAAATATTAGACAGCTGGAAGAACCGATACTTAACACTTTTTGGCAAAGTAACAGTGATTAAATCACTGGCAATTCCAAAATTAATTTATGCAGCATCAGTATTATCTGTGCCACACGAGATTATAAAAAAAGTAAACAATCTTGTATTTAAATTTCTATGGGATGGAAAAAAGGACAAAATAAGAAGATCTATAATCATAAATAATATTAATAAGGGTGGAATAAATATGATTGACTTAGAGTCTCAAATACATGCACTTAAAGCAGCATGGATCCCCCGTTTGCATAATCAAAACATGTACAATAAAATCCCTTACTTCTATTTCAATAAATTTCTTCCAAATATAGATGTATTATTCAAGATAAATGATACTAGATTCAAAGAATTTGAAAATGTTCCACTTTTTTATCAACAAGTGCTGGAAGCACATTGTTTATGTAAATGCATCAAAAATATAAGAGATATGAAGCAACATGAACTCTTGCAAGAGGTTATATGGGGAAACAAATTATTCACCGTCAAAAATAAACCAATTTTCTTTGAATCATGGATCAAAAGTGGAATTATATACATAAAAGACTTGATAATTCAGAACAGGTTCCTTGATGTTAATATGTTATATCAAAAACTTGTAAATAAACAAAATTGGATATCTGAATATTACAGAGTTTTATCAGCCATGGGCACACTGAAAGAAAGATTCAATTTAGAATCTGTCAAGTATACAAATATTCATAATACTTTTAAATTTAATATAAATAATGTGATTATCACTGTGAATAATCAGAAATCCAAATTCTTTTATGAAATATTAAAAAACAAACGATCGGAAAAATGGTTTATGAAAAGGAAATGGGAACAAGAGTTTTGCTATGAAGCCAATGATGAAATAAATTGGCAAAACTTTTTCTCTACAAAAATTAGTTGTAAAGAAAAGAAAATAGGTAATTTCAACTTTAAAATAATCAACAATATTCTTCCTAGCCTTAGTGATTTATATATATTTGGTAAAAGTGAAACCTACAAATGTAGTTTATGTAATGAATTATGTACCTTGAAACATTTGTTATTTTCATGCTCATATTCTCAAAACATTTGGAAACATATTTATAATATCTCAGGGTTAAGAGTAACTTACAGAAAATTGATAATTGGTTACAATGGAAATGACAATCATACTGAATTTTTAAACTATTTTATAAGTATTGTGTCATTTGTTATATATAAAACATATATTCAAGAACTGAATAATGGTATTAAGCGTAATTTTGAAGGCACTATTAAAACTTTAAATTTTGAAATCTGTACTCGTAAAAATGTATTTTTTAAAAACAAATGGAAAATGATTAAAACATAACTCATTATACATTATTGTAATTAATTGTATCATTGTATTTCTGTATCGTAAAAACCTAAATTGGAATAAACTATATTTGAAAAAGAAAAAAAATCAAGGTAGTGTATAAGGTTCATGTCATCTTGGTCAGAAATCTGAGACAAAATTGTGGCTATTTGCAGAGAAATTCACATTTTGTAGGTGACATTCACTGCAGTTCACTTATATTAATTTAGGGCAAAGGCAAGATTTCTAAAAAATAAAAATCTTGTGAGATCTCGATCCATGCAAGAAAAATATGGCTTCTACCTAGTGCAAAGGAGTGTAACGTCGACGCGTGGGGTAAAGTCGACATAAGAGACATGGTAACTCTGACACTTACTTATTAGAAGTAGAATTTCTGTTTTCCGCCATGTTTGGGTTCTGGAAAAATTAAAATCTCACAAGATATCGTTCCATGCTAGAAAAAAAACATGGCTTCCCCCTAGATCCGAAATTAGAGCAAATAAACAGCAAGGTGTCGAAATTATCCCATATTTCGAAGTTACCCAAAAATGGTGTCGACGTTACACCCCTTCGCCCAGATTGGAAATTAGAGAAAATATTTGTTGAAGTTACCCCAGGGGCTATGAATTCGTACGATCCCCAATCCAATCCGGATAAATTTTATCTTTTGGGATATATCTTGGATTACTAATCCGATTAATATTTGGTGAATTCGTACGATCCGAGGATTATGAGGGGGAATCCCCAAGATTTATCCAATTTGCATTGGAATTCGGATAAAATTTATCCAAAAAGTAATTCACCTCAAGAGGTGGATTGAGATTTATCCTGAGATTAATCCCAGGATCGTACTAATTCACCGATTTTCGGATTAATTCTTGGATTAATCCCACAATGCATCATTACCATGACGAAATTTATCCAGATCAGATCGTGGATCGTACGAATTCACCGCCCCAGATTAAAGCGAAATGGCATTCTGACATTATACCCCTTTGTCCTACCCCATGACTCATAAATGTGAGCCTGCTTTTCAAAGCAAATTTAAAAAAATCAAAAATCAAAAATATCCTCATATTAAAGGCCTAGATCTAGCCTAGTTCCAAGAATAGAAGCTCACGTTAGATTTCAAAAGTTGAAAAAATGCTGCTTGCCATGCACATATTAATTTATTATCTTAAGTCTGCAAAAAATGGTTAAAAATAGCAATAGGTGATATATTTGTATAATTTATAAGCAATCAAAAAGTGATGATATTGTTATAGCCAAGATTATCTGTGACTGGTATTTGTAACTTACTACCCAGCATTGGTGTCTGTAACAATTGTTCAAGTTTTCCAACTTGTGATTTATTTTCTTAATACCTTTTTATTTGTGTTTTTCCAGAAAGGAAAGTCGGCTAAGAAGCCAGCTCCTAAAGGAAAAAGAAAGAGCAGTGTAGAAAATGTAAGTTTAGTAAATCTAAAAATCTTCGAAACCCAAAATACATGCTACCATTATAAAAACATCAATTTCTTGCTTTAAGATTTGTAGAAACCAGTTAAAACACATTGAATGAAAAAAGAACTTACAAATAAACCAAGGGTATAATACTACTAATCACAATTATGTAAAATCACACCCCATGCTGGTATTTCAGAAGAAACCTGTGAAGAGGCAGAAAAAAGAGGAGGCTCCACTAGCTGAAGAGGAAGATTTTGATGAAGAGACTCCGCCTCCATCTGATGATGAGGAAGACTCTGTAAGTGCCATTCAACTCCGTTTCATTTCTGACCACATGGTACTTGTCCATTCTACAATATTTTCTAGTGAGACCAATTATTTATCTAGTATTTAAGAATCATTCAGTTTGGACAATCATTCACAAATGAAATCACCCGTGTAGTGTGTTGGTACATAAAATCTTTATGTATGCACATTCGTAAGAAATCATTTTTACACTTGGAACAAATCTATTTTAGGACTTTGAAGTCGAAGAAACCAAAAAGAAAAAGGCTCCTGCTAGGAAAGCTAAGGGAAAGGGCAAAAAGAAGGAGGAATCTGAAGACAGTTCAGATGATGATGATGCAGCCAGTGAAGAAGATAAAGAATCAGAAGCTGAGAGTGAAGATTCCGAAGCTAAGGTAGAAAAACCAAAGAAAAAATCTCCAGCGAAGAAAGCACCTGCAGCTAAAAAAGGTAAATATTTCAGATTAATGAAGAAGTAGAATAATTTTCGTTTAAGCTAACTGTTTCTCTTCCCCAATTGGTCCAAATAATATATTCTTCTCTGACTGATTCCCAGATTTCTTGCGACTGATTAATTTCAACTATTAATGTTTACTCATCAAAACAGGTGCTGCAAAGGCTGCTGGGAAGAAGAAACCTGCTGTGGTGCTATCCAGTGACAGCGACGACTCTGACTCAGACAGGTAAACATATTTGTTGATCTTTTTATTTACTGTAAACATATTTGTACACTGTATGTGGAGTCTTGGTAAACACCAAGCTGTTATTTTTGGGGGAAAGTGGGCCATTGATCTGAAAGATTTTGAATAAGAAATGAACAATGAGAAATGAAGTATTTACACTGTACAGTATCTAAGTTATCTAAACTGTGTTATTCCTAAATTTTGAATCTGCATGTGTCAATTAACTCTCAAAGTTCTTCTGACATATCATTTCCCAATGTGCTGAAGTCAACACTCATACTTGCAAACGTCTCTGGGAAGATATTTGCTGACAGTTTTTAGAGGATTCATTTTATTGGTCCCCATTTATAAATTTCCCTTTGATGGGACAAATCCTGCTTATTCTAGTGATGAAGATGAAAAGAAGAAAGCCAAAGATGCTGAGAAAAAGAAAGCAATGGAGGAGAAACTGAAAGAAGCAGAAGAGAAGTGAGTACATATGAAGGATGTTCATGTTTTGGATAAAGCAAGACCCATTAAGCTGTACTTTTGTAAGCTGTATCTTTTAAGAAAATGCGCCATATGACTATAATTATTAAAAAACACACTTACAATTGAAATTGTTATAAATGGCCTTATAAATCAGAATCTGCACAAACATTTCTAGTTTATGGAAAAATTTTCAATCCAATGTAATGCCCCCTCCCGCTCTATGGTTTTATAGAAAGGCCAAGGAACAGCAAGAGAGAGTAAAACAAGCACGTGAAGAGTTGAAGAAGGAAAAGGCTGCCAAAGGAGAGAAAGATGACAGTGAATCCAGTGGAGATGAAGATGTCAAGAAAGATAAAGTGCAGAAACAAAAGGTGGGTATATATTCAAAATTTGTATAAGCCTACTGAACACGCATCACCTCTTGAAATGGGATTATATATTTTTTCATATAATCAAATATGATTTTTGAGATTAATATGTAGTTCATGATATTGCAATAATTTGAAAGACATGAGGCGTGCCTATGATAAAACCAGGCTTGAAAAGGTTAATATTTGATCTTGGCTCTAATTTCAACAACAAACTTTAATCTTGAATATTTTTCCAGAAGAAAGAAACAAAAGAAAAGCCAGAGAAAAAAGAATCAAAGTCTACACCTAAGAACACTCCTAAGAATACGCCAAAAACAAAGTCGAAAGATCTGAAAAAAGACACCCCAAAATCAACTCCTAAATCAACATCGAAGAAAGACAAACTCAAAGAAGAAAAGAAGAGTGAAAAGAAAAGTGAAAACAAGAAAGAAAAGAAATCAAAGAAAGCTAAAATTGACAGCGAAAGTGAGGTGAGGGATTGCTTATCAAGGAAATATGTGTATTTTAATGAAATTTGAAAACTGAATCAAGTTTTAATTTATGACAAAACTTTAATTTGAATATTGTCAGAAAGGTTTCATTTTAATATAATGCATCAGTTACAATTTGTATTTTATAAAATTTCTAAATGTTATGTTCGATAAAATGCATGCATCTGATTGGTTTACAGAGTGAAGAGGAACCTCCAAGAAAAATAATAGATGGCGTGCCAGAACCAAGAACTGCTGCAGAAAAATTCCAGTTTGAGGAAGCTACGAGGATTAATAGACTAAAACGTGAAGAGCAGATAAGAACTGGAGTACTTGTGCCTGAGGAGGTTCAACATAAGAGGGATGAGGCAGAACGCAAACGAAGAGGGTGAGTTTGTGGGGAAGAAGTGTAGCTCTTGAGGTGTTAATGCCACAGTATAAGGCACAGTTTTTAAATAGCATCATGTGAATGAATTAAATTCAATCATCATGATATCATTCAACTAAGTTTTTTCTCTTGTATTGATTTAGAAGGTACAGTTTTTATGTATTTGTAAATAGATGCATGTACACTTTTATTTGAAAGAATGATGGTTTAATTTCTGTGTTTCTCTTTCAGTGAAACTAAAGAGCAAGAAAAAGAAAGGAAAAAGCGAGAAAAACTGGAACAGAAAAAGAAAGAAAAAATCAATTGTAAGCTCATGTAAAATTGAAGAATATAAAATATCATCATTACTTTTAGTCAAAAACATTGAAATCTTAAGCCACAAGAACGTGTAATTTTGAACAAAAATCAACTCAAAGCTCATGCAATAATTGACTCATTTACATGTGAACAGTTTTTCTCTGTTATTTGAATTTAAGCATAGAGCAGTACATATACAAGGGATGGTGTCCAAATGGTGACAGTTGTGGAAAAATGTCAGTACAGTGATTTAAGAAGCATTTATTCCCGTCCTTCCTCCGATGAAATAAAATTTGAAAATGTTAATTCACCTTTTATTTATATTTGAAAAATCAACATTCTTTACTCACCAAATCATCAATTAGCCACTCCCCACCAATTAAATAACTTTCTTCCAAATTTATTGACTTTTGGACACCACTTGGTCACCATCCCTAAATTAATGTGGGTTATTAGAATATAAAAACATAAGATTTATCCATTAGATGTATCCGTATGTTGACATGCTATGTATTTACAGTATTGAAGACTGAACATATTGTGCAAAATATGGATGTGGAAATCAAACGTTCTCTCAGGATGGGAGCTACGGTAGGTTAAGAAAAGTGCTTATCACATCACAAGGGGTCGTGTCAATATATCACTTTTTGTGAAAAAATACTTTAGTGTCAGGGTCAGATGCCAGGTTTTTAACTCAAATGTTCAATCTTAAAGGATACTTTCACAAAATCTGATATTTTGAACCAGCCCCGGAAATATATCCTGCTCTGCATTGCTCCTATATCATATTGTTTTAGGTATGCGTCGTGAGATCAGAATGATCAGAATTGACTTACTGATCAAAAATTACTTGGTTATTGGGAAGGAAGTGAGTTTGAGGGATGTACAGGGAGTCTGTTATATAACACATCATCCCCTCCCAGCATCATAAGTCATATCTACAGATATCTCAGACTGTTCTGTACAATTTTGGTTACTTTGAAGATGCGAATTTACAATGTTGCGTTACACATATGTCTGATGCATTTATGTAATGACCTACAGGGTGGAGCTTATGTGGTAGACACCCTGTATATGAGATTCTAGACCTAATTTCATCGTTGGTTGTTATTGTATGTTCAGTGTCTGTTGACAATTTAAAATGACGTTCTATCATTGACAAAATAACAATTTTGAATATGTTCACAACTAATACCTAATTATTTTCTTTTAACACTTAAACTGCATTTTGTGTGAAATTAAATGAACAAATTCATCTATTTAATGCAGAACGTAGGAAGAGTGAAATATTTCTCAGTGATATTTGCTATTATCCAACCAACCAGTTAAGTCACAACCATCATCTAAAGTATATCTTGATCGAATTTTGGAATTCAATACATTGCTTTCTACCTTTGAATGAACCCAATCCAAAACTCAATCTTATGTAAATTACTATACATGTACATTGCTTAAAGATTTAAGAGTGATATCAAAGGGGCTAGAACTGCAGCAGAGTCCAACTTAAATGATTCTGGCTCAAGAGGAAATAAAAGAGGTGTCCTTTGGGAAGTGATGGTTAACAATAACAATCACTGTCGCTATTGTTTTTGAGACACCTGCAAATGACACAAAGATGTTTCCTCCATACCATTGCCAAAATGCCAACCACCTTTTAACTTGTCTCTTGATATTGTAGCAATGCATCACACTTGTTTAAAAGTCAATGTCTTGCTGTTTTAGGACCATGATAGATGTGTTGCACTGATGAATGAACTCCAGACTCTACCGATCTCTCCTCTCATGTTAAAGAAAAATCCTGAAATAGTCGCAACCATTCGTAAGGTAAATATTTTTGTCAAATTCCCTGTTAAATACCTGAAATCTGGGTAGGACTTTTGTATTAGATTGTCTAGTAATTGATTTAACATAGCAAAAGTTAAAAACAAAATTCTAAATCAAGAAATCAAAATTCATATTTTAAGCTACAGATGTACATGTATTTTAAAGTGCATGTCAGTGCATTACTATATTCTTAATGTGCCAGAACATACGAGTGTTGCAACATGGAGACATACATGTTAGGCATATTTGCAAGTTGCAACATAGTGATTATTGGTATTATTTCAGTGTCGTAAATACAAAGGTGACGAGCGAATACGAAACAAGGCAGATCATCTTTACAACAAATTCAAGGCTCTGTTTATGATTCCAGAAGGGCAAGACTTTTTACAGGTAAGCTTCTAGCAGTAATATTTCTGAGGGAGTTGATAGAAGTATCACAAAAGTTATTTTAGTAAAAGTCTAAGCCCCTTCTTGTTTGTTAAACATTGAAGTTTTGTGTATAGTTCATCATAAAGGTGTTCATTAGTGTTTATTGTTTATATGTGTTCATGTTCTAGGTGTTTATCATTGATATATTGATTATTTACAAGTGATCATATCTGAAGTGTTCATTGTTTACGAGTGATATCTGAGGTGTTTATTGTTTACAAGTGATCATATTTGAGGTGTTCATTGTTTCCAGGTGTTCAGTAGAGAAGCCAAAGAATATCAGAAGGAAGACAAGCTGAAGCTGCAGAAAGAAAAGGAAGTCAAAGACAAAGAAAAACAAAAAGAAAATAAAGAAAATCTTCAAGACAAAGGTACATCACTAATGATATGACTGTTTCCGTAGTCTACTCAGTGGATCTATTTGAATATGAAAACCAGAAGCTTTTTTTCTCTAGATATATTCACCTTTTAACTTGTGGCTGCTGCGAAATTTAAAAAGATGCCAACATCCTTCAATATTCAAACCCATACTTCATAAAGGTCTCATGTAACATCCACTGATGTTTACTTTTATTTCAGAACCCTCTGTCACAGCAGCCACTACTCCCGCAGCTACAGATGCTTCTCCTGTAAATGGCGCTCCTGTTGAAACAGAACTAGTAAACTCAACTACAGCATCTGGTGGTGAACCTGCCAACCCAGACGAAGCCACTCAAAATACTTCCAATGACGTTAACAATACAAATGTAAATACAGACATAAGTCCTGCCATTGAAAATGAAGGCACAAAAGACAGTGAAGATTCCAAATCGCAAACTCAAGAACTTACTGATCACAAAGACAACACTGATGTTGTTGATAGTAAGGTCGAGGATGTTAATAATGTTGAAGACTCTAAAAATGAGGATGAATCTAATAAGGATACCTCAGAAGAGCCAGAAAAAATGGCAACAGAAATCACAAACACTGACCAAAAAATAGATGATTTTGATGCTTTAGAGAAAATGGAAGTCGATGAACCCACTCCTAAAGTTTTGGAATCTGTTGACAGTAATAAAAATGAAGTGGCAGAGACTGATGAAAAGGTCCCTGCTGTGGATGAAGATTCAAAAGATGGTGCAGAGAAAGTCACTGACCCTAAGCCAGAGGAAGTTTCCATTGTTCCAAAGGATAAAATTATTGAAGTGTTTTTTGATGCCAAGGAAACTCAGGAGGAAAATGGCGAAAAGCCACAGACGCCAGAGGTAACATATTAATAGAATTAACTTGGTCTCATATCTGTTTCAATTAGCCAATAGCTTTGACTGCATTTACTAATTTTCATCAGAAGTGTGAGACTTTTTATATTAACATTTCAAGTATAGAATTAAGTTAGAGATCAGATTTTTATTTATAAGGTAAGATATCCATCTTATTCTGTCTGGAAAAAACGAATTACAGTTGCAATGTATTATATTGTTCTATATTGTATTCTTTGATATCATATTATATTAGGAGGAAACCCAGGATGAATTAGAGTTACCAGAATCATTGAGGAGATGTAAAAAGGCACCAAGGCACCAGCTTGATAATTTCTTGTTGATTTTTAATGTTTTTTGTTTAATTAGGATTTAGTTTATTGTTTACTTCAATTCATTATATGATCTACCATTGATGAAACTCAAATTGCTTCATTAATTTATGAAGTTTTTGACAGATTTGATTTTGTTTTACAAAGTTGGATCATCAATTCATTTTGTTCTGTTGAATTAAGGCAAAGCATGCTCATTATTACATGTATTATCCCTCCACACTTTGTTATATAGAGGGATATAGACAAGTTGTCTTCCTGTTTTTTATAGTTGATAAAATAACTCAAGTACTGCTCAACACATTTGATTTTAATTTTGTTCTGATGCCTTAGGATCATGGGACCCACTATGTTGGAGAAACTTCATGATGGCTTCTGAATTCAAAATGCCTGGTATTTTCCATGAAAAAGTGTAATTTTTGATAACTGTATATCAATAAACATATTCAACTATGAGCTATTCAACTATTGATACAACTAATATTACAAATTCTTTAGTTTTGAAGTTCACTCCCACCATCTCCTCATGTTCAAATATATATGATAATTATCATATTATATGATAAGATATATGATAATTATTCCAGGAACACCAGGATCTAGATGCCAGGATAGCTCAGATTATCAAAAGCACAAAAGATACGCCTCCCCCAGTGAAAAAGACTAGTAAAGCTCCAAAAGCAAAGGCCAAAACTCCTACTGGAGATGACATTATGGACGATGAGGAACTACATAGCTTACTGGGTGTATGATGACTCAGAACCTTTGTAGATCTAGCATAAAAGATACTGTGTGTTTGCATGGAAACTAGCATAGTGAGGACTGAATGTTCCCCAAGAGAGAAACGTGAAGAGAATGTGACAGTAGCATCATAGACATAGTTAATGCTGATATTCATGGTTGTATGAAAAAGATGGAAAGGAATGACAGTTGGATTATTAACGTGGCATATGCTGATGTTGCTGGCTTGAAAAACATTAGAAAGAGAAAAGTAATTGGTTTCAATATGACCTTTCAGAAGTGTTAATTTAAATTTTTCCTCAGAAAATACCCCATGTTAAATATACTTTCATACATGCTTTGAATGTCTACCATAGCTTTGCAATGTAAACCATTTGTTATACACATCCACATGTACCAGTATATGTACTGATCAATAGTTGGGTGGCTGGCTTCTAGCACCAGTTGTTAGTTACTTGAGTTAGGTCAATTAATACCCATAACCTGATTCCAAAAGGGGCAACTGAGTTACATTAAAGTGGGAACCAGTCAATCAGCTTTACTGAGTGACTTTCATTACCAGGTAACATGGTAACAGTTCCACCAGAAAAACTTGGGATTTTCGTAACAACAAATGAAGAAAATCAACTGTCCTCTTGTCTGCCCCGTCGCTAATTAAGCCCAACATTTCTAAATCTGACCAATGACTTTTGTCTTGTTAAGTGACAATTTGCCCGATCCACACTCAACGACTCAACCAACCACTATGAATAGTTATACATGTATCATTACTTTATACTACCAGCCAAGTGTTCATATGACATGTATGAAGACACACTCTTCACTGTCAAATATTCCCATGCCAGTACAAGTAGTTTCTGAACACCGGGGGGATGTTCATCAGTACTACCAGAACCTTCAGTTTGTACAGTGCTGCATCCACTTCAACTGTTTACAAAACATTTAGGTGAGAACAATGTAAAAATAAAATGTGAAGCTTTAGTTGATGGATTTTTCCTCTTGCTACCAGAGTTGATTGTGGTAGTTTAAAACGTGGCCTCTGTTATGAATTCAATGTCATACCACAAGTCATACCATATGATCGCTAGAGCATAATTTTGCATGCATCATCAAATGAAATCTTTCAAATGAATTTAATGTGTAGAACTTTTAAACTGAAACGTTACACAGGATTTGTGCATGATCTGCATGAATAGAAGCATTCCTTATGAAATCAAAGGTGTATTGGAAATGTATGAATTGTTACGATAGACTACTGTAGTTCCACGCATACTATGACAGTTAGACAGTTAGATATCTTAGTTCTTGATTAATTCAATTGGCATCGGAGAGTATTAATCCACAAAGTGAATGACAAAACAATGTGTAAATACCAAACATATTTTTGAGTCAAACATGTACACGCGTGTTAAGCCACGATGATACCATGAGCACATGCTTTGAGAATCCGCGTTGTTTGAACCTACTGCCGAGCTCACTTATACATCAAGACCCGTTACACAATCATGATACCGCCGAGCAAGCTCATTGTATCATCGGGTCTGCTTTACCCCCCTGATGTAGGTATGTGTTTTCTTTTTGTTGGAATTATTTCGAACTATCACTCAAAGGGGAGAGGTCTATAAAGGATTTCCTTAATTTTCTCTGTGATTGAATATTCACTGATTGTCCCATTTTAGATTGTATCTAAAGTTAACTGCTTGCTCATTTCACATTTTGTTTAGATTTAATTCTAACTTTTATATTACTGAATAATATACATTCATATATGGTATATAAAGATGTTCATCTTCAATTCTTTTAGATTGATGATGTATTATGACTATTTGTAGATTTTTAAAGGTACAATCATGAATTACTATGTAGAGTTACATGTAAAATAATTACACAATAAATTGTATCAGTAAAATGAAATCTATGTTACGTTTATTGAAGATTTGAGAAAATAGTGTGGATAGAAATAGGTTTTGTCCCTGACATTCCATTACATCAATCAATAAAAAATTGTGAGTCACCAAAATAAACAGAGTTAAGCATATTTCAATGAAAGGAATAATTGATTCATTAAACATATTTTGTCAATTGAGTACAATAGTCTACAAGAATATTTATGTGAAACTGCCAATGGGAAAGTAATGTACCAAAAATGGTTACAGAACACAGTAAGAAAAAGAATACATCTCACATACATGAGTCAAGGAAAACAAACCCCAACTATCCCAAATCATAATCCAATTTGAAAAGAAACTGTCTATAATACTCCCCTCCTCCACCAGTCAAGTACCAATATCACAATCTGAGACCATAACACCAAGTGACATTTCATTGACACTGAAGTTAATAGAATACATGTTGAAGAATAAATTTAAAATTGATAGCCAACACTCATAACATAAAAAATTGTAGATATTAGCTATACTAGAAATAGAGATAGAGCATTCAGTCTTAAATGATGTGGGACACACAAAATCAAATCTTGAAGTCTAAAAGCGTTTCAAAGGGCCAACATTCAACATCCATCCGAAAAGCCAATGACATAATCCAACACAATATTTTACAATGGTCACCAGGAGAAAACTGGAAAAATAATCAATTTATATCTGCCATGTTTTCTGTCAGCCTTGTCTTTATGATATTTTCTATAGGTTTTTAATCTATTTTGAGTTATGCCATTTAATTGAGCCAAAATAAGATAATACACTTAATCTGCCAAATAGGTAATAGATAAAAGGCAGCATGTGATAAAAGATGATGCCATCAACACACTATCATGAAATAGTTTCAAAGCAAGCACCATTCCCGGGGGTAATTTGATTAGATTTCGTTCAGTGTAATGACGTATATTATAAACATGGAGGCAGTTCCGCGGATGCCGATGGTGGCATTCGAGCTGAAAATAAGCTCAGAATACACGGAATATAGCTCAGTTTTGAAACAGGTAATGGATTTTTATTTTTGATGGGTATCTGATGTTTTGTTCAATCGACTTGTTTGATATGATTGCGCGCTTTGTTATCAAGAAAACAGCAAATAAAAGGTGAATGATTCATTTTTGCGTGACCTTTTTTTAATTTTTTTTTGTTTATCAACAAGCAATTTCTACTCAGCCTTTTAGTCCTAGTTCTAAAAGTGTTACAGTATATTTACTATTTTAATGTGTCTAATAGACTTATAGAGCTAATAACTCTAATCTCTGCACAGCTAAGCTCATATCGATACAATGCAACACACAGGCAATGGAACATAGAAATAATCCCCCCCCCCACTCTCTATATATAAGTATACAAATAGTGACTGCCATTGAGGGCAATAGTGTAAATTATTTCCCCGAGGGAATATCCTCTACAATGTACTATTCCCGAAGCCGCAGGCTGAGGGAATAGTATATTGTAGAGGATATTCCCAAGGGGAAATCATTTACACTATTGCTCGAAATTAGGCAGTCACTATTTGTTTTATTATATACCCTATACTGACTCTTGTCCCGTTTCCTCTGCGAAGGCCAAAAAGGCTTAGAAAGCCCCCTCCCCGGGTCCATTGTTAGCATTATAAGCTGTGACGTCATCAGATGCTCAACAGAAATTTTTGCCTCTGAGACTCTCACTTGACAAATTCAATCGCGTTTAACACGCGGAATAGATTATCATAACACTTGAAATTACACAGACGTATTGAGCTTAGGGAACTTTATACACGTTGCTTATATTGTATCGTTCACGCACGTCTGTCATGGTGAACGGAGTTGATTTGTGTTTGTTCTCATCCTCCATTTTTCTGTTTTTCGTCTGCGCAGTGATGATGAGCAGACGTTTCCAAGGGTAATAGAGCTTGCAATTGTGACGTCAGCGGGCAATAGTTCAAATGTATATTCCCGCTGACGTCACATTTGAGGGAATATAACTTTCCGAGGGAAATAGTAAATCTATTTCGGAACACGTGACTAGGTATTGACCAATCAGGATTAGTGTTACATATTGGGTATATAATAATAAAATTTATTTTACTTATATATAGAGAGTGGGGGGGGGGTTATTTCTATGTTCCATTGCCTGTGATGCAACACATGTTGACCAAGATTTTGACAACTTTGATCCTGAAAAATAAGGAAATGATATGACACAGGCCTCAAAATAACTTTTACATGGCCAATTTTCAGGTAGTTATTTGCCTCTGTCAGGTATTTGTATATAAAATGATGTTATATAATATATTTAAAAATAACATATACCCACGGACGTCTAATACGTTCTTCGAACGAGATAAGATATCAATCAAGAATTTCCCCAGAACATTCTCTTCGACTGTGCATATACCCAGCATATAATGTTTATCTTGTGCCAATGAAGCCTAATAATGCGCTGATGCGCACATTTATGAAAAAAATTTGACTCACTGCATTGAAGTTCTCTCAAATTAATGCATAACTTCCAAAATCCCAAAATTTGGAGAGTTTAAAGCTATTGGAGGGCTATTTTTGAAACTCTCAATAGAAAATCTTTGTGGGTGTACAGTTGTAAAAAGTAAACTCCCCTCTTAAAGTTTCGAAACAATATAAAGGTACACTCCCCTTAAAAGTTTGGTCACAGGGTTTCACTAGAATAGTGAAAATAATGAAAATAACAAGCAAAATCAATGGAAATCATTAATTTAACATGGAAAATTTGAAACGTCCCTAAAAAACAACAGGCGATTTTGTGAAATCAACATGAAAATCGCCTGTTGCCTGTTGCTAATGAAACCCTTGAAATGAAATAGCTAGACTCCCCTTCAAAAGTTTTTAAACAATTGCAATCTAGTTTAAACCTGCACATCGCTCCAAAACGCAATATGTTGACATATATTGTTTTTACATTTTCAAGCTCTAATATAAAGTTTATGTAAATAAAAATTGTTTTTTTCTGCGTAATATCAAAGAACAATCATTTAGTTAAAAAAATAAAAAGGGTAATGCGGGATTCGAACCCGGGCCTCCCGCGTGCTCAGCGAGGGTTCTACCCGCTACACCACCGTATTATTATGAAAGGAAGAAGTAATTAAACGCTACTCATTTTGAATGCTATGATTCGGAAGTGACGTCACGTTCTTCATTTAGAAACCTTTCCAAAATCATATCGCCGGCACCGATCGAAGCAAATTCAATGAAAAATCTTTGAAATGACACATTTATCGTCAGTATTTCTACACAAGATTTGCCCCATTTGTTCATCATTCTATAATCTTTCATTAAGCTCAAAATGATAAAGTTCACCCCCGAAACAACCCAAGATTGCGTTTCGGAGCGTAGTCCAGCTTTAAGTCCCCTCCAACATAATATACTATATAATCGTTATATGCACACTCCCCTCCAAGAGTTTGGAAACAACTTTAATAGGTAAATTCCCCTCCCGAAAGTTTGGAAACAATTGTAGTAGGTATTCTTCCCTCTAAAAGTATGGATATTGGAAACAATTATAAAGGAACACTCCCCTAAAAAGTTTGGAAAGAAATGTAGTAGGTACACTCACTCCAAAAGTTTGGAAACAATTATAATAGGTGCACTCCCTTCCAAAATTTTTAAACAATTGCAATAGGTACAGTCTCCTCCAACATAATCAATGTATAACTGCTTTAGGTGCACTACCCTCCAATAGCTTTTAAACTCTCCAAATTTTTGGATGTTGGAATGTTGGAAGTTATGCATTAATTTGAGAGAATTTCAATGCAGTGAGTCAATTTTTTCATAAATGTGAGCATTGGCGCGTTATTAGGCTTCACTGGCACAAGATAAACATTATATGCTGGGTGTATTTATATTTAAAATTTTATAACATCATTTTATATAGAACTACCTGACAGAAGCAAATAACTACCCCAAAATTGGCCAGTTAGTTATTTTCGCACCAGGCAAAAAATGCGAGTGTTGAGGCCTGGACCTACATTGAATTCGGTGGTTAAAATCTAAATCGTGAAGTTATTACATTTTATGTTGACATGGACAAAAAAATCCACATCACTTTTTCGTTATGTCAGTCAAATCTAAAATTTTCTTAAAGTTCAACGAATCCAAGGCTGGGAACTAACACCACTCTCAGAAAGAAAGATGACTATTTTTGCACGGACAATGAATCTAACATTTATACTAGCATTTACATGGGCGTAGCGTTATTTTTCTAAGTAGTATGCCACGACCACAGGAACAAGAGTTGAGTGAATCAAAAAACGAGCATTCAGGGGGTCTTGGGGTTCTCCCCCAGGAAAATTTTCAAATTTGGTTGTATTTGGAGCGAATTTGCAACCATCTGGTATGCCTGTGCGTTCCCAGCGTACTGGGCGCTACGCCCATGATTTATACCCCCTACCCTTCTCCTCGAACCCTCCCCCCATGCAATTAGCGATCAATACCATAAACGTTCCAACAACAATCCATGTCATTATCCCAAGCACTAATTAAAGCGGATACATTAGGTTATTGTCTGAACAGAAAGGATTCTTTCAAGAAAGGTTAATGATTTTCTTATACTATTTCCAATTTATTTCAGTACATACGGAGCCATTACAATGAAGATCCATCAGAATACAGCAATGAGTGCACAGAGCTAGATAATTTACGTCAGGTAATTTGTGCCACTGCTTAGTGATGTAATTTTATTAACTTTATTTGTTGCTATTTAGCTGTTACAAAAATGATATTTACTTGCATAATTCCTCACAATATGCACTCTCGTACATTCATGACCATCATCATAAAAATGTCTCATTTAATTTTTAGAGCGCAACACGTATCTCACAAGACTTTGTAGGATGCAAGACATTGAAGCGTTACTTCTGCCAGCTCCAGAACCTGCAATCAAGGTTCCCTATGGGAGATGGAGGGGACTGTGCTGTTCATTTTACATGGTGAGTGTTCATTCCATCTAGCCACCCTTTCATATTTTTTCACGAAATTCTAGATCAGTTGTTCGCAGCAGTATAATACTAACTGGAGTTAGTGTCATCCAAAAATCCAAAATTTCTCTGATTTTCTCTTATTCTATTTAGTATATAGTGGCAGTTGGGAAGTAAAAGGTGATTTTATGAGGCAAAAGGGATGATTTTTTATGTTAAAACATGGATGGGAGGATTATATGGACTGCAAAACTAAGCTTTAATTAAGGATGGGTCCAGAAACCTCTATCTTTGACTGATATTTTCAGAAGGCTATGCAAGACAAATAACTACATCAAGTTCAATTGCAAACAGTTGTATTGTTGAGTCATTCTCTTGCATTCTAGAGATACAATACGGTGATAATGGGGCCTCAGCTGGTCATAATGACATTATGGCACTGATAGCATGTTTTTCATACAAATTGAGTTTGTCCTGTATAATGACCAGCTGTATGGAGTTTCATGATATGAACATCTAGTCGCTGCTTAAGACAAATTCCTAACACTTTAATAAACTTCAACGGTTTCATTGAAATCTTCCAAATTATTTCGTTTTTTAAAGAGACAATGTCAAGCCAGCAATTTTGTGACTGGGATTCTGATATGGCATCACTGCCTGTAACAAATCGTTACAGTTTTGTAATTGCAAGCAGATGGTGACATTTTGTCATGTTTTCCATTTAATCACACCAATACTGTGAATTATCATTGTCATGCCTTGTACTTAACATTCTTATTGTCATGCCAGACTTTTAACTTGTTTCTCTAAAGAGATAAATATACATGTTTAACTCTATCCTTTTAGGGATGACATATACACTGGTAGGCCTGTGACAGTTGCTGATGTAAAGTTTGAGCAGGGATGTATCTTGTATAATATTGGATCGCTGCATGCCATTCTGGGAGCTATAGACAACAGACAGACAGCAGAGGTAAAAGTACACTCCCTCCATAAGTTTTGCAACTGGAAATACCCTTTTGGATTATTTATTAACTTCTGTTTAATAAAAATCAGGAACAAAATAAAGATGGACAGTCTTTGAATTGCTACCCAATGAATGAAAACTTCAAGTTTCCAAACTTATGAGTGTTTGTCATGATAAGAGATTTTCTTTTGCCATACTTGTTGCTATTTTGACATCGTCCCTTAAAATGAAATTAAAATCTAATTCTTAAAATTAGATATCAAAATTTCTCTATTTTAAAAAAAAACTTGTCATGCTTGTTCATGATTGAAAAGGTCATAGCCTCATAGACGGCAGAATTTTATTTCAAAATAAGACTCGTTGATACTAGCTTTATACATGGTGTAATCACTTTGGGAAGAATACGAAGAATGATTGAGATAAGTGTCCTTCACTTCATTTATATTCAAGTGCTATTGTTAACAGCCTTAACAGGTTTCTAGCAAACAAAATCCCTGGAGTAATATGTATGATCCAAGGTCAAGTGTTCTGTACACTTAAGGATTTCACCTCACATACTTCCTTTTCATTTCATCAGAATTGGTTTTCTTGAGATGCGGTTAATTATAATTATAATATTGTTTAATGTTTTGATATAAATAAATTACCCATTAATGTCATGTTGACCTAATATGTGTCATGTTTCCTAGTTCTGTAGTAAAATTATCTCTTATTTGGAATCATTTCTCTTTGAGCACAGCAGGAGAGTAAGCATGGTTTGTCTTTAAGTACCCCCCCCCCCACTCCCCTTCAAGCACACACCTACACTGGTTTGGGAAATATACAAATGTATAGTGGGGAGAACATAAAATGGTGAAAACATAATGGTTGGTGAACTTTGAAGTAAGAGGGGGAGAATGTTCAGTCCTGGCGTGGGGGACAAGACACTTGCTTTGATATAGATATAAATTTTTTGGTTCAATGTATTTGACCTGGTCTGATCATGTGGCTTCATTGTTGATTGTTATTGCAGGGCAGGAAGATGTCCTGTACACATTTCCAGTGTGCAGCTTGGGCCTTTGAGCATCTGAGGGATCATTTCGCTAGTGTTATGAGTGTAGATATGACTCATGATCTACTAACATTCAAGTACAATCTCATGCTGGTAAGTCATAATACTATGTTAGCGTTTTCATTTATGTTTTTGTGAAACATTTTTTGAGCTTAGGAATTTCAATATTTTTTAGATTCTTTAGTGTGGAATTAATAGTTTTTAGAACTGTGAACTAAAAGAGTTAAATCAGACAATAAACTAGATTTTTAAAATATGTCCAAATTTGATTTATTTTGCCTCAAATAAGTGACCTTTTGATTAAAGATCATTTACATCTGGATTAACACTGTATCTGAAACCTCCTAGTTTATAACATTTATCTCTTGTTTTGTAGGCACAGGCCCAGGAGTGTATCCTAGAGAAGTCTATGATTGACAACAGGAAAAGCACTATAACAACAAAGGTGGCATGCCAGATCGTTGACTACTACAGACAGGCCCTCAAGTACCTAGAGTCCAGTAATGCCAGTAATATAGTGGGCTCCAGAAAATACAAGGTATGCAAAAGTATGTTCATTCCTGAGTCTAGATACTTCATTTTGATTGGTTCAGTAATTGCCTATATTGTTGACTGTCTAATGGGCTACTGTTGACCACTCCTGAGGTACCCTCAGTCTCAGTCAATGGTTTACTGTCTCAGTGAACAATTTCAACAGTTGACTCCAAAAGTGGTCTACAATTATTATTAATGTTTTTATTATTCTTAAATCATAGTAATATATGAAGTACAAGAAAGCAAGACCAATCGCCATTTGTCATTACAGGTCGCTTTAACATGAATATAGTCTAGAAGCAAGTAATAATAAAACAAAAAATACATAAAACTATTGAAAAAAGTGGTCTACAATTATTGTATAAAGGTAAGTAATACAGGTAAAGAACATTTTAAAAGTACAAAGTAAAGGTGAGTTTTTACCTTTTGGTTAACCTGATTTGTCTACTACATACTTTTTCATTAGATTTTTAAATAGTTCTCATATTGTTCTATTTTAGGACTGGAAGAGGCGGCTAGAGCTGAAGATGAAGTTCCACGAGTGTATCATGTATATCTACCTTAGCAACCAGTCTGAGGAACAACAGAAATGGGGCGAGAGGGTCACTTACCTCAAAACTGCATCAAGCAAACTGGAGGAATGTGACAAATTAGGAAAGGTGAGGAATCTATTTGAGGACGCTGATCACTATTGATTTCATTTAATTGACATTTTTGTTCGGTTTTATTGTGTAGTTTGCAAAAGAGATATGTCTATAAAAGGTGGGTTGTATAAAAAGCCACATTTGTTTATAGATTTGTATGTCCCATTGGGTATTGAAATTTTCCATTGCCAGAGATGCTTTTCGCTTTGTTAACATGTTATACTATGATATATAAGTATGTTCTTATTATAGGGTGATGTCGAAGAAATACACGAATCACTGAGGTTCACAAGAGATGTGGTAGTCGGGAAGTAAGTAATGAAATATTCTCATAGAAATTTACCCTTAACCTCTATATGTTTCAATTATAGTATTCTGTAGATCATCAAGTTTGCTAGTTACTATCACCCCGGGATGGCACAAGTAATATTGTGATCAAGTAGCAAGAAAACTAGTAATCAGTTCAGCTTCAAATTTTTACGGATGCAAAAGCAGATTAGTGCCAAAATCTGATAGCTTTTGGCCATGCTGGGTAATTTTCAAGATGGCCATTTTGAATTTCAATTGCAATATTTACCTCTTTGGTCTTGCCTTTTAAGTTTGAGTGTTGGAGCTAAGCATTAATTCAACACATGTTCAGCAAAGAATAAACACAGTGGAGTATGTCATTAAAGTTCACATTCAGAATGGTTGTGACTTATGTGAATTGATGTTGTAGGTATGATGCTGCTAAGAAGGATAATGACTTTGTCTATCATGAGAAGGAACCAGCTCTTGATTCGCTACCAGAACCGAAAGGTAAAATTATGGAATTTACATAAATCTTAGTGTTCAATCATGGTCATATACATAAATATTTGTGTGTTCAAAATGCCATGTGTGACACGGCAATTTTTTTTTTTTGAATGGCATCCTGGATTAAAAATCTGTAGTGTAAATGTAAAAAAAACTATGTACCCCACCTTCACATCTTTGTGTTTTACTCATAGGTGCCAAATTGGTGAATGGCATAGCCTTCAATGCATCAGACCCTGAAGTATGCGGCATAGATATATTTCACAAGCTGGTCCCCCTCGAGGCTCATGAGTCTTCCTCTCTCTACAGCGAGGAGAAAGCGAAACTCTTACGTCGAGTCGGCTCTGAGGTAGAGGAAAAAAATCAAGAACTTGGGTGAGTATGTCTCTATTGTATGTCCCTATATTTCTTTTACATTGTCTTTTGTTCCCTCAATCCTCACATTTTCAATCATTTCAACTTTAGTATTTTCACTCAGTTCATATTGTCAAATCTACTTGAGCATTTTGCAGTGAATTCATGTCTAGCCAAGTCAGTAATGCATCTGAAAGTTCACCAAAATATATACTCTTAGATTTTCGGCACAAATACTAATATGGATATTCTAAAAATTTCGATCTGCCTTGCCAATCACAAATCTCTCCCTCTTGGTGAAAACTCATGATGACCACCACAATTGACATTAAAGATATGTTTATTCCTTTAGTTTTTTTTTCAATGATATATGATAAACTATAGTCACCATTTCCACTTGCATATTTTTACTCAATTTATTGTCACTTAAATCTATAAATATTTTCAGGCAATTTATGTCATCACTTCAAGTTGAGAACTTGAAGTCTGCTGGAGGGGAGCCAGAGAGGCTACCTCAGACTTTGTTAGAGAAATGTGCCCTCATAAGTGTAAAACCCAATGCCGTCAAAGATCTTGTGACCTCAATGCAAGGTAAGTACCTGCTCATCAGAGTGTGACATGAGACACAAGTGTGACATAAGACATAAGTGTGACATAAGCACAAGTCCAGGGCCGGTTAACTGAGTTTTTATGTCGCTGGCAAGGAGTATTTGGCTTTTTGTGACCAATATTGTTGGTGCTTGGCATTTGTAACAACAGTTATCACACTTTTGTAATACTTTTCATCCAGTAGGATCAACATTCACATCCCCTTGATCTACCCTATTATCTAAAGAATAGTATTTGTAGATAAATATATCTTGCATTAATCTACAGTGCAACTGGCTGGAGGATTTTGCAAATACAAGGTGGTCAAAAAGTTAAAAGAACACCATTTATTTTACAGCACTCTCGGGCAAGTCTCTTGATGTTGAGTGTGAAATTAAAGAAATAGAAGAGTTGATAGCAAATGAGCAGAAACAGGAGGAGGAATTTCAGGTAGATTTTTGTATTTATTTATTTATTGAATAAATTAAAATTATCTTTTAAATATAGTCACTCATAAAAACCTGAAAATGTGGATAACTTAAATATCTTAAATAAAAATAAATATTTTTATTGCCTTTGTTACCCTATTATGCTATTTGCAACTTTTGAAATTGAGAAAATGAGGCTTATTTCTAGGCCATGTTTGGGAAGCGATCTATACTTGTGATAATCCCTGAGGCTGCTAAGGAATGTAGCAAGTTCAAAGAGGTTCACACTGTGGCCAGTCAGTCCAACAGTGAACTACATAAAGCTATGAATACACATACCACAAACCTGAAGCTATTGAGTGGACCCCTTGAGGAGCTCCAAGCAGCTATTCCCACTGCACAGCAAAGTAAGAATAGAAGTGTTGGTTAAATGTTACTACAGAACCATTTTTGCTCTATATTCAAGATGAAAAATATAAAAATTACATGAATCATTAACATTTATTTTGTCAAACGTGGAAATCAAATAAAACAGACCCAAATCATTGAAGAGTAGCCTATCCTTTTACACAGGTACATTTATTTTGACAAAATCCTATCCTTCTACCTTTGAAAAATATTTTTGTTTCTTAAATTGTACCCAGGTGAAGAAGATGTTGCATCAGTGAACGAAATGTTACGACTGGTTAGTAAAGTTGATGAGATGAAGAGTCAGCGAGAAATGTTGATGGAACAGTTTCGTACCCAAGTACACAAAGATGACATCACATCTTCCTTGGTAACACGAGAAGACAAGGGGAATGAGGTGGGTAAAAATATGAGAGATGTTTGATAAAACCTTACACAAACAGTCATATTTTTGATTTTTATAGGTGTGGAGTCATCAAGAAATTTCTAAGGATTGTTGTAAACATCTATAAAATTTTATCTTGAATCTTTGAGCAAGGATTGTCTAGAAATTAGCATTTCTATGGTTACTATGGTATCATACCTTTGTTGAAAAAGATTTTTAAAAATTGAAAAAAAGATCTGTGATAATGTCAAACTAAATGTGTGATAAAACTTTATACAACAATACACTGCTTCCAAAACCCTCATGTTTGATACAAGTAAGTAAATATTGTTTTGTAATTACAGTCATTTCATATTTAGATTATCAATTGGCACATTATGTATTCATTATTGTCTGTTCGCACATTCTATTGCCTTTCTATTTTAACATACTCAAGTTTTTGTGTCTGTTAATAGATGGCAGAACTGTGCTTTTGCATTCACTGGAGTTGCAGATAAGAAACAAGCAAGTCTGCTATCAATATGAGTTACTAATCCCATTGGTTAATATTTCAGGAATTCTTCTTAGAAGAGATCAAGAAACATGACCAGCTTGTTGGTTTGATCCAACAGAACCTTAAGGCCCAGAGCAACATTCTACGTGCCCTAACTGAGGCAAATGCCAACTACGCAACAGCACGACGTGCAACTGGAGCCGCAGATAAGAACAAACAAACTTTCATAAGCAACCTGATATTATCCTATGATGTTTATGAAGATCTGCTCCAAAAATCTAAAAAAGGAATTGAATTTTATGAAAAGTTGGGGAAGAATGTGTCAAGACTGTTGTTGAGGATTAAGGGAGTGTGTAAGGCCCAGAATGAAGAGAGGGAAATGATTATTGAGAGACATAAACCTAAAGGTCCCCCTCCGAGCAGACCTACAGCCCCAAAGCCTGGTGAAGCCCCAGAAGCTGGTACTGCCCCTGTAGCACCTGTCGGCTTATCCAATGTGGCTCCTACTAATATTGCTCCCCCTAATACATCTCTAGCAACTTCTATTGCCCCTGGGTCAGCACCTGATTCAATGGAAGCCTCAATGACACTACCCCCTTTGGACCCTTCTGGTGGCCCAGCTCTCACATTGAAGGATTATCTCCCATTTATGAAACCTAAAACATTTGGGAATAAAAAAGGTGGACCTCCAGGGGGTGGGGCCCCAGGTGGTGGAGTAGCTAATGTACCAGTTGTATCAGGAATGTATCCTAATATGGGGGAGACACAGCCAACAAATCAACATGGATCTCCTGTCCTTCAACATAAAGTTGGTACACAACAGCCTAATATGGGAGCACAGCAGCCAAATATGGGAGTACAACAGCCAAATATGGGTGCACAGCAGCCTAATATGGGAGCACAGCAGCCAAATATGGGTGCACAGCAGCCTAATATGGGAGCACAGCAGCCTAATATGGGGCTACAACAGCCAAATATAGGTGCACAGCAGCCTAATATGGGAGCACAGCAGCCTAATATTGGACCACAGCAGCCTAATATGGGTGCACAGCAGCCTAATATGGGAGCACAGCAACCTAATATGGGAGCACAGCAGCTCAATATGGGAGAACCGAAGCCTCATATGGGGACACAACAGCCTAATATGGAGACAAATCAGCCTAATGTGGATGCACAGCAGCCTAATTTTAGTACACAGCAAGCAAACATAGGAGCACAGCAACCCAACATGAGCAGTTATCAGCCAAATATCAGTATACAACAATCCACTTCAAGTGTTTCTTCACAGAACATGTCTAACCAACCTCCAACATCTTTGCCAACTACAAAGTTTGAAACTGCACACACAGTAGATAGTATACATACCCCCATTGCCTCTCCTGGTCAACCATATCTACCTGGGCACACTGGAATACCCAATCAAGCAGCACAACAGCCTGGGATGCCCAATCAGGCAGCACAACAACCTGGAATGCCCAGTCAGACAACACAACAGCCTGGAATGCCCAATCAAGTAGCACAACAGCCTGGAATGCCCACACAGACTGCACAACAGCCTGGAAAATCAAATCAAGCACCACAACAGCCTGTAATGTCTGGATTTCCTACTCAGACAGCACAACAGCCTGGATTGTCTACTCAGACAGCACAACAGCCTGGAATATCAAATCAACCACCACACCAGCCTGGACTGCCAAATCAGACAGCACAACAGTCAGGAATGCCCACTCAGACAGCACAACAGCCTAGAATGCCTGATCAGGGAGCACAACATCATGTAATGCCCACTAAGACAGCACAACAGCCTAGAATGCCCGATCAGGGAGCACAACATCATGTAATGCCCAACCAAGTTGCACACCATCCTGGAATCCCTACTCAGACAGCACAACATCCTGGAATGCCATATCAGACAGCACAACAGCCTGGAATGCCCACTCAAATGGCACAACAAACAAGAATGCCCACTCAGGCAGCACAACAGCCTGGAATGCCCAATCAGACAGCCCAACAGCCTGGGATGTCAAATCAAGCACCACAACAACACCCAAGTCAGACAACCATTCCAAATTCAGAAGGTAATCTTCATGGTCCTATAAGTATGCAGTATATGGGTGCGCAACAATACCAGCCTCAACAGTTTATAGCTGCATCTCAGCCAAACATGAGCCAACCCACCCCACCATCATCCTCTTATCAAAACGCCCCAACTCCTAAACAAATGCAGACTCAGTTCCAACAGCCCCAATCTCAATATAATCAACAACAATACCAGCAGCCCCAACAAGGCCCCATTCAGACACAGCAAGTACAGCCTAAAATTGGCCAAAATGTGCAACCCCAAGCCTATAATGTTCAGCCTCAAACACAGTCACATGGCCAACAAGGGCAAACCCCCATGCAGTATGTGCAGCCTCAAGTGCAACAAAATTACCAGCCAACTAGCCAAGGGCAACAACCTATCCAACAAGGATCCCCCAAGCATATGCCAACCAATCTGGGATACCAGCAACCTACCCTTACACACGGAAAACCTATCCAACCTGTGTTACCACAGCAACAAGTGCGATCACAACAACAAATGCAACCACGGCAACAAATGATACCCCAGCAACAAGTGCAATCCCAGCAACAAGTGCATCCCCAGCAGGAAGCAAATCCCCAGCAGCAAGTCCATCCCCAGCAACAAGTGCAACCACAAGTGCAACTACAACAACAAATGCAACCCAGGCAACAAGTGACACAACAACAAAATCAACCACGGCAACAAATGTTACCTAAGCAACAGGTGCAACCCCAGCAATATATGCAACCACAACATACAGGCCAACCAGCACAGTCTAGGTATAACAGTCCTCCAACATCCCATGTGTCTAATCAATCAACTCCTCAATGGAACCCTTACACAAACCCACCTGGAAACTCAACCTCATACCCAAGTCAAATACCAAACAGCCAGGCCAGTATTCAACAAAGCCAAGCCAAACAAGTTCCACCAAGCAGCCAGGGTAGCCAGTTTAATCAAGGCAATCAAGTGCAGTATGGACAAAGCAGCCAAGTTCCATTGAGCCAAGGTACTCAGTCTGGCTATGGGAACCAGGCACAGACTGCCCAGCAACCTGGTCCACTTCAACAACAAGGATATAATCCCTACCAGCAAACACATTCCCAGGCTAACCCTGTATCTAGTCAGTTATCTCAGCCAGGTCAACAGGCATGGCAACATGGAGTGCCGCAGAGTCAGTATCAAAATCAAGGGCAAATACAGCCTCCAAGACAAGGTCAGCCTTCACAAGGTCAGCCTTCTCAACAAGGGCAGCCTTCATTACAACAAGGACAGCTACCAAGACAAGGGCAGACACAAGGGCTGCCACCAACAACAGGACAACAAGCTTACCAGCAACCCTATCAAACTGTCCCTCCCACTTCAAATACAGCTTTATTAAGTCAGCTACCCCCACATAGTCAAATACCCCCACAAAACCAAGCTCCAATGCAGCCTCATTCAGGAGCGCCCCCACAGCCTATACATACCCCTCCCCTCGCTAACCAATCCCCAGCCCCTCACCCACAACAAACACATCCCCCCTACAGTCAACTACAGCCAACGAACAACCAGATCCTTCAACCTATGACCAAAACCCCTAAACCAAAGGTCAATGTGGATCTCCTGTCCAAAAGCCCAGAGGCAGAGACCAGCCCCAACCCAGTCTTGACTCCAGTAGTCATCACCGCTGAGGATATTAAACGCAAACAAGAAGAAGAGATGAAAAATAAACTCATAACTAGCACGAAAGATCCATTCTCTGATAAGGAGTCTTTGGATAAGTTTGTTGGAGAGGTGAAGACTTTTGAACATGTGGTAGATGGCCTCAGGAAAAATACACTAAAAGGTCCTACACATCTCGATTCAGAATGGAAGGTAGGATAACAATTCAAAACAAAAATCATATTTGATTCACACTCTCAAAAAGTTCAAAAGTTTTTTCCTTTTGCATTTTAGTGAAGTGTGTATTATTCTGGGGTAAGAATATTGATATAAGATTAATATAATGATTGTCAGAAAAAATATTATTGAGCTAAAAAATGTAATAATTCAAGCTATACCTTTACCAGCAACTTCCAAAATAACACCTGTGTGTGATGACTGCATACTATTTATTCTCCTTATTTAGATTTTATGATTGTTATGTCACCATCATGTTTAGCAACCATCTTTTTGTGACCATCATTTGGTCTGTAAAGTCTGTAAAAGATTGTTACACTTTGAAGTGTAACGCCTTATTTATCATTTCAGGAGCTTAGTGAGAAACAAGAAAAAACAAGTCGTAAGCTTACTATGGCAATAGCCAAGTGCTACCCAATGAAGAATAGATCACAGGACAATATTCCTTGTAAGTTGTACTTTGAAGTGGGATCTCTGCTATGTAATATTCGCTCATTTGAAATAAAGGGGATTGAACTGACGTTTGATAGCCATTCTGCATAAAACTCCAAATATATTCAGAAATTTTGAATTAGACTAATCAGATATATGGTACATGTAATTATAATTTTTTTATAAGATGACTAAGGATCTCAAATCAATGTATTTTGGAATAAAAGGAAAACATGTATTATGTCTGGGCTCGCTTTATGTCTTAGACTCTTATTTTCCTTATGTATTGTCTTTTGGGCTTTCTCTTGCGTACCATGGTCTCTCCTTATGTATAGAGCTCTCTCCTTATGTAGTATATTTTAATTCTCTTTTTAGATGACCAGTCAAGGGTATGCTTGTCCACTACAAAAGATGATTACATCAATGCTAGTCAGATAGATGTAAGTCTTACCACATATTTATGCTGGATCGCAATAATCTTGTATGCAAAAAAATACAGTCAGGGGAAAGTAACCCTAAAGATATCTCGAGTATACAACTGATTTAACGTTTTCTGCAGTATGGGGTATTACAGACAGGACTGACTGATACAACTGTTATCATAATGTACAATCCAGCACATATTTCATTCGCTCATGTTAAAATGGATTCAGTGGTTACCTCCGACTAAGACTGATGCTGTCATGTTAGCAAAAATGAGATGTTTACATCAACTATTATTAATATGAAATGTTATAAGCACAATCAGATTTTTAACATGTTATTTCTATTCAATTTCTATTTCAGGATTTGTGCCCAAGTTGCCCCAAGTTTATTGTCACACAGGCCCCTCTTGCAGGCACTGTGCCAGACTTCTGGACTATGGTACAAGAACAGGGCACTGAGATTGTGGTAAACCTGCTCAATGGGGATGAATCGATAAAGGTAAATATCCATATGTCTTGTCCATACTGTTCTAACCCATGTATATATTATTAATGTAATGTTCAGTCATTCATGAAATACCTTGATGAATATTGTTTCATGCATAGCTATAATGATTCAAAAGTGAAAATGAGTTAAATCAAAATGAAAGAGAATTAGATTTAGGTATCTCTTTAAAATATTTGATTATGAATACTTGTATACCAACTTCATTTTCAATTTTGAAATACAGAACTTCAGTTTTAAATATATATGTGTCTTTTAATTAGTTTGAAATAATTCAAAAAATCTAAAACTTAAAATGTCACAGTTTGTTCAAAAATATTCAAACAGATTTTCCATCCAATGATTTACCAGATATACTGTATATGTACTCATTAAATCAAGAGCCTTTATTGAATAAGTAGTTCTCGGAAACCTTAAAAAGTGCTGATTGTATAAGATTTCATGAATAATGTTTAAATTTAAACCTGAGAAATATCTGTTGTAATTTATAGTACAAAGTCCCAGCTTATTGGCCAACAGAAAGAGGCAAACCAGTGCAGTATTTTAATGTCACCCTGACCCTTCAGCGTACCACAGATAAACCATTATGGGTGGAAAGCATTATAACTCTTAGTCATACAAAGGTATGTGCATCGAGTTGCTTGATCTTTCAGATGGATAAATGAGAAAAAATTGTAATTTATAATGATCAAAGATTATCATGAAATCTTTATTTGTACATTTCTTCATATTAAAGAGCTTTCGATGCAAACTTTTACTTTTACAAGTCAGGTATAGCACTGGGGAGGAGCTCTGGAAAGGAAGATAAGGTGCTTTCATCCTTCAAATTACAGCAAAATATTTGGCAATTATATAGTTGGTGAATTCCAGTTTCAAAATATGGTTACAACTTAGACATTGTTTCGCCATTGGTGGGATATTAACAAATCAACTCCCTCGATTAGGAAACAACAAAAATCTTTCTAATGAAATGTGCTTTCCTGGTTTCTTTGAGAAACCTTCCTCCCCAGTGGTGTTAACGTAAATTAAAAGTTAAAGTTGTAGTTTAAGTTTGGCTGAAAAATTGAAAGCTATCTATTATAGAGATAAAGGACTTTTACTTTGTATTACAGTCGAGACAAACCAGATCTATCATACACCTGCAGTACAAAGGTTGGCCATCAAGGTAATGAACTAGATACATACTATGTAACTATGGCAGTTGTCTAGAAAATCTTTGACAACACAATTAGGGACTTTATAGGCATGAGATAATTTTAATGAGATTCAAAATAGAATAACTCTTGAAAAACTGAGTTTATCTGAAGAAGATGTATAAAAACATCAAAGTTATATGTTGTAGAAAGAAAGAAATATTGTAACTTTAACATTTTGTTAATTTCCAATAAAATATGAAGTATAAATTACGCTTTGCTTCTTTATTTGATTACCCTGCCAAATAATGACCATAATGTCCACTTTAGTGAGAGAGTGTTATGATTTATGAGAAACGCTTCTTGTTTCAGTGGCCTCCCTGACAGTCCAACTGGTCTACTGGGTTTTCTTAATGAGGTGAACAATTACTACAAACAACAGCGGAGTCTACTGAAGCCTATTGTAGTCCATTGCAGGTAGGTTTAGTTATAATGTATTTAAAACATACATTCTTCATTTTGAACAGGTGGTTCTGTAGTGGGGCAGATCAACTGTGCTAGGCCTAGATGACAGATTATTCAGGTCATTTGTCAAGTCAGATTGAGTATGTGAGCCTATAGGAAGGCTGATAAAGTACCATGTCGATTTGCTTTTCATTTCTTGGCTGTCTCGACAACCTTCCTTGGTCAAACAGATCAAATATTAAATTACTAAAGAAAATCCTTCAATCTTCAACAAGTCATGATGTGTAACTGTGCATCATATAATTTATTTATTACCCAATTCTGTTTTACATGATATTGAATCAAGAGATATATACTGTGTTATCAAGTCCTGTTTCTATTTGTTTTTATATCACTGTCATGTTCAATCTATAACAAGTCATTTGTTAATATGATACAGTAAGGCTCAATTGCATTTGTTCTTATTACATTCCTGCTCTTCTATCCACACTTGTTCCCCATCTACCTCTTTTAGGTAGTTATTTTTTTTCTTTGTTGGGATGTCAGGGCATTTACCATGGGGGAGAGATGGGGGTCTTTGGCAAAGTTTCACTCTTGCTTTTTTCCCCCCTCCACATGTTACAGTACAAGATGTGAAAGCACTGAAATCCCCCCACCCACCTGTGTTTTCCATGATCCAATCAATGTAGTTTGTTACCTTAGTGTATACCCCAGACATTTTACCACATGAATTTGCTGGTCCCCAACTTACAATTCCATAAATTTCCCATATATTATTTCTTTTACCATCTCTGCACATCAAAGGTCCACCTGAATCCCCAAAACATGAGTCTTTCCCTTTTTTTGAACCAGCACAAAACATGTTATCAGTAACACTTTTTTTATCAGTTGTACTAAGTATGCAATCTTTTTGTGGTTTAATTTCAGTCTCCATCAAAACATGGGAAAGTTTCAAGTTTTTACAAATTGTTCCGATGCCAGCTGTATCACCCCAACCAATCACTTTGCACAATTTTTTGTCAATTTGATTTATGCTAAATTCTTGAATGTTAGGGAAAGCGATTGGTTGTGTATAATTGTCCAACTTTAATGGAGGCTTAACCTCAATGATTGCAATATCATTATCAAAGTTTTCATAGAGTTCATGGATTTTAATGGAAGATACTTGAACTGTACGAGATTGCTCATAAGGCTCTCTATCTGTAAGCTTATGTTTACCAGTTTTTACAGTTATGTTTTGGGAACGAAAAAGAAATTTTATACAATGTGCTGCTGTAATTATGTGCCTAGAACTTATGATGGTACCCCCACAACGACATCCCCCATTTACTTCAAAGTGGACCATCCATCTGTAGTTGTATTTTGGCTTGACTTCATCTCCTCCTGTGATAATTGCAGTAGACTCAGTTCTTCTTATTCCAGGTTCACATTTGTTTGAGTTCATTGCTGGGCATGTCGATATCTCTACTTTTGTTTCTGTGCATGTCTCTTTTTTCCCCTTTTTACCTTGGCACATCTCAAGCTTTGCAGTCTTACTACAACTATCTTCACATTTAGATGTCACTGGTTTGCCTATAAGAAAAAATAGTATTTATGTATTTAAATATTTGTGTTGCAAATTGAATTTTGATTGATGAAGGTAATTTTATATGATTTGCTTGAACACACATCTATATTGACAAGGAATTCAGCATAGAGAGCTTTTATATATTAAAATCACAATAAAGAACCATACACTGTATATGGTTTTGCAAGTGATATTAGACAGTTATCATATTATCTCAGTGTAAATAAAATCACAATAAAGAACCATATGTGGTTTTGGAAGTGATTTTAGATAGTTATAGAATTATCTCAGTATAAATAAGACTTACCATATTTGCCGTAGTAGGCGCCCGGGCGCTTAAAGTAAGTCAAAACAGTTCAAAAAGTTGTCCTTATTAGCGCCCATATGAGTCCCACCTGAGAAAAGATGCCGGAGTTTCACTTTCAGTTTAGAAAAAAATTGGAAGAAAATTTTGGTTCGTGAAATTTGCCACGTTTGCATGGACTGTGGGGTTCATACCTATCCCACTCTTTTTGCTACACTAATGGAATATAAAATATGTACTTACATCGGTATTTTACTCAATAAATCTATAGGAAAACTGACTTATACCTGCTGAATTTTTTTCTCAGCCTCGTTTTGGAATTACATGTCGGGACCCTATTATCGCCCACTTGTTTTCTTACGTTTGACCACAATGATCGTTGATTCTTCAACCAGGGACTCACCCTCGGGCCTCCAAAAGTCTGGGTGGGCGCTAATAGGAACATGGGCGCCAATTACGGCAAATACGGTATTACTGTTTTCCCCCAAGTTTCTGGGTCATTAAAGTTATTACTTTGACACTTTAAGTGTGAATCTTCTCAGAAATGTTTCTTATTATATTAAGTTAAGATCAATGAATTCTAAGAAAAGGAATGGTTTACCTTTATTTTGTGCCTCATCACATCGGCTTTGACAATTTCTAAATTTGTTATTAACACAGCTACATTGTTGGCAGCTATCCTTTATCCATCCTATCCGCCCATTTGTTGTGCAATAATTTGGACATTTTCTTTTATTGGTGCATTCCATTTTACCATCCTTCCCACAGGTGCATGTGTTGCATCTGTCAGGATGTAGCCATTCTTCAGATTCATTATGAATATTGCCTTCATCATCTATACATGTGGCAACTTCATTTGAGCAGCACATGGAGAATTGATTTTCTTCAAATCTTTTACACGTGTAACCTTCTGGACATGGTTTGCTTCCTCCTCCCAAGCAAGCCCATGGTATGAGATTTTTAGGAGGGTCTTTATATATTGTTCTACATGTTTGTGGTATATTGTACTGGCAACATTTATTGTCCTTCTTTGAGCATTTGTAAGAGTTAGGACAGCCATTACCGCTACATTTTATGGTTGGGTGGCAGTTGTCTTGAGGTGGATTTTTGGGACATCTTATTTTTGTGCATTCTATTTTCCCTTGCTTTCCACAAGAGCATGTGTTGCATTGATCAGAATGTTTCCATTTCTCATTTTCTTCACGAATGTTACCGTTGCCATCTTTACATATTGTCAGTTTCATTACATCCTCCTTGCAGCATCTAAAGTTATTACTTCTGGAACATTGGTATGTTTTCGGGCAGGCATTGGGAGATCGACGGCTACATTTTATGGATGGATGGCATTCATACGTTGGAGGTTGAGTTGTTGAACAAATCCTTTTTGTACATTCTATTTTCCCTTGGCCTTTACAAGAACATGTGTTACATTGGTCTTTCCATTTTTCATTTTCCTTACGAATGTTACCTTTATTATCTTTGCATGTAGTAACACTTTCCAAGCAGCACATCGTGAATTTATTTCCTCCAAAGCTTTGACATTTGTATCCTCCTGGACATGCTCTGCTACCTTTTCCCTTGCATGATCTAGGTAAGAGATTTTTAGGAGGATCTGTATATACCGTTTTACATGTGTCTGGTCTACTGTATTGACAACATCTATCATCATTTTTAACTTTTGAGCACTTGTAGGAGTTTGGACATGCATCAGACCGCCCGCTACATTTAATAGATGGATGCGGATTCAAACAATCAGAACAACCTTTCCTATTGGTGCATTCTATTTTCCCTTGCTTTCCACACATACATGTGTTGCATTGGTCAGAGTGTTTCCATTCATCCTTTTCCTTACGAATGTTACCTTTATCATCTTTACATGTTATTGGTGGATTCTGCTTGCAACATTTAAAGTTATCCTTTCTTGAGCATATGTACGACTTTGGACAGGCTTTGGGTTTATGACGACTGCATTTTATAGTTGGATGCGGTTTCAAACATTTCCCCTGCACGCCACGTATTGTGTCAAAGCTCCCTATAATCCCTAACAGTAATATCAAGGTTATAGTAATAACAGTAGCAGATCCCATCGTGGCCTTTCCTCTACTGCTCTTCCTCCAAAACCAAGGTGATATTTAATTAACGAGGAGTTTAGAACATGCATGTGGAAATTTTTGTGTCATGAAACGTGTTTAATCAGTGTATACAAGTATATAGATATACGCCGACAGTATTCAATGTTCTGTTTATCTTTGCTGAACATACATGATGTTCATGGATATAGAGTGATTAATATTCATCATCATCATTCATTATTTATTTAAATTATTTATCTATTTGATCAGCATTCATGAGACGATCAGAAAAGAAAAAAATAGTAACATTTGTGGTGAGAACATATTCAACGCTATAATGAAACAAGACACACAGTGATAAATATCGCACTTTGAAGAGCAAACTGGCCACCATGCAATTTACCCAGCATGGCCAAAACCTAATCAGACCTAGGCACTAGTCTGCTCTTGCATCTGTAAACATTTCAAGTTGACAAGGTTAGCGGTTTTCCTGCAATTTTGATGACAAGAATTTATTTGTAGTCTTGAACTTTGGGAAAATTTAGATAACATTGTTTGTGACCTAATTTGATGACCTTCGACCTTGAAAATTTAACTTTTTCAGACCTCAGTAGGTGTTTTGTAATTAAGCTGACCTAAATTTAAATCCAAAATATCAATTTAGAAAATCAAAGGTCAACGAAAGGTCAAATCTGAAATCTAAGGTCAGATTTGAACTTCTGAGAACTTGTAGATGATTTTAAAAAAACATTTGGTCAATTTGGAGCAAGTTGAAAAATTCAAAATGGCCACCAAATTGAAAAATTCAAAATGGCCACCATGTAATTCAGCCAGCATACCCAAAACCTAATCAGATCTTGGCAATAGTCTGCTCTTGCATCTGTAAAAATTTCAAGTTGAACGGATAAGTGGTTTTCCTGGAATTTTGATGACAAGATTTGTTGAAAAATTCAAAATGGCCGCCACATAGTTTACCCAGCATGCCCTTAACCTAATCAGATCTTGGCACTAGTCTGCTTTTGCATGTGTAAAAATTTCAAGTTGAACAGGTTAGCGGTTTTCTTGGAATTTTGATGACAAGAATTGATTTGTAGTCTCAAACTTTGAGAAACTTGGATAACATCATTTGTGACCTAGTTTAATGACCTTGACCTTCGACCTTGAAAATTTAACTTTTTCAGACCTCAGTAGGTGTTTTGTAATTAAGCTGACCTAAATTAAAATCCAAAATATCAATTTAGAAAATCAACTTTTTTGACCTTTTCAAGGTCACTGAAGGTGAATGAAAGGTCAAATCTGAAATCTAAGGTCAGATTTGAACTTCTTAGAACTTGTAGATGTTTTTTAAAAAAAATTTGGTCAATTTGGAGCAAGTTGAAAAATTCAAAATGGCCGCCAAATTGAAAAATTCAAAATGGCCACCATGTAATTCAGCCAGCATACCCAAAACCTAATCAGATCTTGGCAATAGTCTGCTCTTGCATCTGTTAAAATTTCAAGTTGAACGGATAAGTGGTTTTCCTGGAATTTTGATGACAAGATTTGTTGAAAAATTCAAAATGGCCGCCACGTAGTTTACCCAGCATGCCCTAAACCTAATCAGATCTTGGCACTAGTCTGCTATTGCATGTGTAAAAATTTCAAGTTGAACAGGTTAGCGGTTTTCTTGGAATTTTGATGACAAGAATTGATTTGTAGTCTCAAACTTTAAGAAACTTGGATAACATCATTTGTGACCTAGTTTAATGACCTTCGACCTTGAAAATTTAACTTTTTCAGACCTCAGTAGGTGTTTTGTAATTAAGCTGACCTAAATTTAAATCCAAAATATCAATTTAGAAAATCAACTTTTTTGACCTTTTCAAGGTCACTGAAGGTGAATGAAAGGTCAAATCTGAAATCTAAGGTCAGATTTGAACTTCTGAGAACTTGTAGATGTTTTTAAAAAAAAAATTTGGTCAATTTGGAGCAAGTTGAAAAATTCAAAATGGCCGCCAAATTGAAAAATTCAAAATGGCCACCATGTAATTCAGCCAGCATACCCAAAACCTAATCAGATCTTGGCAATAGTCTGCTCTTGAATGTGTGAAAATTTCAAGTTGAACGGATAAGTGGTTTTCCTGGAATTTTGATGACAAGATTTGTTGAAAAATTCAAAATGGCCACCACGTAGTTTACCCAGCATGCCCTTAACCTAATCAGATCTTGGTACTAGTCTGCTCTTGCATCTGTGAAAATTTCAAGTTGAACAGGTAAGCAGTTATCCTGGAAATTTGATGACAAGATTTGGTTTATGTGCCGCCCGCCCGCACGCCCGCCCGCCCAACAGCACAAGACGACGACAATATAGCACTTTTTCAAAGTGCGATAAAAATTAATTCAATTTAATGTTTTGCACAAGGGGACGTCACTACATATCTGTCCAGACCGATGTTTTTGATTAATCCATACGGGTTATAACCAACCGATTAAAGTCATTTCAAAGTAAATACCAGATCCCAACATCAATCGTGCTTCAGATTTACCAAAAGTTGATCAACAAAATTATTTGTAACGCTCAAACTATGTGTTGAATCCATATTGCTTGTTGTGTCTTTGTACTGTAAAGGGTGTCCCCTTACTTATTCAAAGAGTAAACATGTTTGATTGCAGCACCGGCAGTGGACGTTGTGGTATATTCTGTGTGGTCTACACAGGCCTTCAGGAGATCAACATCGGGCATGGGATCATAGATGTCGCTGCTCTCGTCAGCCAAATCCGACAACAACGAAAGTACTTGGTGTACACTAAGGAGGAGCTCGAGTTCTGTTATCACGCTCTGCTGTACTATGGACAGGATTTACTCATGAAAAGTAAGTATAACAGGATTGTTATTGTTATTAACTTTTTAACCTAATATTTGTAGTTGTTTTTATTCCATCAAAAGAAGGCCATTCTTCCATTAAATTATTCAAATATTCAATTATTTGCTGGTAGTCCATCTACTGTATTTCTGCCAAGTTTGATGACATGATTCCAAATATTGTTTGTAAAATTTATTGATCAACCCATATGTATCTAGAAGAATGTGCATTTGCTGCATGTAACACTATGAATAATATATATCTGTTAGATAAAGATAACAAATATCTATATCAACAAGATAAATGATAAATTTCACTAAGATATGTTTATGTTTAATGAGCCATGCCATTTTCATGACAGCAGGTAACAAATACCATAGCCCTGACATACCATTAAGCAATGATAATGAAGCAGTTTTATTTATTCTTCATGACAATTGAACCATTAAACTACAATGGATCATGTGTGTCTTTAATGTCAACAGGAACTTAATCAAGATGGAAAAATATGAGATGAGGTAATTGAAAGTTTGATGGGGTAAATAACAAAAAATTAAAGTGGGAAAAAACTAACATTTAATTCATTTGACTTTTATTTGAAAAACTTTGGCAAGGCGGCTGATGAAATGAATCGAGCGTTTTCAAAATGTGAAACCATGGTCTCTCTTAGTGTCCAGTGAAGTATAAACATCCTCTCATCAAAGTTAAGTAAACTATCTTCAGAATATCAAATAAACTATGCTTTCATGTTTGATGAAGATGTTTTATTTAATTTTCATGAACTTTTACAGACAAAGCTGGAATTATTGTGGGCCAATAATTTTGTACATGATATTATCAGCAACTACATTCTTGTTGTTTTCATCAAGGTTACCTCCTTCACTTGGAAACACATCATTCTCTTCTGGATCTTCACTGGCAATTTTCCTCAAATCTATTGCTCCCAGATGATCATTCCCGTTACCATTCTTAAGTTTAACACCAAGAATATCTAAATAGCCATCCTCCATGTCATTAGCCATTTTGATCACCTCCTCTCTCTTGGCTGCAGTTCTAGGATGAAGCACACCATCATAAAATAATATCACAAAAACAATGCCATTGGGCATCCATCTATCAACCTCTTCTTTGATCATCTCTAATACCTTGTCTGTATTTGACTGGCGTCGACCTATTTTGGAAGGATTCATGGTAAAAGCATTTATAGCATCAACAACACCAGGGTCGGAAGTAGGAGTATATTTATCAGCGGTGAACATTATTTTGGGCTTGACGCTAAATGTGAGAGCAGAGGCAAGGACGTTATCCCCAAGGTCAACAAAACTTTCATATATCTTGATAGCCACTTCTTTGCTCAACTCGAAATCCGCCACACTGATACTTCCCGATTTATCAAATACGAACATCAGGTTGACATCTAGAAAAATGGAAAATAAATAACACATGGGGGTAAGCTATCTACATTAAGAAGTGAAGGGATATGGTCATTATGAAGCACCCTGTATGGATGAAGGAAATTATAATAGAGAGTGTAAAATGTTTGACCAATCTTCATCAATCTTCTTTGTTTCAGTTCCTTCTATTTTCAAAAAATTATTTTCTAAATAATAAGGAGTAAGATCTCTGATCAAATATCCAAGTAATTGAAGATTCAAGCAAAAGTGTCTATGTCCCTTCAAAAAAAATTGATATAAAGAAAGGAACTGTTTGACTTTTAGAAAATAGACATGACATGAAAGGAAGGATGAGAGCAATTCCTTTCAGTCCCTTATGTTGAATACAAAAGACTTGTTACAAAATGATGGTACTGTATTTTGGTTGGAAAAATGCTTATTTATTTGAACAAGAAAGGTAAGGCAAAAAAAAGTATAAGATAAACACAGAAAATAAAGCTCTCTTACCATTAGGGACAACATCCCCTCCATAAACATGTATTATATTACATGCAATAGTGATGACCAATGGGACGTGGAGAATCATTTTTCTTCCCTCGCTTACTTTGTGGACCTTTCTCATTTGATGCAGGAAGTGCAATATCATTGTTTGTAACATATTTTATGTTGAAATCATTTGTCATACATTTTATTACCTACCGATGATAGGTTAATAACACTTTATTTCTTTAATTTTTAAGAAGCAGCAAATTGTCACGTAGAGGCTATTAGTTATTTTGCACTGATTATGCAGGTTAGTTTGAACAAGATAATTATGTTAATATAAGGCATAGGGGCTGATGTAAGATGCTCTTTCTGTTGAGCTATTGCACTATCTGATCCTTCTTTGTCAGCATTTCATATACAGTAAAACCTGTCTAATTGTAACTCATTTGGAACCTCTAAAAAGTGTTCCACTTGGGAGGTTTTCCACTTATAGAGGTTAATTTAATATTAAGTCAGTTGATCTTGGGACTCTGAAAAGTCTTCACTAACAGAGATGTTCCATTTCTAGAGGTGTTCCACTTTACAGGTTTCACTGTATAGGATTTCAGTCATAACTTTCCAGTTTATCTTGAAGCATTTCAGCATTGTGAAGGCCGGTCATGCATGTTAAATAAACCATCTTACAGGAATTCTAAGATATAGAGGCTTCAATTACATCCCAGGATAAGATCAGATACAAATTACAATACTCAGACTGAAAAAACTATTTTTTGATTTAATAATCAACTCAAATATACATACCACATCTCAGCAGATATCAGGCAAATAAATATTTTTACAATCAATAAAACTAAGATATAAAACCAGATGTATGTTCCCCAACCTCCGCTTGTAAGCAGTTTTCTTTTTCCTGCTGTTTGATTCAATTATAAATTGATTTATATGCTTTCTGTCAGGAATGTTTTGACTTCCTCTCTTCTTTCTCGACTTACATCTGATCTACCGAGAAAAATCTCAAATGAAAAAGTTCTATTTTCAACTTTTTCAATCCTCATTCTAAACACCTTTTAAACATTCAGACATCAACTTTGAATGGACGTTCATGCATATTTTGAAAATAGATGGAGGTGGAATTTCAAAATGGCGGCCATTTTTCGTAAAAAATGTAATCTATGATAACTCAAATACCAGCTAATGGATTTGCTTCAGATTTTTGTATGATGATGCCTTGGGGCACAGTAGCTCTGTTACAGAAAGAATCTCAAGATGGAGGCTGAATTTCAAAATGGCTGCCATTTTTTCATAAAAAGCGTAATCTTTGATAACTCAAATACCAATTAGGCTCAAATTTTATATGGTGATGTTTAACACAGTAGCTCTGTTAGAGAAAGAATTTTCAAGATGGCGGCTGAATTTCAAAATGGCTGCCATTTTTCAGAAAAAAATATAATCTTTGATAACTCAAGTACCAGTGGACGGATTTGGTTCAAATTTTATATGCTGATATGCTCTGTTCAAGAAGGAACTTTCAAGATGGCCACTAATTATCAAAATATGTTTTGTTCGGTGGGATTTGCTACTCCATGGAGTTGCTATTTTCCTAGTTTAGATTGATATCTTTATTAGCTTTTATGATCACTCCCTCTCTGATGGTTACAGTTGTAGGGTGTACTAGACCAACATAAAATCAAATCATAAAACAGTGATATTAGGATGGTCTCCATTTTCCATCAAGTTACTTCTTTTCTCAACTCAAAATACTCATCACAGCTTATGTTTGAATAAAGCATGCACTCTCAATATCAAGTGAATTTGGTAATTTTTATAAGATATCTTGATCTCACCTGGCAACATTACATTTAAATAAAGGTTGTACTCTCAAGCTCATGTAAACCTTGCATTTTCAAAACATCTAAATTTAAACTAAGCTTACATTTCAAAATGCCATACCCTCTCACAATTTCAGACAAACCTGAATATCAAGAAAATCTTGTTTTAAAATGTTAAATATATAATGATCTCTCCAATGGAAAATGAATCTTTCATTTTCAAAAGGAATTTTCGCTAATTAAATGTGTAAGTGCAAGTGCCAACTGGAAAATACCAATACAGAACATAACAAGAAAAAGAAAACTAAGAGCACAGCAGTTATAAGGAAATAAAACCCTGACTATACCGAATCATAATCCAACGTGAAAAGAAACAAGTGTCTAATACCCCCTCCCCCATCATTCAAGTACCAATATCACAATCTGAGACCATAACACCAAGGAACATTTCATTCATACTCTAATTCATACATGATCAGTGTCAAATGAACCTTGAATTCTCAAAATGACAAATAAACCATATTGTCTCTCAATGTTAAAGTAAAGTTGCATTATTCAAAATGACAAATATACCATTCAGTCTTTCAATATCAGGCAAACTTTGCATTTCCATATGTCAAATACACCATGTGCTCTCTGATTGTCAAGTTACCTAGCATTTTCAAAATAACAAACATGTCATGTACATTTTTTTAATTGGATATAAACCATAATCTAATGGATATCCAGTAACCAGTTATACCATTCACTCCTCAAAGAATTACGCACCTGCGAAGCAGACAGAATTGAAATTCAGGCACAGAATTTTGAAATTATGCATGATCATTCATAAAATTTATTCACATAAGTATGTGTACAGGGAATTATCTTCCAGATATTTTGTTCACGATTGCTTCAGCAACTTCATCCTTGTTTTCCGCATTCAGGTTACCACCAACACTTGGAAACACATCATTCTGTTCAGGATCTCCACTGGCAATTCTCTTCAAATCTTTTGCTCCCAAAGGATCATTGCCATTACCATTCTTAAGTTTAACTCCAAGAATATTTGCAGAGCCATCCATCTCCATGTCATTAGCCATTTTGATCACCTCCTCTCTCTTGATCGCAGTTCTAGGAAAGAGCACACCATCATAAAATAATACCACAAAAACATTGCCATTGGGTGCCCATCTCTCCAGCTCCTCATTGATCATCTCTAATACCTTGTCTGTATTTGACTGACGTCGACCACTCTTGGAAGGATTCATGGTAAAAGCATTTATAGCATCAACAACACCAGGGTCGGAAGTAGGAGTATATTTATCAGCGGTGAACATTATTTTGGGCTTGACGCTAAATGTGAGGGCAGAGGCAAGGACGTTATCCTCAATGGCAACCAAACCTTCATATATCTTGATAGCCACTTCTTTGCTCAACTCGAAAGATCCAACACTGATACTTCCAGACTTATCAAACACAAACATCAGGTTGACATCTGGAATAATGTGATATTTGTACTGTACATATTTTTGTTAACCATTTAAGAATTCAGAAAAAATTGTCCGTTTCTCTGTGCATCCATCCATCTGAAAAATAACTAGAATACCAGTAAACAGATTTTCTTCATATTTGGTGGAAAGATGTAACATATTCTCTGTAATTAGCACCTGAGATGCTTTGAAAATTCAGATTACCTGCTTCAGACAATTCTAATAAGCACCCATATATGAATGAGTCAAAAAAATCCCAGGGAATTTCATGTATGCAATTTTTTGGCCAGGAATGGCTTATTTTCAACTTCAGAATGAAGTAACAGCATATTTTCACAATAATAACATCGATTGTTTTTGAAACGTTTTGGTAAAAATCACTAAAAATGAACCAAGAATCTTAACAAAACAATATTGTAGAAATCTCCAGTAGAGGACCACGAATTGAAGAAATCTCCAGACAGGCTCTGCATTGGTTTCTCTGATTATCTTCATTATTTCTGGATTTTCAGTCCACAATCAATTAAGCTTTCATATGATATATTACACCTATGGGGATGTTATCTACAATTGATGGTGTAGGGGATGGTCACTTTTAAACATTCTGTTTGTAGAAGAAAGATCCAGAAGGGATGGAGAGGACAAAAATCATGCCAGTGTACTTTCCTTATAATCCTATAATTTTCAATTACTTGAAAATATAAGGATTGATATATCTGATCAAATATTGAAGTTTTAAAATTGCAAAAATGCATAAATTCATTAGAATTTAAAAAAACACTCAATATTTTGCTAGATAACTTTAACAATTGAAGCATTATCCTGAAATTAAGTCAGAACTGTTATACTGTTAAGAAAAATGCATGAAATGGAATGATAAAGGCAAAACATATTGTAAAACTTGTGTAAATTCATACTAGTCTCTTAATGTATGTTGACCACAAAAATATTGTGACAAAACTGAACAGTGTAATCTATTTTTTAATTGAATTATCTTATTTTTTAAACAACAAAATTATGAAATAAATTTTGTTTGACCAAGAAAGGATTAAGACATAAAAATAGTTTAAGATAAACATGTAGTCAGTTATATTTAATAAAATAAGTATTCTTACCTCCATTTACATGTACGAGTATTATATTACATGCAACAAAGATGAAAACTGCAATGTTGAGATTCATTTTTTTCTTTGCTTTCTCTGTAAACCTTTCTTCAGTGGTTCCAAACAAGAAATGCTGCAGTTATCATTGCTTTTAAATAACATATCTGATTTCGAAATCATTCTTAAGTTTTATTACACATTTTATTACTTAACTATGATGTGGCACTAAAATTTTATTTCTTTAACATTTATAAAGTTTCTAATTGTCATGTACATGCTATTTCAGCTATTTTGAGCTATTGCAGCATCTAATTATCGCACATCAGCATCTATGGTTTGCAGCAATATTTTATCCGTTTAGCTTAGACAAAAGTTACCATTGTGAATGTCATGCATGTGAAGCTGTGAAATGAATTGCAAAAACATTTAAACATTTTTTAAAGTCAAATTGAATAAATCCTATTTTCAAGTGAACTGTAACTTCTCAAAATATCAACCCATAAATCTCTCAGTGGATATATGGATTTGTGTCATACCTTTGTAGATGGTCTCTTCAGCAACTGGATTCTTTTCTTCATCAGTGTCGACCTCTTCTTTTGGAAACTCATCATTTGCAGTGGAAGGCTCACGTTTCTTCTCTCAAGTTTTTTCAAATCCTCTGCTCCAAATTAGGATCAATGCCATTACCTTTATTGAGTTTAACACCAAGAAAATGTGCACCATTATTCAGACTGATATCTTTCATTATTTAATGATCACGATCACCTCCTTTCTGATGGTTTTAAGTTTTAAGGATTAATACCTTCGATGTGTCTAAGTAATTAAGTAACATTTTTCATCCCTAAATTCCTCAGTAAAATATCTCCAATGTCTGTCTTTTATTATCAGCAAATCTAGGGCAGTGTAGATGGTATGTATTACAATGTGACATATATAAATTCATGAATATTTTGTTTGTTTGGTGGGATTTGATATTCTGTGAATTCTAGTTAAAAGTTAACTTACCATCCTAGATGAGTCCAAGATGTTTATGGTAAGTAGTTTCAGCTATGGGTTTGTCATCGATACCAAGTAGATAATCGTTCAGGAAAGAATTTTTGTCATGGAAGATGACATGTGCACTTCTTGTTATGTTAACCTGTTTGACCAGATTTGTTTGACCAGGGGATAATAATGTCCATGTCCTCTTGTAAAGTAGTATGGGTAGTAGACTGATGTATCGTTGGCAAAAATAAAGCACTTATATATTTTATTTCAGTCATGTCATTAATATATAAAAGGAAGAATAACTGTTTAACAAGAGGTCCTTTGGGAATACGAGCATTGATATAATTTTCAGGTGATAGCTCAGGTGATTTTCAGGTGAAAGGTGTGACCATAGCAAGAACTGAGTACCTCTGAACAAAAATTATATGCATTGAACGATATCTCATTTCTAGCCGGGCGTTAATCCATTTTTGGCCCGCCACTATGGCCCACCACTATGACGTCACATATTGCTCAGGTCAATATGGTAAAATAAATGCCTTTTGAACTAGTACTAATACCCTAGAACAGGCCCGGCAAGGTGGAAATAATTGACCTTAAGACACAGAATTCTGAAAGTATACATGATCATTCATAAAATTTATTCACATAAGTATGTGTACATGGAATTATTGTTCAGATATTTTGTTCAGGATTGCTTCAGCAACTTCATCCTTGTTTTCTGCATTCAGGTTACCACCAGCACTTGGGAACACATCATTCTGTTCAGGATCTCCACTGGCAATTTTCTTCAAATCTTTTTCACCAATATTATTAACGCCATTTTCATTCTTGAGTTTAACCCCAAGAATATCAGCATGATACTGCTGCTCTAGGGTATTAGCCATTTTGATCACATCTCCTCTCTTTTTCGGTGTTCTAGGGAAGAGCACACCATCATAAAATAATATGATATAATCAAACGCATTATCCATCATTTCTTCGACCATCTCCAAAGCCATGTTTGTATTTGTCTGACGTCGGCCTTCCTTGGAACGATTCATGGTAATAGCATTTATTGCATCAACAACACCAGGGTCGGAAGTAGGTGTGTATTCATCTTTGGTGAACTTTATTTTGGCCTCAACGTCAAATGTGAGGGCAGAGGCAAAGACATTATCCTCATTGGCAACCAACCTTTCATATATCTTGATAGCTACTTCTATGCTCAACCCAAAAGACTCAACACTGATACTTCCTGACGTATCAAATACAAACATCAGGTTGACATCTGGAATAATGTTATATGTTTACTGTATGTTTTTGCTACCCATTTTAGAATTATGATAATATTGTCAATCTGTCTTTCAATCCACAAAAATAACTCAAATGCTCGCTAATTTTTTCATATTTGGTGGAAAGATGTAGATTTCAAATATTGTACCATATTGTTTCACCCTCTAGAAATCCAGAATGATTGCCCAGATTTGGGAATTGCATTGCTCACGAGTACTAGTATGTCTAATTTCATCAAAGCTAAGGAGTAGATTGCAAATATTATATCATCTTTTTTTATTCCAAAATGGTCACCTAGATAAGGAATTCTCATTAAGTTGAAATATCTTTCAGAAGCATTATTATTATGTACATGTAATTGATGTCAGTTGATGCCTTTAACCAGAATTTGCATTTAGCCTATATTCTGAAATATTGGTCCAAAATACAATTCTTATTTTCTAAAACAACAATACAACAAAAATAAATTTTGTTTGACCAAGAAAGGATTAAGATAAGTTTTATTGAATAAAATAAAGTATTCTTACCTCCATTTACATGTATTATATTACATGCAACAAAGATTAAAACTGCAATGTTGAGAATCATTTTTCTTTTTTGTTTATTCTGTAAACCTTTGTTCAATAATTCAAGACAAGAAATGTTGCATTTTTCATTCTCAATGACAAACTTTATGTTATGATCATTGGTGTGACATTTCACTACCTCCGTATGATATAGTAATAAATTTTAATTTCTTTAACATTTAAAAAGTAGCAAATCGATGTACCAGGTAGTTATTTTTACTGTGTTAGTACAGGTTACCTTGAACAAGATTACCAATGTGAAGGCCATACATTGGATTTTAAGCATCGGATCATATTTACTATCATCATAACCTTCTAATAACAGTTTAAATGTTCTGTCACTTGAGTTATTGGAGAATCAAATCCTGGCATATCAAGATTGCATCTATGGCATCACAGCCATAACAGTTTAGTCGAAACAAAAGTTACCAATGTGAAGGTGATGCATTAAATTTGAAACATAGGATCATATTCTGCATGGATCACACATTCTGATGACAAGTTAGATGTTTTATTTCTTGAGCTATTGCAGCAACTAATCCTTGCACATGAGTATCAAGTGAACTTTGCATTTTTAAAATATCATGTTTTCACAGATAGCAAATTAAACCTGCACATCGCTTTAAAATGCAATCTTTGGTTATTCCACGGTCAACTGAAAGATTTTGAGCTATAACGAAAGAATATACAATGGTGATCAAATGGGGCAAATATTGTATACAAATACTCACTATAAATGTGTCATTATGAGGATTGTACCTTCAAGTGCTCAGATTCTTGCCAACAATTTGATTTTTGGAAGGTTTATATGTGGTATGCAATATAAATGAAAGCAACCCAATAAGGTGTATTTAAAGATAAACCCTCCTGTTATCTCAAATTCTGCTTGGAACCACACCATTGGATTAACATAGGAAATTCCTCCAAGAGAATATTCTAGGGATTAAAGAATTGGTGCAGTTTACAAAATTTGAGAAATTATTGGCATACATGAAACCTATTTAAAACAGCATTTATATTATTCCAAAGCCTCGAGCACAATGATTCCCAGCCCTCTGAAGTTTGAAAAATAAAAATACCTGGGTGTTAATCTATAGATAATCCGTGAAAATTATAACTTTTTGGGGGAATTATACGGAGCAATATTATTGTCACTAAAATGTTTTACAGTGTATTGTTGTTTTTAGATGAAAAACATAAGCAAAATGCATGAAAAAACTCCCTCGATTCATTCTACAAACAACTCACGGTCCTTTAGAATATTACGTCACTACCATATTGGAATGTTTCAAATAATACTCCTGATGTTATTAAATAACTCAGTGATCTAGCGCTAGATTTGAATAAACCATGCTCGCTGAATGTCAGGCAAACCTATGGTTGTCTAGTAATCAGTTATACTATAGAACTAAGATCTTTTGATTTGAACTTGAATATGTTATTCATTTTCATAAAATTTATTCACATAAGTATGTGTACAGGGAATTATTTTTCAGATGTTCTGTTCACGATTGCTTCAGCAACTTTATCCTTGTTTTCTGCATTCAGGTTACCACCAGCACTTGGGAACACATCATTCTTCGAAGGATCTCCACTGGCAATTTTCTTCAGATCTTTTTTACCAATATTATTAAAGCCATTTTCATTATTGAGTTTAACCCCAAGAATATCACCATGGTACTGCTTCTCTATGGTATTAGCTATTTTGATCACATCTCTTCTCTTTCTCAGTGATCTCGGGAAGAGTACACCATCGTGAAATAATATCACAAAACTTGGTGCATACGAACGGTCTCCATTCCCAAGCATTTCCTTCTTTATCACATTCAGCACCTTTCCTGTATTTGACTGTTGCCGACCATCTTTGGAAGGGTCCATAGTTATATTATTTATGTCATTAATTACGTCTGGGGATGGGACTTTACCAGGCTTGTATTTCTTCATGTAGAACTGGACAGTGGGATCAACATGAAATGTGACAACAGACACGAGGACACTGTACCCTTTAGCAACTAATTCTTTGTAGATTATAATAACCACTTCCTTGCTCAAATTGAACGACTGCATACTGATACTACCAGACATATCAAATACAAACACCAGATCAACAGCTGTAATGATATATACAGAATTAGTGGTTTTGCATGTAGGATACTTGTGTTTTTATATGTTCAAGTGTAGGAGTTATAAAATGGTTTGTGGCAGTTTGAAAACAGTACATTGTCAAAGTTTATCTATCATCCATTTGTTTATTGAAATTCAATTCAAAGATTTGTAATTGTACATAAAAGTTTTACTAGGAGAGTCATATATTGTTATAATGTGCTTACTTTTATTTGGATTAAATGGTGAGCATGTTTTGATAACCTGTTCATTGCAATATTTGGGGAACTCCTTGTCCTTCAGTATATCTTCAATTTCTTTTAAACAAGATAAAAAGTGTCAATTGTAGTACAGTAAAGAAAAAACTGCACATAACAGTATATATATATTACATACATGTACTGTATAGTCTATATATTTTTAGAATAGCATCCTCATATCTCTATTCAACTGTGTGACCTCTTGTTATATGCTAGTTCTTACCATTTACTCTATTTACATACATTTTTTAATATTCATCTTTAATGATATAAGTGAACATTGACCAATTGTTGTAGTAGAATATATATTTTGCATTAAGTGAACGTTTAAAACTGTTTAGATATTCTTACCTTTGATCTTTTTCATTATCCAGCCATTATTAATGAAGAAATCTATATTCATAATACGGCTCCTAGTGTCATTAGGGCACGATCTCGATACACCAACTTGGCAGTCTACTAAAGCACCAGATTCATCCATTCCTGCAGATACCCATGGTCCCCCAGAATCTCCCTTTCCAAGTATATTAGTAAAAGTTTCTGAGCACTGACCACCTACAGCCTTACATTCATCCATGTCTTCATTTCGCTTTTTTAAAATATCTTGTGGATTTCCTGTCTTGCATGTTTTCTCTAGCCCCCATCTATATGCTTGGACTTTAAGTTTTTCTTTGAGTGCTTTGTTTGATAAGTGTATGTCTCCAACTTTATTTGGGATGAATGTAATAGGGTGAGAAAGCCGCACAAGAGCAAGATCAGGCATCCAGTTTGTGGATTTGTTGGCATCTTCATGCATGTAATACTTGAAGAATTTCTTTTCTTTATCACCTTTGTATTTATCCCATAAATAATATTCTTGGCGGTCTTCATCTTTGCTGCCTCTCTGATGAACACCAATAGTAAACCGTTCTAGAGGTGGTCTTTGTGAGCATAAACAGGCAAAAAAATATTTTTTAACTTTCTTATCATATAATTATACAAAATTTTATTAATTTCAAAAAATTACTTATTATCCCAAAACGGTCAAAGTTTGGAAGGGATATAGTGAAACCCTCTGTCTGTCAGTCAGTCCATCTGTCTGTCTGTTTATCCATCCTGAAAATAACTGCATGGATTTCCTCTATTTGTTGTAATGATGTATTAGTTTTATGCAATAAAGATTTTCAAGATGGCTGCTGCTTTAAAATTGGCAAATATCAATGGACCAGTGTTCATAAACCTACGGTATTCCAAAGCAGTGTGCTGCTGTTAGGCCATAGCAGTCTGTGATTATGCTGCCCCCACATATTTTGATACCAGGTTCAGAAAGAAGCACCATCCATGGATGCTCATTGGGTGATGCGTCCTAAAATTATGGTTTGACAAACAAATGATTTCTAACCCATGAGATATTGGCAAATAATAGTACAACTAGTACACCAGAAATGGTGACATATTGTTATAGTCTCCAACTTTTTTTGTGAATGGTGTTTGGTGGTCGGTGTCTGTAACAAATTCTTAGCATTTTCAATAACTTTCAAGGTGGTGACATTTAGTCTTGTTAATGCATTGGTCTTCAATAGCGAACAAATGATATTGTGAATGCTATAACAAAACAAGAAAAAACTATGATCAGGAAACAAATATGTTGTATGTGGTTAAATGATTACTTTATTAAGGAAAACATATATGACCTACTTTATTTGGTTTAATGATTCGCTTTACTCGTATTCTTTCACCTGAAGAAATTGATAAGAAATATAAATATTTACTACTTTTATTGTTTCTACGAGATCCTATGGAGCGGGTTTGCTTCTTTAATTATTCACTTCATTTCACTTTAATTTGAATCAGTTGATCAAAACAGAACTTAATTTCAAATTAATTCATTATTATGTTATAAAAAATACTGACTTATTATTGTATTTTTAAAAATCCTTCATATAATGTTAAATATGGTTAAAATTATACAATATCGCAAAATGGTATGATACAGATCCAAATCATGATGCCATATAACACTCTTGATAGTGAATTCTTGGAATTTGATAGCATAGTCCGTGTCATCATTCAAATGTTACCTGGTCAACTGGTAAACAAACAAATGATTCTGTGTTGATTCTAAACTTCTTCGAATAATTTGCGACATCATAAACACACATGAAAAATGGTCTCCTCAGCAATGAAGCAAGTAGATCCTGCATTCAATAAATTTGACTGAAAAAAGATTTTAAAAGATACTTTGAGATTAACACATGGCTGGCCAGTTATATTTAATAAAATAAAGCACTATTACCTCCATTTACATGTATTACTTGCAACACTGATGACCACTACAATGTTGAGAATCATTTTCATTTCCTTGCTTACTCCGTAAACCTTTGTTCAATGATTCGATACAACCAATGATGCAATTATCAATGTCAATGGCATGCTTTCTGTTTTGATTATTTGCCTGACATTTTACTACCTACCTATGATAAGTCAATAAAGTTTTATTTCTTTAACATATACAATTTTGCATGTAGATTCTCTGTGCTATTTACTGTGTCAGTACAGGTTACCTTGAACAAGATTACCAATGTGAAGGCCTTGCATTGAATTTTAAGCATATGATCATAATTATTCTCGATGGATCCCAACCTTCTGATATAACATGTTAGATCTTCTATTACTTGATCTATCCCAGCATCTGATCCCAGCATATCAAGCTTGCATCTGGAGCATCCCAGCAATAACTTACCAGTTTAGCTTAAACAAAAGCTACCAATGTGAAGGTCATGCATTGGATTTTAAGCATGGAATCATATTCTCTATGGATCACAACCTTCTGATAACATGTTATTAGATTTTCTATTACTTGGGCGCGGCTAGCATATTAAGATTGCATATATAGCAAAAGTGCCATAACTCATCAGTTAAGCTTAAACAAAAGTTACCATTGTGAAGGTAATGCATTGAATTTTAAACATGGAATCATATTCTCTATGGATCACAACCTTCTGATAATAAGTTTGATGTTCTTTTACTTTGGCTAGCATATTAAGATTGCATATATAGCAAAAGTGCCATAACTCATCATGTATAGCTTTGAATGGAATTGTCAGGCTTCCTAGACTTCCACTAATGCGATCATCAGTTCTGACCTCACATACTATGTTCCTTCCACCTGAGCCATGGTTCTCACAATGCAGATGTGGATCCTTTAGTCCCCGACCACAAATTCTTCTTCCCTGAACATATTTCTCCACTCACGAATGGAGTTCCCACATCACGAACCACAAATCTGTGTGGTTCGCGATGTAGGAATTCTAAGCGTAAGGGAACTTGCGATTCACAAATAAAGAATGGATATTCGCATTGTAAGGACTCTGGTTTGGATGGAAGGAACTTTTTTTCATTAATGAATTCTTTAAATTCAGTTTATATTTATTGTTCCATTCAAATTATTTACAAAACATATTCTACAGATATTCTGTTCATGATTGCTTCAGCAACTTCATCCTTGTTACCCTCATTCAGGTTACCACCATCACTTGGGAACACATCATTCTTTGAAGGATTTTTGCTTGAAATTTTCTTCAAATCATTTGCACCAATACGATTATTGCCATTTTCATTCTTGAGTTTAACCCCAAGAATATCAGCATCGTACTGCTCCTCTATTTTATTAGCCATTTTGATCACATCTCTTCTCTTCGTCGGTGTTCTAGGGAAGAGCACACCATCATAAAATAATATGATATAAACAAACGCATTATCCATCATTTCTTCGACCATCTCCAAAGCCTTGTTTGTATTTGTCTGACGTCGACCTTCCTTGGAAGGTTCCATGGTAATAGCATTTATAGCAAAAACAACACCAGGGTCGGAAGTTGTAGTATATTCATCTTTGGTGAACATTACTTTTGGCTCAACATCAAATGTGAGGGCAGAGGCAAAGACGTTCTCCTCAGTGGCAACCAAACCTTCATATATCTTGATAGCTACTTCTTTGCTCAGCTCGAAAGATCCGACACTGATACTTGCTGACTTATCAAATACAAATATCAGGTTGACATCTGGAATAAAGTAATATGTTTACTTTATGTTTTTGCTACCCACTTTAGAATTATGATAATATTGTCAATCTGTCTTTCCATCCACAAAAATAACTCAAATGCTGGCTAATTTTTATCACATCATCGGTGAGATAAAGTCGTCATACTGGTCGTGGTCGTGATCGTGGTCGTGATCGTCCCGCTTTTTGTCATCGCCATTTAAGGAAAACTGCTCATCAGATTTTCTCCAAATTCGCAGAGATGATAGAGCATATGAAGTACTAGAGCTGATTAACTTTTGGGTGGCCATCTTGTTTTCTGGCGGCAATTTTGAAGGTTTTTCGAAAAATCTTGTCATCGCCATTTCAGGAAAACCGCTCATTGGATTTCCTTCAAATTTACACAAATGATAGAGGATATCAAGAACTAGAGCTGATTAACTTTTGGGTGGCCATCTTGTAAATAAAATAAAGTATTCTTACCTCCATTTACATGCATTATATTACATGCAACAAGGATGAAAACAGCAATGTTGAGAATCATTTTTCTTCCTTGCATTCTCTGTAAACCTTTGTTCAATAATTCAAGACAAGAAATGTTGCAGTTTTCATTCTCAAGGACAAACTTTATGTTATGATCATTGGTGTGACATTTCACTACCTCCGTATGATATAGTAATAAATTTTAATTTCTTTAACATTTAAAAAGTAGCAAATCTATGTACCAGGTAGTTATTTTTACCGTGTTAGTACAGGTTACCTTGAACAAGATTACCAATGTGAAGGCCATACATTGGATTTTAAGCATCGGATCATATTTTCTATCATCAAAACCTTCTAATAACAGTTTAAGTGTTCTGTCACTTGAGTTATTGGAGAATCAAATCCTGGCATATCAAGATTGCATCTATGGCATCACAGCCATAACTTATCAGTTTAGTTGAAACAAAAGTTACCAATGTGAAGGTCATTCATTAAATTTGAAACATAGGATCATATTCTGCATGGATCACACATTCTGATGACAAGTTAGATGTTTTATTTCTTGAGCTATTGCAGCAACTAATCCTTGCACATGAGTATCAAGTGAACTTTGCATTTTCAAAATATCATGTTTTCACAGATGGCAAATTAAACCTGCACTGTTATCTCAAAATCTGCTTTGAACCACACCATTGGATTAACATGGGAAATTCCTTCAAGAGAATATTCTAGGGATTAAAGAATTGGTGCAGTTTACAAAATTTGAGAAATTATTGGCATACATGAAACCTATTTAAAACAGCATTATATTATTTCAAAGCCTCGAACACAATGATTCCCAGCCCTCTGAAGTTTGAAAAATAAAAATACCTGGGTGTTAATCTGTAGATAATCCGTGAAAATTATAACTTTTTGGGGGAATTATACGGAGCAATATTATTGTCACTAAAATGTTTTACAGTGTATTGTTGTTTTTAGATGAAAAACATAAGCAAAATGCATGAAAAAACTCCCTCGATTCATTCTACAAACAACTCGCGGTACTTTGAAATATTACATCACTACCATATTGGAATGTTTCAAATACTCCTGATGTTATTAAATAACTCAGTGATCTAATGCTAGATTTGAATTAACCATGCTCGCTGAATGTCAGACAAACCTATGGTTGTCTAGTAATCAGTTATACTATAGAACTAAGATCTTTTGATTTGAACTTGAATATGTTTTTCATTTTCATAAAATTTATTCACATAAGTATGTGTACAGGGAATTATTCTTCAGATATTCTGTTCACGATTGCTTCAGCAACTTTATCCTTGTTTTCCTCATACAGGTTACCACCAGCACTTGGGAACACATCATTCTTCGAAGGATCTCCACTGGCAATTTTCTTCAGATCTTTTTTACCAATATTATTAAAGCCATTTTCATTATTGAGTTTAACCCCAAGAATATCACCATGGTACTGCTTCTCTATGGTATTAGCTATTTTGATCACATCTCTTCTCTTTCTCGGTGATCTCGGGAAGAGTACACCATCATGAAATAATATCACAAAACTTGGTGCATACGAACGGTCTCCATTCCCAAGCATTTCCTTCTTTATCACATTCAGCACCTTTCCTGTATTTGACTGTTGCCGACCATCTTTGAGAGGTTCCATAGTTATATTATTTATGGCATTAATTACGTCTGGTGATGGGACTTTACCAGGCTTGTATTTCTTCATGTAGAACTGGACAGTGGGATCAACATGAAATGTGACAACAGACACGAGGACACTGTACCCTTTAGCAACTAATTCTTTGTAGATTATAATAGCCACTTCCTTGCTCAAATTGAACGACTGCATACTGATACTACCAGACATATCAAATACAAACACCAGATCAACAGCTGTAATGATATATACAGAATTAGTGGTTTTGCATGTAGGATACTTGTGTTTTTATATGTTCAAGTGTAGGAGTTATAAAATGGTTTGTTGCAGTATGAAAACAGTACATTGTCAAAGTTTATCTATCATCCATTTGTTTATTGAAATTCAATTCAAAGATTTGTAATTGTACATAAAAGTTTTACTAGGAGAGTCATATATTGTTATAATGTGCTTACTTTTATTTGGAATAAATGGTGAGCATGTTTTGATAACCTGTTCATTGCAATATTTGGGGAACTCCTTGTCCTTCAGTATATCTTCTTCAATTTCTTTTAAACAAGATAAAAAGTGTCAATTGATATTAGCTCATACACTTGTAGTAAAGTAAAGAAAAAACTGCACATAACAGTATATATATATTACATATTTGTACTGTATAGTCTATATATTTTTAGAATAGCATCCTCATATCTCTATTCAACTGTGTGACCTCTTGTTATATGCTAGTTCTTACCATTTACTCTATTTACATACATTTTTTAATATTCATCTTTAATGATATTAGTGAACATTGACCAATTGTTGTAGTAGAATATATATTTTGCATTAAGTGAACGTTTAAAACTGTTTAGATATTCTTACCTTTGATCTTTTTCATTATCCAGCCATTATTAATGAAGAAATCGATATTCATAATACGGCTATCATCTATAGGAAGTATGCAAGATTCAGAGACACCAACTTGACAATCCACCAAAGCACCAGATTCATCCTTTCCTGCAGATACCCATGGTCCTCCAGAATCTCCCTTTCCAAGTATATTAGTAAAAGTATGTGAGCACTGACCACCTACAGCCTTACATGCATCCAAGTCTTCGTTTCGCTTTTTTAAAATATCTTGCAGAGTTCCTGTTGTACATGTTTTGTCTCGCCCCCATCCATATGCTTGGACTTTTAGTGTTTTTTCAAGTGTTTTTTTCGATAGGTGTATGGCTCCAACTTTATTTGGAATGAAGGTAATAGGGTGGGAAAGTCTCACAAGAGCAAGATCAGGCATCCAGTTTGTGGAATTGTTGGCATCTTCATGCATGTAATACTTGAAGTATTTCTTTTCTGTATCACCTTTGTATTTATCCCATAAATAGTATTCTTGTCGTTTCTCATCTGTGCTATTTCTCTTATGAACGCTAACACTTAACCTTTCTAGAGGTGATTTGCTTGAAAATAAACAGACAAAATTTTATAAATTAATCAATATGTATTTCAACATTTTGAAATTTAAACTCATTTATTAGTTATGTTATAACTTACTTTTGAATCACAGAATAAAGCAAACTCATAGTAACCAGAGTTTTCAAAATGATGGACAAATTCTTTTAATACTGATCAAACTTTGATTGCAGGTTAACCAATGAGTATCTGAATGTAATAAAACTTAAATGTTCAATTGTAAAATATTAAAAGGGCTCAAACTTTTCTGAAATCTAAGAACTTTAAGAAAATGGCTTCACTTAAAGCAAACATGGTTGATTGACGTCATCAGATTTCTATTTGTTATAATAGTGAAATTTACGGTATTCCAAAGCAGTGTGCTGCTGTTAGTCCGTAGCACTCTGTAATAATGCTAGCTCCACATAAACCACCTACAGATAGAAGTGCCATCCATGGATGCTCATTAGGCGATGCATCCTAAAAATTATGGGATGACAAACAAATGATTTCTCATTCATGAGATAATGGCAAATAAAAGTACAACTAATGATCTTGAATAGTTAACAAATGATGGAGTGATGGTTACTAGAAAAAAAGAAAAAACTAAAAAGAAGAAAAAATTATGATCAGGAAACAAACATGTTGTATGTGGTTAAATTATTACTTTATTAAGGAAAAAATATATGACCTACTGTATTTGGTTCAATGATTCGCTTCACTCGTATTCTTTTTCCTGAAGAAATTGATAAGAAGCATGTAAACATTATCAACTAAATAATGATTAGATTCTTACATCTACCGTAAATGTCTGAACTTGTAATATAGATGTACTGTATACTGTATTTTAATTTTTTCTTGTTGACACAAAATAAGTTCACTGTATAACATTCACACACTTTCCTTTAGAATTGATAACATTCTTTAACAATCACTGAATTTCCGAGCATTTAATTAAATGTGTGCTGCACCTGAGATTTTGAAAATAAGGTTGCAACCACCTGAAAACCAATTTACATCTACATGAAGTTGAGACAGATCATAAAAATAGACAAACCACCCACTTAGCAGATATGAAATGGTATTTTTAACCTAAAGGAATCAATATAATTTTTATCACACCATCGGTGGGATATAGTTGTCATACTGGTCGTGATCGTGGTCGTGATCGTGATTGTGGTCGTGATCGTGGTCGTGATCGTCCCGCTTTTTGTCATCGCCGTTTAAGGAAAACTGCTCATCAGATTTTCTCCAAATTCGCAGAGATGATAGAGCATATGAAGTACTACAGCTGATTAACTTTTGGGTAGCCATCTTGTTTTCAGGCGGCCATTTTGAAGGTTTTTCGAAAAATCTTGTCATCGCCATTTCAGGAAAACCGCTCATTGGATTTCCTTCAAATTTACACACATGATAGAGGATATCAAGTACTAGAGCTGATTAACTTTTGGGCGGCCATCTTGTTTTCTGGTGGCCATTTTGAAGGTTTTTTGAAAAATCTTGTCATCTACATTTCAGAAAATCCGCTCATCGGATTTCCTTCAAATTTACACACATGATAGAGGATATCAAGTACTAGAGCTGATTAACTTTTGGGTGGCCATCTTGTTTTCTGGCGGCCATTTTGAAGATTTTTCGAAAAATCTTGTCATCGCAATTTCAGAAAATCCGCTCATCGGATTTCCTTCAAATTTACACACATGATAGAGGATATCAAGTACTAGAGCTGATTAACTCTTGGGCGGCCATCTTGTTTTATGGTGGCCATTTTGAAGGTTTTTCGAAAAATCTTGTCATCTCCATTTCAGGAAAACCGCTCATTGGATTTCCTTCAAATTTACACAAATGATAGAGGATATCAAGTACTAGAGCTGATTAACTTTTGGGCGGCCATCTTGTTTTCTGGCGGCCATTTTGAAGATTTTTCGAAAAATCTTGTCATCGCCATTTCAGAAAATCCGCTCATCGGATTTCCTTCAAATTTACACACATGATAGAGGATATCAAGTACTAGAGCTGATTACCTTTCGGGCGGCCATCTTGTTCTCTGGTGGCCATTTTGAAGGTTTTTTGAAAAATCTTGTCATCGCCATTTCAGGAAAACCGCTCATCGGATTTGCTTCAAATTTACACAAATGATAGAGGATATCAAGTACTAGAGCTGATTAACTTTTGGGTGGCCATCTTGTTTTCTGGTGGCCATTTTGAAGTTTTTTTGAAAAATCTTGTTTCTTGTTTTTGAAATTTGTAAACATAATAGGAGAACAGTTTTCCTGGTTCATAGTGTCTGCCTATTTGATGGTGTGATCTCGTTCACGTCCTGTGCCTTGTTTGATAAATGTATTTTGACATGTTTTCTTATCAGTAGTGTGAAAGTTATTTCACTCTAACGATCGTTATAGCTGCTTAATAAGCAATATTCAAATTGGTTGTGACATTATTGGCCCCCACGTGATCTCTTTCACTGGTCCCCACGTGGCCCGTTTTGTTCCATTAGATCATGACGTCATAATGCCAAAATGTTTTGTTATTTGTTTACACTACAATCCTATGGTTGCCGTGACGTTGTGATTACTAAGGAACCAATAAACCAAAGCTATATTTTGTATATGACGTTAGTTATCACATGGGGGCCAATTTGATTGATCAGTTAGTTTTATTTCCTTATCTATGACCGTTAGCAGTTATCTAACATTTATTTTATAATGGCTATCGCAAGAACTCTACCTTGGGCTTACAATGGAAAAAAACGCATTTTTGTAGCTGCAAGTTGGGAAAAGCTATTTCAGTTGTCCTTTAAAGACTACTGACATTGAAAAAGAAGCAACCTTACCATTTTGGACACTATCTCCTCCATCTACATGTATGATGTTAGATGCAACAATTATGACCACTGCGATGTTGAGAATCATTTTACATTCGCCAATTCTTGTGAACATGAATCAGTTGAATTGTGCCAGCAAATGATGGAGTTATTTTAATTATTACTTATTTTTAGTACTTTGATCACACCACTTTGACATTTTCTATTTGCTTGTACCATGATACAGCATGATACGACAATAACTTTTTATTTCCTTAACATTAATGGAAATTGTTTTGACTTTGCGTTTGCATTTCAGAATACACGTAGATTCTGTTTCAGTAGAGAAGCAAGAAGGTTATTTTAACTTTGTTTTTTCCTTGAACTACAGTTGTCATTGTGAAGGTTATACATATGTGAACAGTGGTCTCCCTAGCAATGAAACAAAAAAACAAGTGGCTGCTGCATCCTTTTGAAAACCCATTAGACCCACTTGAATCTGAGAAGAATCATGATAAATTGGCATATTTTTAATTTTAATTTTTCAACTACTTAAGAAAGAATGCTTTGGAGAACACTGGCAAAGCAATGTTTTAAACATAAACATTTGAACATATTTTAGATGAAGTATGTGACACTGAGTCACCTTGGAGGTTACTGCCCCCATGCTGTGCCTGTCCCTATCAGTATCCCCTCATATAAGATGAAGAAACTTGGTCTTTAATATTTATTGTTTGTGTGATTTCAGGGGGTATATTAACCAGTCGTGTGTCATTTGGTGACAAACTGCCAAGTCCTGGAGAGAAACCACACAGACTCCCATCTGAGGATTTTATCTTGGGAACTGGGAATCTTACAGCTATACAGTCAAGTATCTCAGAGATGTTCAAAACATCCAGTTCTTCCCCACCTCCTCCCCATACATCCACCGCAGAAATACATGACACACAGAGGGAGGATAACAGAACAGCTAATGGAGCTCCAGAACAGCCAGTTAATATTGAGCCAGTCGCGAAAAACGTTGATACACATAAACATGAAGAACAAGTTGCTCCTATAAATGGAGATGATATTCAAGATTCTGTTGGTCAGAATAACCCAAATGACATCACCACAGAATCTGACACTCAGAAACCAACTGAGATCACTAACACTGCATTAACTGATTTACAAAATCCTGAAAAGTTCACGCTTGAACCTAGCCCAAGTTCAAAGAGGAAAATAACAAAAGCAAACTTTAATACACATTCTGGTTGTCTTGAAAGCTCACAGGTGGACCCTGCCGACCCCCTGAGTCAATTGGATGCCATGTGGTCTGTGAAAGGCAAGAAATAACCATGCAAGACACCTTTGTAGAATGTTTATAAATTACTTGTACTGTGAGATTCATACGTTAATTGCTTTAAATATACATGTATACAACGATATAATGTACCTATGATTAAAAATTGGTTCATATATATAATAACTATTCCTGCACAGTTTAACCTTAGAGGTTACATTTGTATGTTAAATTGATATATGTTGCTTTGTAAAAAGAAACAGTTACCAAAGATTTCATTGACATCTCTCACTATTAATCCATGAAAAAACTTGTAAGATGTACAGTGTGGTGTATCATAAAATGTGTTAGGAATTAAAATGTGTTCACAAAGACTGTTCTCAAGGAGACATTTCTACAAAATGCTTTATCACTACAACAGATATAAAATGAGCAAGCTACTTCATACACAAATTTAATGAAAGAAACTGGACATTTATCAACTTTGTATAGAAAACCCAAAGTTTCTACTAGATGTAACAGTAATATTTGATTTTAAAGTGGCAGTAAAGAATAGAGAGAGTTCAATGTTGGAAGCAGTTTTTAGAAAAGTATGCCAATGTTTTCTTTGCCTTTTTGAAATAATTCCTTTTTGAAAATTGTGATATCTCTGATTAAAGATGCAGAAATTATTAAAATTGAAAAAGAGGAAAAAATCAGAGGATTACCATGGAATAAAGTCAAAGGTGACAGACATTTCAGAAAAAAGGCCTGATATGGAATACTTTGAGCAAAAATATTGTAAATGTGTGACACTTATCCCGTTCCCGGACTAAAGTCCTGCACTGAGCGCATTCATTTGCCTGTACGATTACAACTTGGGAGAATTATCTGCGCCCCTTACACTTAAGATACCTACCTCAATGCATTATAGAACTCAAGATGTAACTTCTAATATATTGGAACCGCCGATTGTCTGGGTATATCGGCAGAACGGGAACATTTTCTCTTTTTCATCGAGAGAGATTCCATCACTTTTCAAAATGGCGGTTGGATTTAAAAGGGGAATCCCCCGTTTGGCTGTCCCGGATGTAGCCCGGAAGTACCAATATGGAGGAATTTGACGCTTGAAATAAGTTAAATGTTACACGCAAATATTGCGATCAAAAACGAAAATGTCTTCGTTCTGCCGATAAACCCAGACAATTGTGGATTCAACTACACGAAAAGAATGCTAAATTACCAAGGAATCTATTTAATTGAAGTAGGTATCTGAAGTGTAAGATGAGTAAAAAATTCTCCCATGTTGTAATCGCACAGGCAAAAGATTGAGATGTTCACAGGACCATAGTCCGGGAACGGGATAATGTTACACATGTTTAGAAAGTTACTCTCAACATTTCTCTGGTCTTTGTAAAAAGAAACGATCTAGATTACACTTAAAATAGAGGTGGAAAGGTCTTTGTTGCACCTTTAACAAAACTTAACTGTCATGCTTGTGTATCTCAATGTTATTTATTTTGTATGTACATTGTATACATATCATATCTATTTTTATTATGATTAATATGAGTATGCTGTATTATTTTAAGATTGATTGATATCTTATTTTTTATTTAACATCAGTTACTATATTATCAATCATTGGCTTATGTGGCATGGAGTTATTAAATTGAATAATGGAGAATGTCAATATTTAATTAATATATTGTATGAGTATTATTAAAGAAAAAACAATGTTTTGTAATTTGTATTGGTTGGAATTGAAATATGCAAGATGACCAATGACCAATGTCTAACTGGCCCCTATTTGAGTTTGGTCTCTAACTCTGAGGTCAAGGATCCAAAATTTAAAAAGAAATTAAAAACAGACTGCGATTTGGAGAAAAATTGCACTCAATTTGGCTTCCTTAAGCAATGTTTGCTTGTGTTTCATGGGCCTTAACTACTGGAATTTGAGGAGGGGGTAAGTAAATTCTTAGAATTAAATATTTTGAAAACTGCCAAAAGGAAAGAGCATCTTCAATGTCAGTGTTGCAGAAATGCAATTCAGCCAACAATTATTGTTAAAAAATCCATCGAAAACTGGTGTATTTAAACATTTAAATCTGAAATTGATAAATATAAGTGCATAATTGATAGATATCTATTACCATATCCTGGTTCATAAACATACTGTGTTTGCATCACTACACCATCACTAAATGGATTATATGTATGTTTGATGTACTTTTGACAATCACATACTTTCACCATAATAGCTGTCATGTAAGACAATGATATAATTAAATGAATTCAGTTATCCATGTTGAACTTCATCTTACATTCGGCCTTTGCTCAAAATCTAAAAGTGTTGTAGGGGCCTTTCTGTTTCCGTATATTATTTTTGGCTCACACAGTGAGCCTATGGGATCGACCAGGCGTCCGTCCGTCCGTTGGTCCGTCCGTTGGTCCGTCCGTCCGTCAACATTGGCCGCACAAATTAATGTGTATGCAACTTATGTCCTCTGAAGATTTCAAAGCTCTTGGAATTACAGTTTTTGGTGTTTACTCTATAAAATTTGACAAAAAGTAGGACTTAGTCATTTTCAGGAAACTTTCTCATGTATAAAGTCAATGGCAAGTTTAGTGATTGACAAGTTTCTCAAAGTTTGCCTTATACTTGATCATTTCTTGCAATGAGTTACATCATTACTAGATTTAAGCATTCCCTACATATTGCCCAATATAGTCAGCATCAAATTTTTACCGTTTTTGAGATATTTGACGTCAAAAAACAGTAAAAATAAGTTATTTTTCAACTTGCTTCAATTTGACCAATTTTTTTTGAAAATCATCTACAAGTTGCCAGGAGTTCAAATCTGACATTAGTTTTAGGATTTGACCTTTAATTTTCAAGGTCAAAGGTCATCAAACTAGGTCACACTACTGTGCTATCTAAGTTTCTCAAAGTTTGAGACTACAAATCCAAATCAATATTTTTGTTTGAAAGTCAGGATATATATTCCTCTGAAGGTTCCAAACTGTGTGAGCACAGGACCGTGGGTCCTTCATTTCTCAATCAAGACCCTTTAATGGAAATCATGAATCTAAATCACCAGAGTTGAAAAACGTTATCCTCCCATTATTCCAGGTCGTTCAATAAGTTCATGGAAAAATGCTCTCATTTCAAAGGTTTTTGATATATTCTCATGAAATTTTCATATTATGTGTAAAAAACATTTTGTATTTGATTCAGAAAATATCAGCATTTCTAAAATGGCACTTTTTACGTCACATTATTCAATAGCTATAATAGTCATAACTATTGTCCCATAAGGTGTTCGAAATATTCTCCCCATGGTGTTCAACCCATTGTTGAAACTGTGCTCTGAAGACATCAGGAAAACTTGTTTGAAGGGTCATCTTGACTACAGTCGAAAGTTGTTGCATTGTTTCACGATATGCTCCTCTTAGTTGATCCTCCATCCTGTTGAAAACAGCAGAATCAAGGATTATCTCTGGAGAGTATGGAACTTGGGGCAGCTTTGCCATCTATTTTACAAGCTATGTGTGATGGTTTCCTGCACAAAATTAGCAGTGTGACTGGGTGCATTATCATGATAGAAAAATTTAGAGTTTGGCTGAATGGTTAAGTTATTAACTTACCATAGTGTAATACTCTTTGTTGATTTTCTGGCCCTCTGGTACAGAATTAAGTAGCAGGGATTCCGGAAATGTCTATGAAAACTATGAGCATCCATTTTCCCTCATTATGTTTGTTATTTAAATTAGAACAAATCGAACATAGGGATCCTTGATTTGCACATAATGATAGATTTCTCTAATGATAAATTGTGTGACATAAAAAGTGCCCGCCTACCTAAAAGTCAAGTTACCATAGTAACCACTATTTTTGACCAATCGAATTAGAGATGCTGATATTCAAAGAATCAATTGAAAAATATTTTTTACACATTGTGTAAACATTTAATGAGAAAATATCAAAAATCTTTGAAATGAGAGCATTTTTCTGTGAACTTATTGAACGGCCTGGTACATAATAGAAAAGGAATCCAGGCAGAGTGATAATGCCATTAATATATATTTATCAAAACACATAGTTACAGTTGTATCAAATGTACAAGTAGCATGAACTTGGTGGATTTGCCATGAACATAGATAAGCTTCACTTGTTAATAGATTGGGGAAATACTTCCAGTTATATGTTAATAAAGTACATGAGGCACCATCTTTTGAAAAAGCTAACAATTTACTAAGTTTTCTTACAGTTATACATTCAGTTGTGAGTTCTTATACAACCTATGAATACCATTCTCAATGATCAATCCCATTATCAATTTATGCCTTATATGGCCTTATATATACACCAACATTTTTTTTCATTGAATACAAGATTCCATGATTATAATGAAATGGGAGTGGTGTATTTATTATGTATCAAATAGCTATGATTTTGTTGACACATTTGTGTTATTAGACTTTACAAAACAAAATGCAAATGGTTTCTCAAAAACTTCATACAAACATTTCTTTCAGACATTTATGGTGCCATGTTTTGTACTAAACCCGACATTTATTAGTATTTAACTTGAGAACTGAGAATATATCAGAAACTTCCTTGTTCTTGAAGTTTGGATTAAGTTTATATTGAGTATATTTGCACATTGAGATATGGCATCACAATCTTTTTTGCAAAGTAAATAATTTAAAATTAAAATAAATATGAAGACTTTTGTCACTCCTGATTGTATGTTGTATTTGAAATTGTATGTGCATTTAAAGATATTAGATTCAGATTTTCACAATTGTGAAATAGCAGATGCAGACTTGCCAACCTCCCGTTTTTTTACGGGAATCTCCCGTAAATTTTTTGTTTTTCCGTAAAAAATACCAAACTCCCGTACCGTTTTCTCCCGTAAAAACTCCCGTACCGTATTTCTACTAAAATCTACCGTAATTTTTTTTAAAAATATGGCCGTAAAATCTCCCGTATTTTTGCTGAAATCTCCCGTATTCTGGTATAACTCCCGTCAAATCTCCCGTATTCTTGGTATAACTCCCGTAAAATCTACCGTTTTCTGGTATAACTCCCGTAAAATCTCCCGTATTCTTGGTATAACTCCCGTAAAATCTCCGTTTTTTGCTGTCGAAATCTACCGTATTTAAAAGGAATTTGACAAATTTGTGACCTTGATTATTGCAGGCACGCTTCTTTCTGTTACTCCAAGACTTCCATAAATAACTTAAAAGTACTTCATTCCCATGATTCAAATTGCTTTTCTGCGATCAGTTTGGTATAAGTTTGCACACCAAATGTTCACAAAGGGGGGCCAATTCATATTCTGTCATACTTCTGTCGGGAGAATACATTTTGTTTTTATATGGCGCTAAACAAAATATTCCCGCAATATAAGGCACATTATGGGAAGGGACTGCTGTAAAATAATGAACGTAAGTGAAATCTATCTTAGATTATAAGTTCTTATTATCATAATAATTTCAACCAATTAAACTCCCGTTTTTTCAAAATCTACCGTTTTTTCAGAAATCTACATCAAAAACTCACATTTTTTCAAAATCTACCATAGAAACACCCGTTTTTTCAGAAACCTACTGTTAGAACTCCCGTTTTTTCAAAATCTACCGTAAAAACTCCCGTTTTTTCAAAATCTAAAGTAAAAACTCCAGTTTTTTCAGAAATCTACCGTAAAAACTCCCGTTTTTTCAAAATCTACCGTAAAAACTCCCTTTTTTTCAGAAATCTACCGTAAAAACTCTCGTTTTTTCAGGAATCTACCGTAAAAACTCCCGTTTTTTCAGAATCTACCGTAAAAACTCCAGTTTTTTCAGAAATCTACCGTAAAAACTCCAGTTTTTTTAAAAATCTACCGCAAAAACTCACGTTTTTTCAAAACCTATCGTAAAAACTCCCGTTTTTTCGGAACCTACCGCAAAAACTCCCATTTTTTCTGAAATCTTCCGTAAAAAGTCCCGTTTTTTTAAATTTTACCGCGAAAAATACCTTTTTTAAAAAACCTCCCGTAAAAACTCCAGTTTTTTCAAAATCTCCCGTAAAAACTCCCGTTTTTTTGCAAAATTTACCGCAAAAACTCCTGTTTCTTTTATATCTCCCGTAAAAACTACCAATCTTTTAAAAATCTCCCGTAAAAACTCCCGCTTTTTTTCAAAAAACTCCCGCAAAAACTACTGGATTTTGAAAAAAGCTCCCGTTAAAATACCGCAATTTTTTTTAAATCTCCCGAAAACTTTTTCCTTTTAGGTTGGCAAGTCTGAGATGTGTGAGAATTCTTGTATCTGAGACATTAGAATTTATCTCGGACATCATTTCATGTATGTGGTCACATGACATAGAAAAGGTATGTAATAAGGGGATAGAGAATTTAACTGTTTGAAGTAAGCTTTTAAAAAGCATGCCTATATCAATTTTTAAAACAATTTATGGCAAATAACCTTAAAAATATTGTAAAATTCTGATAAATATATAGAAACAAAAACTTAATCTTTACTTGTCTCTATCTTTTCTATTTCTTTTCTTATTAATAAAGCACATTTGAAGAACATCAACTATCGAAATTAAATCTATTAGTAGTCATTTCTAAAATGATTTATCAGTGAAATCATGCACGCATTGAATTGTAGACTGAAAGTTAAATGTTTAGGCATTAAGAAAATCACTTATTGATTATGGGTTGACATGTTTTCTAACTTACATCACATTGTTACTTTTTATCACACCATCGGTGGGATATAGTCGTCATACTGGTCGTGGCCGTGGTCGTGATCGTGATCGTGATCGTGGTCGTGATCGTGGTCGTGATCGTCCCGCTTTTTGTCATCGCCGTTTAAGGAAAACTGCTCATCAGATTTTCTCCAAATTCGCAGAGATGATAGAGCATATGAAGTACTAGAGCTGATTAACTTTTGGGTGGTCATCTTGTTTTCTGGCGGCCATTTTGAAGGTTTTTCGAAAAATCTTGTCATCGCCATTTCAGGAAAACCGCTCATTGGATTTCCTTTACACAAATGATAGAGGATATCAAGTACTAGAGCTGATTAACTTTTGGGTGGCCATCTTGTTTTCTGGTGGCCATTTTGAAGGTTTTTCGAAAAATCTTGTCATCGCCGTTTCAGGAAAACCGCTCATCAGATTTCCTTCAAATTTACACAAATGATAGAGGATATCAAGTACTAGAGCTGATTAACTTTTGGGTGGCCATCTTGTTTTCTGGTGGCCATTTTAAAGGTTTTTTTGATCAATCTTGTCATCACCATTTTAGAAAAAAACGCTTATTGGATTTCCTTCAAATTCGCACACATGATAGGGGATATCAAGTTCTACACCTATTTGATGGTGTGATCTCGTTCACGTCCTGTGCCTTGTTGTCACTAATAACTATAAACGCAACATCATATTGATTTCTTTGTATTAATGGATCTATACTTGTAGATGCAGTTAAGACTGAAATGGTGTCTGTCTATGACGTTTCTGATGGTACTGATGGTACTTATAGTAATGACAGGTGAGCCGCACCAAATGAACAACCAGCCCTAACATAAAAGTAATGACTGTACAATTTGTTGAGCAGGCATAGTACAATGATATAATTACCATCTATAAATATTCAACCCAGATCATTGTCCCGGTTAAAAGTCATTCAGTGATTGGATTTCTCCATGCAAACCTCTATAAGAAATGGGGTTAAACCTAAATTAATTTTTGAATTTTCAATTGATTTCAAACCGTTGCAGAGTTTTAGCCCGCTTTTAGAATACCTTTTATTTTTATTGACCCACACTGGGCTTTTACCCTATATAACAGCTCATCTTGGTAACCTTTTCTGTCCTTTTGCACCAACATCATTATGTATCCATTATAGATGCAGCTAATATAGATGAAGGCTGTGAAAGTGTAGCTGAATGTCCTGCTGATGCCAGGTGTATCACTAGAGGATGCGATGGGAAATTTTGTGTGTGCAACACTGGGTTTCTACCATCAGAAGACAAGACTACATGTGGACAAGGTATGGAGATGAAATTGTTTTTAAGAAGTCAAACGAATGTGAATGGGAGGCACAGGTTGAATGGTTTAATCATATTACAATGTAATATTCATCACAATGGAGTAAACCTTTCACTTTTTGTTAGATTTCTGATTTTGAATAGGACCCATTGTTAGGATTTAGCTGACATTTTGAAACTGATTTGAAACAGCACATACGATTTATATTCCTCCTGAGCTCTCTCGTTCCTCCTCATCTAGGTCCATGCTTGTTCAATATTTGATTGTAAACTGATTGTTATTGCAATTCATTTAGTTTATCATTACATATCATTGCAGCTGCTGATCTTGGGGAACAATGTAACCCAGAAGCAAACGTATTTTGCTTACGACCGAATTCACGATGCCCACCATTCAATCCATTAGTCCCTCAACGTGAATGTGAATGTGAAGACGAGTATTTTGAATCTAGTGGCAGATGTAGAAAAGATCCAACATCAGATGGCACATCTTTCCCTCTGCTTGGCGAGGCTTGTGACAATTCAAAGAAAATATGTTCAGGACTTTTCCAGGATTGCGTATCTAATGTGTGTACATGTAAGGATGGGTACAGAGCTGCCACAGTAGATGATATATCACTAGAACCTTCCAACACATTTGAATGCCGCTTGGATATTGACTTAAGTGAGTACCCAATTAAACATCTCATTGTTCACTTTATCAATTTAAAACACAATATAGCCTTTCTATATTTTTGGTTATTTTCACATTTACCAAGATTCAGTAACCAAGGTCCATAACCTTTATCAATTACTTGATTTCAAGTTGCTTAAATCCAAATTCATTAAATTGATATTAAAATAAATTAAACCAATAAGTAAACCAATAAGTGTATTTTAATTTATTTATTGCAGGTCCTAATGTTGTTGTAGGTAAATGAAGCAATTCATAGATTATTGACAGATTAGCTTCAACTTAAACATTAAACCTTTTACTATTTTAATTAATTATTATGATAAATATGAGGGTATGGTGGCTCCAAAAATCTCCTCACAAACAAATCCGAAATTTTGTAGTTGAAAGTTGATATCAATTAAAAACAAATCTGCTCTTCAATAAGCAAGATTATTGTAATAGTCAACTGTTTTAATCGCTAAGATATGTTATACTTTCGAAACTGGGAAGTATAACGCTGGAGCCATCAGTCACTTGCATCTATGGGGTTATTTATCATATACATGTTATTGTAAATCCGTCTCAATATGAAGTAAAAGTGTATTTCTAAGATTCATTCTTTGTTTGGTCATTATGCTGTCTTCATCATATGAAAGTTGCATTTGAGAAGGCTTTTTCAATGTTGGCAAGACCTAATATTCATACATAAAAAAATTCATACATATCAAGTCCAGAAATATTTGTTTTTTTACAAATAGTGATTATGTTCATATGATCTAAAATTACCAGACAAAGAATATTCCGAATCCACCTCTTTTTTCTTCCATATGAAGAATTAAGGAAAGAGTAGGACCCCTTCTACCAACATCTAACAGTCAATCTGATCTGCCTGCTAGATGGTTCAAATATAAATCAATTTTAATCCTTCAATTTTAGAATATCTCAATAAACCTATTGATTAGTTTTATCAAGTAGAAATAGAAAAAGTTTTACAAGTTAATTTATTTGTTTATTTGTGTGTCATTTATTTTAAGTTATTTACTTATCTTGTTTCTTATTATTACTTGTTTCAATCTTTATAAATATTATATTTTAATTTCGCGTGGCATAGGTACAGTTTAGTACTTTATACTTTTAGGATTTTTTTGTTCATTTGGTTTTAATTTTTTTCATAACAGGGTCTTACATTTTCAGTTTGACCCTATACTTTTTTATTTTGCATTCTGAATTAGCTTTATATCTTATAATTTCTCGTAATTTGTTGCTGTATGGACTGTTCTCTGTAATCAATAATCATATTACATTCTTAGGATAGTATAAAATGAATGAAAAAAGAAAAAAGTAATTATAGTGTACTATTTGTATTATTTCAAACTAAATGTTTAACTAATTACAATGTCTAAATCTTGTTTTAGTGAACAATACCCAGGTTTCCTGCCCATCTATAGGTACGTAAGAATAGTTTCGTCTTTTTGGGGGGTAATGTATTTTCAAGATTTGATTACGCATTGTAATGAACTGAACTCCGTAGAATGGACCAGATATTACAGCTAACAGGGCCGTACTCAAGATAAATAATTTTTGCGAGACAAATGTAAATGAGCGATACAAAGGGTAAAGAAGGAATACAATTTTCTTTACACTTCATTTTGTTTTTTAGTTAAAATTTATGAGGAATGTGATTCGGACGAAAACTGTATCCCAAATGCAGCGTGCAAGGCCAGGGGATGCAACAGCAATATTTGCATCTGTAATGTGGGAACAATATCAAACGTTAATAATGATCAATGTTTACAAGGTAATGTATAGTAAATGGTTGTCATGGGTATCAAATTACGGAATGAACTGTTTATGGTCTTGCTTGTGATCCTTCATAAGGTGGGTGGTGATTTTAAGAGCCTTGCTGCAAGACTATATAGAACCATTTCATATTAATTATATCCCTTGAGATAGTTATCCAAGTAGACATTCAGATGTGTTCCTTCTGAGGCAAGAGGGGGAATAATCTAGATTCTTTGCACGAAGTTATGTTTATCTTGAATTCTGCAATATACATGTATATTGCGTCTCTTGTATTAGCATTATATTTTGTGCAGATTGATTGACATGTGTCAGATATACGTATGCCAATCAACTTAACTTTGGAAGACCTTCCCAATGATATATCACACTTGGTACCAAATATCTTGGTTTTTGCTGTAGAGGGGGGGGGACGGGACTTATTTGACACCCTGTATGTGATGCACATGCATAAAATACAAATACATGCGATCATTAGTTTAGAGTTAAAAGCTTTTCTTAATATCTTATCTGGATGTGTGATTTGGGAGGTCCCAACTTTATTAGATTTAAGGGCGTTTTAAACTGAGCAAGCTTGTTGATATTTTATTCTTTTCAGTTTCTACTATTGGGGGATCATGCAATGACACCATTAGGTGTCCCGGGGGTAGGACTGTATGTGTGAACAGTATATGCGAGTGTCAACAGGGGTACATACAAGTGGATGACACACGTTGCAAAGAAGACATCTCAAACTTTAAAGACTACACCTGGTCACTGTTGGGAGAAGATTGTAAAGAAACTGGTGATAACCAAAAAGTAAAAATTACGATTTCCTATTCACTGTTCCAATTTATGACCAGACTCTATAATTACAGGGGACAACAACATTGTTAAGAATCATTGAGTTGGAAAAGTATGGAAGTATTTTTTATGACAAGAATTACATTCACAAATTGTAATTCAAGCATCGAAATAATAGGGGAGGGGACAATGATGCTCCTGGAGCCTGATTTCATAGCTATAATACTGATAAGTATATGTTTACTACTAACTAGGTGTGTCATGAGAAAGAACAAGAATGTAAAGACGGGACTTGTCAATGCAAAGATGGTTACAGACCAGCCACTGATGAAGAGAATTCTCTTTCCCCATTTGTTAATATTGAATGTGTTGAAAACGATTATGATCCAAGTAAGAATATTTTACAAACACTACTTTAGACATTAAAATTCCAGTCAAAAATTGATAAAATATCTACTGTTCTGTTCTTTAGTCAATCAATATCAAAAGTATTAAAACTATTATGATGTTTACAGGTGCTTATATTAAATGTTGAACTTTCTTCTCATAGGTGGGAACTCCTCTTCCACTTCCAGGGTGATATGCAGTTAGTATGGAAGCAGTAGACTGTTACCAGATTTATTTTACTGATTTCAGGTGTATCAGCTAATGGCGGTAGTTGCCCAAAGCCAGAAGCTTCATCCACTATACAATCCATGCCATCAATTGATATGTCATCAACAACACAAATACCACCACAAACATCAATAATAGGGCTAACATCTATTCTACCAACATCAACCACCTTGATATCAGTGCAACCAACAGCAATTGACTCAATGACTGTAGCACCTTCAGCATCTGAATCTCAGTCACTATCTGTAACTCCATCATCAGTATCTGACTCTCTATCAGCATCTTCAGCATCTGATTTTAAATCATTGTCCGTAACTCCATCATTAGCATTTTATTCTCTTCCAATGTCTGTTTCCCCATCATCAATATCTGTTTCCCCATCACCAATATCTGTTTCCCCATCATCAATATCTGTTTCCCCATCACCAATATCTGTTTCCCCATCACCAATATCTGTTTCCCCATCACCAATATCTGTTTCCCCATCATCAATATCTGTTTCCCCATCACCAATATCTGTTTCCCCATCACCAATATCTGTTTCCCCATCACCAATATCTGTTTCCCCATCACCAATATCTGTTTCCCCATCATCAATATCTGTTTCCCCATCACCAATATCTGTTTCCCCATCATCAATATCTGTTTCCCCATCACCAATATCTGTTTCCCCATCACCAATATCTGTTTCCCCATCATCAATATCTGTTTCCCCATCACCAATATCTGTTTCCCCATCATCAATATCTGGAGTACACACACATTCAATCGAAGACATAAAAACTACAGCTGAAGCTGTTCCTACTACTACCACAACTGTAGAAACCCCAGATGGATCAGTGATACCAACATCTACAGTTATAATATTGGTTGTATGCCTGCTCAATGGCTTCCTTCTTGGTACAGGAGCTGTCTTCATCTGCATGCGATTTAGAAAAAGGTATTAATGCATGATAAGAAAAAATATCAAAATTTATTTCATGCCATCTGAATAAAAAGATACAGCCATTAAAAATCATTCTTCTATGTCGTGTGCTCTGACAATAACTGACATATATAATGCACGTTTAACTAAATGTTTTAAATTCATTTTAATGATAACTGATGAATGTTTATAAATGTAATCCATAACATTTTAAAAATTATTATTTTGATAGGCCTCATAATGCCTCCAGTTTAAGCTTTTTACATTCATTCTTTTATATGTTAAATACTTTAGATGTGTAACCTGCACTAAACCAGGAGCAGACAATACTGCTGTAGAACTTCAAGACAATAACATGAACAGCCAAGCTCAATATGACAATATCCAACAACATGATGTTTATGATGAAATACTAGTAAGAGATCCAAGTGTGATAGAGAACCTCAATTACACCAATGAAGTAGCCAATCCTGGAGCAGACTATTTAGCTCTTGAACCTGAAAAAGACTATGAAACACTCGAACCTGAAAACAATAACATCAATGTTGGAACAACTGATGCAGAATATACAGCTTTAGAACACAACAATTGACCCTGGGCCTGGTAGGGACCATACACTTTATCATCAAAATGATATGTAAAAATTCATTTGTTAAGTCTTTCAAAATGAACTACCACCACTATGTACAGAATCTAGCTGTATTATTTTGCATCAAGTGGTCAACCACATCCATTTCCTCATCCAGCCTGTATTAGAGACGAGAAAGGATGAGGCGTTTGGTAGAGGGTTTGATGTAAGACAAGAAGCTGCACACCCACCTCTGAAATCACAGTATGGTGTGGTACCATTCAAATCCAAAGTTGTGTGTGTATAGTACCATACTCAAAAATCACGGTGTATAACCCAAACGCTCCTACATGCACGACGGAGCGTTTCATTTACGCGGAAACGCTCCAGAGCGAAATAAAATGGCGGCTTATGAAGATTCCACTATGACCGTCAGTATTGTTTCTCTCGTTTCTCTTACATATCATATGTTATGGTGAAGTATTATGTACCATTCGATGAACAATACCGTGAGCAAAGATCTTATTTATTCAACTTCTGGTGGTAAACTGTTATTTGCTTGATCAAAGCTCCGTAGTGTAGATCGAACGAATCTGAAGATGACGAGTTGACCACAAATTACGAATTAAACTAGTATTTCTATGAAAACGTTAATCTTTCTGTTAAAGTAGTAGATCACAAACTCGTATATTCTCATTTCCTAAAATCCAAGTCCAAATCCATTATTTGTTCTCAAGAAATCGCTTGTTTTCCTTGAAACGCTCCGTCGATTTAGAACACAATTTTAGAAACGCTATTACCATTTTGTTTTGATATCATTTTCAGATTATTAGAGAAGAGTTCCGAATCGAATCTTTCTCTCACAAACGTGTTGTACTTGTTAGGCAAATTGAAACATCTGAACCTGGTGGTGCTAAACGTGTGCAACAAGCTGATTTAAGCCTACATTAGAGGATGTCATGCTTACATGTGTGCTAAATCATAAAACTATAGAAAAAACGAAAATTTATATGTGAATTAATCTCTCTTCTTTTGATGCCAAGGGGTATAATAGATCTTTTCTTTCTCTTCCTGAAAAGGAAAGGCAAGCTATATATTTCCTAAACAGATCTAGACTACCGGAGCGTTTCCAGTTCACTGTGTTAACCAGATCGGAGCGTTTCTTGAATATGAGAATGTCATCATTTTAAGACTGGATTCTCGGTCATAAAATCACTATTACGATAATGTATGGTGCGTTGAAGCATTGGAATTTGACTAAAATATACGTTGGTGCTCTAATCTTTGCTCAACTAATCACATGTATCGACATAAAGGGGTTTTGACCGGTAGAATGACAAATACGTTTTTGGATTTTGATAACGATACTGCTTCGTACATCTCTTCCTAATTGCTTCAAACGTCAACAGCCAGCCAAGTACAACATGAATATCACAACCATCGAATGGTATACTCGAAATATGTAACTCATACCTCTTATTCCCATTATTGGGGAAATCGTCAGACCTCATCATTCCCGCCAGCCAGTTTTCCTACTCCGGAGCGTTTCTTTGTTTAATTTCAGTAATGAAACGCTCCGTCGTGCATGTAAGAGCGTTTGGGTTATACGCCGTGAAAATGCCATACCTGAAATGGTATTGTTCAGATACAATGGTACTGTTCAGATTGGCCATGAAGTTTCAACTGTAACATTACATCACAGAATATTGTTTATATATCAGTAGTTCCATCTTTTGAAAAGATCATACTAGAAATAAAATTGATCCAGAATCTTGCTTCACTTAGCAAAAGCTTGACTTTTGCTATATTTTTTTAGCTACATGTATAGTACCCCAGCCAGGTTGAATGATGCAGTCATGTTTTTTTACTCTATATTTGCAATGGAACAACCATTCTTATTGAAATTTTCAAGATTTATTCTGACAATTTCCAACATGGAAATTAAACATTTTATCAAAATTCCTAATCTTATGATTTTGATAGTTTCTTTTAAAAAAGAACTTCACTGTCAATAAAATACAGGTTTTTGCTTGAACAATTGAACTTTTAACTTCATATATAAACTCATGAAATCTATAAATAATATTTAGGAATTCAACTTGGATCATCTTCTCCCAGCGTGGTATGTCAATATAGAGTGCAGTAAAACCTATATATCTGAACACCCCTCTAATCCAAATGCCTCACACTTTTTTCTCCCATTGACTCACATATTAAAAACCTTGAAATATGAACACCTCCTAATCCACATGTAATGGTGGAGCCAGGATGCCAAATGGTAGCAAAATATGTAGACCACATGTAACAAGTAACTACACTTTATTTTCAAGGTAATATGTGATATTGCTATGAAGTGGATGAGTGGGAACTGTAATAATGTTATAAAGTTGTAGAAATAAAGTGAATTCTGAATCGCCTCCAACCAAAATATTTGTTGACTTAAAAGCAGACATTAGATAAGTCCTGAGAGATGACAGTATAGCATTATAATTAAGAAATATAAACCGAAGAGCAGGGCAGGGGTTATATTGTTGAATACACCCCGCAGGGCTAGGCACAAACGTTTTCTGTACCCCGAACGACCGAAGGGAATGAGTGGTTCGAGAGCTTTTGTGCCTAGCCCTTAGGGATGTATTTTACGATATTACACCTGCTCTGAGGTCTATATTACGATTCGAACATGAAAACTCACCAAAATGTTTGGAATATTCATTATGGTCCGCCATTACTACGACCCGCAGTTATGACGTCACACATTACACGTATTACTAGGGTTGACTTTGTTTACAGTTTATAGAAGGCGTGAATACAGTCATGTTCGAATAGGTGATATATCACTCTCCAGCATGTTATAAACCAGTATTTTGGAGGGATTTGATATGAATATCACAAGGACGATATCAAATATTGATATCATCGGAGGGATATTCCTCATATCATTCGGACAGGTGCATTTATACTATGGTCAAGAGCCATATCTACCTTGAGTCCTCTGTTAATTGAGAGAAAAAAATGTTTGACTGTTAGGAATATTAAAGTTACACATTTTCCTGGCCTTATGTGCATTGAGAATTTTCGCGAAAAAGAACAACATAACATAAAAATTGAAAAAATTATTTGCTTATTCAAATAAGATTTCATTATTGATTTTTTTGAGGGTGATCAGCATTTTCCATGAGCTTCAAAATGATATATGGGAAAGTATGATAAAAAAGTTAAGGGGGGAGAACAGACTTATTTGACGCCCTGTATATTACGTGATGGAGAGTGATATATCGAAATGTCACCTCAAGGAAAACAAATGGCCATGTGATGAAAACTGACCAATCACAGTCCACCATTATTGTTTAAGATGTGATCAACCCATATAATACAGATACAGACTAACTTGTGACAAAATATCATCAAAATCCAACAAAAAAATATTTCGGAGAGGAAATAATAACAAAATTAGGAATGAAAGGGAAACCATAGCATGTACCATGAAAAGAAACAAACACTTTAACACAGAGTTCATTGGAAATGTACATGTCCTTTATTGCACTCATTTTCCATAATGTCAATTTCCTGATACATTTCTTTCACAATCAAAATTGAATTTAAAAACACATGATTTTTTCTTCATCATACGTATATCAATGCAAGCATTCAGTACTAAAATAAATGTATTCTAAAGATACATACACATCATTTTTATGTTTAAAACAAGTCTGAGATATCAACTACCAATTTTAATTTTCTCAATCCGTGACATTTATACAAATATTCTTTTCAACTGTAATATCTCATTTGACTTAATCTAAGGGTTCCATTTTTGGCATAATCATAACTTACGAACTTACATTGGCCTACTATTGGATAAACAATGACTTGCCACTAAATCGTAAGTTACGACAGTTCCATGAATGGAAAACAGTAATAAGCTTCACTATCAGAATCAGTGCAAATGCAGTGTTAAATATGAAGTCTTCAAGAAATGACCATATTGTAAATATTCATTTCGAGCTTTAGTGCAAGTGACAGTAATAAAAATATCCCTAATATATTCTTTTGTCATATTAAGGAATATGATTGGCAAAAGCTCAAGTTATTTAACATCGACTGTTATTTCCTCATATCTTTGAAGCATTTGAAGTGTCTAAATCCAACCAATTTCAGTTTTTTTCAAGCTAGGTACACAGGTAGGACACTGCACATATTTGCTTCATTAAGAATACACCATTGAAGTCTTGATTTTTGTCACCCTTGAATGGCTTGATCCCTAACTGATCAGAAATTTTGAAGTACATGTAGTTCCTTATCACCTTAAAACAAGAGGAAACCCATCTTTAGATTCTAGTTTATTACACCCGAGCCTTAATGAATTTCTGTTGACAGTGAGAAGACATTTACTGACGTTTGTCTTAAAAAATTATGCTTAAAGTGATGCATCCTTCAGTTTACTTTACCTAATGAAATCTATAAAACTAGATCAATCAAGGTAAGGATATAATCAATCAAGGTAAGGATATAATTGGAAATCTTGACAGGTAAGGATAAGAGTGCAATGGTATTTTTTTTATTTCTCAACTGTATACAGGCTTCCAAACCTTCAATGTTGAGGAAATCACTGCTTTGAATCTATGTATATTGTCAATTGCCCCCACAGGTGCCCCTGGGTAAGGGTAATAAGAGTGTGGGGTCTCCTTGCAATTAAAGTTGGATTTATTTAATTGCAGGGAGGTCCTACACTCTTATTACCCAGGGAGCACCTGTGATTGCCCCAATATAGACCAATCAAATTCCTCAATATGCATTTTATTACACATAAATTATATACGTACTTTCCAGATTTAAAGTGGCAATAATACTGATTGATAGAAAATGAGGTTTGAACAGACAAAGTTTTCTAAAAAATATCTACATCTTAAAAGCAAGTTTACAGCTTGTATACTTGAATATCAACTCTTCAGTTTACAATTCCAGGCTCATTACCATGGCAACTAAAAGCAATTTAAAATAACTATAATAACAATGTTATTGTACAGTGGATTATCCCCTGATCATGTTAACAATAGTGGAATAACATCATCAATATTCATGATATCTATTAACAGTGTAGCTTTTTGGCAAGAACATTTAATCGGTTATTCCATGCACATGTTTGAATATCTAGAAAATAACATATATATTTTTGGCTTTACAGATTTTTAATTTTGAAAAAAATGATTCCTGGGGTGAATCCAATATATGCTTTTACTCGATATCAGCTTATTAATGAGTTGCACTCAGTTTACTATTAGTATTCATTCCAAGTCATCCTGACATTAATATAAAATAATAATAACAGCTTCGTGATAAATATGATATCGCTTCATATCATATGATATCACATGCAATATGTGACTTATAAAAAATTAGTAACTTATCAAAATCTATTGATCTTTCATTACAACTAAATGTCAGTTGAACTTTAGAGGGGTTGCGTATTGTTAACTAAAATCAGTATCATTAGAATCAATTCAATGCTGAAGCGTGATACTATAGCATGTTTGTTACAGGAAAATATACTTAACATTTCAGCTGTAATCTGAACATGTCGTCGGTAAACTGAACATGTCACTGGTAACCTGAACATGTCTGATCTGAACAAGTCATTAGTAACCTGAATATGTCTGATCTAACATGTCACCAATAACCTGAACATGTCATCAGTAACCTGAATATGTCATCAGTAACCTGAACGTGTCTGATCTGAACATGTATGTCATTGGTAATCTTAACATGTCTGATCTGAACATGTCATCAGTAACCTGAATATGTCTGATCTGAACATGTCATCAGTAACCTGAACATGTCTGATCTGAACATGTCATCAGTAACCTGAATGTCATCAGTAACCTGAACGTGTCTGATCTGAACATGTATGTCATTGGTAATCTTAACATGTCTGATCTGAACATGTCATCATTAATCTGAATATTTCTGATCTGAACATGTTATCAGTAACCTGAACATGTCTGATCTGAACATGTATGTCATTGTTAATCTGAATATGTCTGATCTGAACATGTTATTGGTAATCTGAACATGTCATTGGTAACCTGAACATGTCATCGGAAACCTAAACATGCCTAGTTATAATTGTAAACCTGAACATGATTTCTTTGATCTGGTGTACTAAATGAAAGGTAAAAACTAAAAGATATATCAAACTAGATTTAGTTAATTTACACTGTACAGTATACGATATCTATGAACTATACATGTCTATTAAATATACACAGAACTGACAATATTTCTGTACATACATGCCTTATGCTTATATACACCTTATATACATAAAACACATACTGGTGCAACATGACCAAAGAATCTGACCAAATGAATGCCATTTTTCAATGCAAAGGGAATTTACTATAAATAAGCATATTCTTGGGTACTACATTACTAAGATGTCCTATTTAAGTCAAACAAAATGTTTTTCTCTATTCTAGACTTTATTGAAAAGTTGGGTACCTCTAGTTTGCTGCAATCTTCAAAATGTTCAATTATTTACTCAATATTTCTTCTAAATGTCAGATTTGATAAAACAATAGCCTGTGAATTATTTTTAACAACACTCATAAGATTGGATTCATAAGTCAGTGATGTCATAAGCATTTGGAAAATCTTCCTCAGTTAAGTACATGTAAAATGATAAAATCCATTTTGTAAACCTAATCACACATTATATCCCCTTTTCATTATTATGTAAAAAACTCACAAGAGGAGTAAAATTTAAACGAATATCTCAGAATTTATATTAGAAGTAATCAATTGATACAATGTTGATACTTCCTTGAACATTGTCCTCCCCTTAACATTGGAACCCTTTGTTAAAGCACTATGTGCCACTGCCGATCACAAAGGAAACAATCCAAGTTTTACTTAGTTTCAGTGTTTATTCTGAGCCGAGATTCAACTCATCTGTGACTCTATCACGTTTTAAAATATTATTTCTTTGAAAGATTTACGATCAGAAAATCGAACAGGTGTTAATTGTTTCATTGTGTTATCTGCACTTGAGTGAATTGTTTACATTCTGGGCCTGTATTTGTTGTATCTTAGAGAAACATTGTCTGAATGCAATCGTGTTTGACTAGAGCTATCATATCCCAGTTAAGCTGTTCCATCTCTACTGCAGTGTTGCTGATTATTTCTCAACTTCTCAAGGTTATTCACATCTGCGTATATTACACATGTTAACCTTCATACATTCTTGGCTTACTTTAACACTTATCCGCTATAAATCATTAGAACATAACACATTGTCTGCTCTCGAACATGACAAGAGAGGTACTGCTTACCCACAATGCAGCATCATAATATTCTTGAGATGCTATTAATGCTATTGAGTAACATGGGTGACAACTTGCTGATGGCTGTTTTGCTTGACACATTGCATTATTGTAGGTGTACTTTATTGTAGATGTTTGCATTATTGTAGGTGTTTACATTATCCTAGGTGTCGGCATTATGCTCATATCATTAATATGCACCTTTCAGTTTAGATCTTCAGCTTTTGGCCAGCTCAGTCCATCTTGGTGACATTCTCTGGATGCCTCTTTATCACACTATTTCTGCAGTCAACATGTCATCCATATTCATTTCAGCTACCTTCTCTCTTATCAAGATTTTATATCTATCTAGCATTAAGCATCATCTCTGTCTTCTTTCAACATTATCTCTGTCTTCTTTCAACATTATCTCTTTCATCTTTCAACATTATTTCTATCATTATCATTACTGTACAGATAGGTGGCACCATATGTTACACTTTTATATCATGTGACTCTTTGAGAGAAGCTAAAGTTTTCTTGATACGTAGCGCAGTAAGCCGTGCAGCACCATTGTGATACCAGCATTCCCTCATGAGTTTACCCATAATCCGCATCGACTGAAAAATTCAGATTTGATTTTAAATCATTAAAATATCAACTTTATTTGAAAAGTCTATTAGTTATTAAATTTCAGTATGAAGAACAAGGCATTCAAATGCAAAATGTCACCACCTGCCATTTGTTACAGACACTGACCACTGAATGCTGGACACCAACTGCCGAACTCTGCACACCATCCACAAAAAGTTGGAGACCATAACAACAATATGTCACCCTTGTGGTTGTGACATAAATATGAAACCCAATAAAACATTAATCAACATGTTTCATTAATGTTGTATTTGGGATGATTAGAGTTTAATCATGAGCAAAAATGGGGAGGGGTAAAAAAGACATAAAAATAACATTTGAGCCTAAGAGGGTTGAATGACATAAATAAGCACATTGGTAATGTTAGCCTTGACACTAAATAACAGGCCTTCAAACAAATAAATTATGGTACACTTGGTTAATTCGGGAAAAACACTCTGACCTAAAGCAAAGTCAGTATGATCTGAACTTAAGGCCATCCTAATCTTATTACTGCACTTTGACTCACCACTCTGTTTATTAACCAATGTACCGAATGGGGTTAAAAGGAAAGGTAATTTTTACGCAGATATTGATTTCCTTAATATTTTAAACCCTAACTTCCTAATTCAACATACGATTTCCTCAAATGATAGTTACCTGATCTTACTGCAAGCCCCTGTGTTAAGCCCCCTTCCCTATATCCAACAATCAGAGGTATGTGTTAAAGACCAATCTTAACGTCCCATGGGTTTTTGCATATCAATGAGGGCAAATGTCGGTCTTAAAAGTCATTATCAAATAAGTCATTTTAACACAGGTCTTATACTGAAAAGTGAAAAACTGTTCAAACTAGAGGAGTAGTACCTCATGGAACATTGAAACAGGTGATTGTATATAATATATCTCTAATTAAAAGTTGTCTATGTACCTCATTGCCTTGCCATCTGTTTGGTATCGAAGGCCTTTGTTTATCACAACAGACTATTTTCTTCATTTCCTCCATTGTAGGATCAGAGGGCACCACATCATAGTAGGGCAGCTGGTAATCCTCAACTATGCCTGCAATTTAATAAATAAAATGCCTTTTTATGCAAGTAATTTAAAGAGGCATTGTTTGATAAATTGGTCAATTATGGCATCCCTTGATATCTATCAAAAAAAAGATTAAATTTCATCTTTGGTAGAAATGCTATCAATGGCAATGCAATGACATATTGCTTTACTTTTTTCATTCCTTAAAGGCCCACTATGCTTAATTTAGAGGGAAAAAAGAATCATATAAACATGTTATTTACACACTCGATCAAGTATGATACAAAGCTTGATTTGTATTAATATTGAACTGAGAAAATATAACTGGTAGAAAACAGAATTTGAAGTAAAGACAAAGTGCATGTTTTAAGTAACTCTTGATTTAAAAGATGGTGATACTTCTATAAAAATGAATGAATCATTGACAATGGTAAAAACTTGATGTATAAAAACTTGACAGATCAAAAATATTTTTAATAATTCATTGTAAGCTTTGATGTGGCCCGTTTGAGCTGTTTTTTATGTCTAATGAAAGATTAAGTACTTGTCAATCCATTGGGTACACTGTGAAGTTCAAAAGTAAGTCTTTCTTTTGCAAAAAATGATGAAAATATGCATAGTGAGGCTTTAAGGTATGAAAACATTTTCAAGAAATAATTTATTCAATGGTTGGCATTTAATACAAAGTTACAAAATATTGGGAAAAGTATTAAATACCCTATTGATCAAAAAAGCAAAGAATATGTTAATTTCACAGGCCTGTAATACAGCATAAGGATTGTCCCAATTACTGTTAAGAAATTTTGCAGAAAAATGAGCAGAATGGCAGGTCTTTAAGACTGTAGTTGATTTATGTGTTGTTTTTTCTATTTCTGTTGCTCTGGCTCTCCTTTGGAGGGTGTGTTCTGGCTTAACCAATGTCTAGCTGTATGACTTTGTATGAGAGCATTAAGCTTTATTCACTTAGGCTTCATTCAACTTTCTAACCAACAATTTGATGAATTAGAGGTTACTCTAAAAAGCAATATTTTATTGAAATCAACATTGTTGGTGTTACAAACTTCATTTCAATTTACATGAAAACCGTTATAGCAGGGGACTATAAGGATGAATCATAGCCTTACCACAAGCATTACATCTGCGTGCAATCTCCCAGAGAACCAAACCAAGTGCGTAGACATCAGCTCTCTTGAATGACTCAAAATGTGAGGTGTTAATTGTTTCATCTAGAATTTCTGGGGCCATATAGCGTTTAGTCCCCACTCTATTAGGGTTGTGTGCCACATCTACAGTGTCAGTGGCAGACTCATGTCTTACAGCTAAACCTAAAGACAAGAAACAATTCAAATGTGAAGAATAATAAAGAAGTAAAAAAGAAGTAAATCTGTAAACTTAGACATTTCATTCATTTTAGAGCTCAGTATTTAACAATGTTCGATTTAGTTATGTATTCAGATGAATCATACCTATCATGTTATATGTCAAGTACTATCAAGTTACACAAAAGGTTTTTACTGGACAACGAAGTAGCCCCACTGGTACGGGGGCTTGATGCGAGACTATTACTATACACAATTTTTGTTAATAAGTGATTTGATGTGACGTACCTAGATCAGCAATACAGCATGTATGGTTCCACTTAACTAGGATGTTTTTAGATTTTAAATCACGATGGGCAATAGCAGGTTTCCCTGAAAACATAAATTGTGAATGATTCAAGGAAAGGACTCAATATATTTAGTTTCAACAAATCAACAACTGAGACATACTCAGAGTACACATATTATCAAAGGAAGAATTGTGCTTATCCCATACTTAGAATCAAATCTGTATGATAACAGGTAAATATAAATACGATATTTTGCAAATGATATCACTCAAAATCATAGGATATCCCATATGTATTCTTAAGATATTATCAAACCAAACTGATTGGAAACTTGTAATTGATGTATTGTGTAGGAAATGTAATAAAAAATATAAGAGTGTGAGTTAGTATTACCCTGTACACCTACTATCTCCATGTGTAGATGGGCCAGGCCACTAGCTGTGCTTGTAACAAGTTTGATCATGCCTGGAGTATCAATCTCATACTTGTTGAGGTAATCAAAAAGAGACCCATTCTCATGGTAATCTGTTACCAGCCACAGTTCAGTCCATGGACCAACATCTGCAGATAAAAACACATGGATATCATCAACGTTATTTAGCACACAAGGAAGGACAATGGCTATGTAAAATCTATATCATCAACACTATATAGCACATAAGGAAGGACAATGGCTATGTAAAATCTATATCATCAACACTATTTAGCACACAGGGAAGGACAATGGCTATGTAAAATCTATATCATCAACACTATTTAGCACACAGGGAAGGACAATGGCTATGTAAAATCTATATCATCAACACTATTTAGCACACAAGGAAGGACAATGGCTATGTAAAATCTATATCATCAACACTATTTAGCACATAAGGAAGGACAATGGCTATGTAAAATCTACAGAAAGTTAACTAGAATACAGTAGTTTGTGATTTGTGATAAGCCATTTCATCTGTGAAACTCTAATAACTGCAAACTACTTCACACTGAAGCAAAACAACCTGACTGTGCCCATTCTATTAAAATATAATCATAATTACAAATTTTAAGCATGTGTGCCATAGACAATAACAAGTGTTTGCCTTAAGTTATCTTGAACAAGTCGACATGACTCGTCCACTTGAAAAAGTCAGTGACCTTCTTTATATTGAAAGGAGACACTCTGAAAGCAACATATTCAAAAATTCCAATTTCAGAATTCTTTATGATCAAACGATTTTTTGTCAATTTCATTTTTCTCAAAATACCAACAGATTTAAATGCATATCCTCCTTTATTTTTAAAATCTGAATAAAATAGAAGAATAAAATCTGAAACATTTGCTAGAATACAATTTTAAGATAATTATGCTAAAAACATTGACTGGATTATGACAAGTGCAATGGAGATAGTGATTGTAGTTTGTTTACTGTATCTTCCAATGTAACAGATTCTACCTTAATACTAAAACAGGGATTTTATAGGCAATAGGCAACACAGGAACCTCCCTAGCAGATTTTACAGAAATCTCCTGTTGTTTTGCAATGGTGTTCACATCAAAATGACAATTCCTTTTCATGATGGCTATTATCAGAAATTCTGAGACTATTAGCGTTAACAAAAACTAAAAACTTGTTAACGAACACATGCCATACAGGATCTGCAACACACTCCTTGAATATTATAGTGACTCAACAGGACTTATTACATTTTAGTACATAACCACAATTCTAGTGGGATCTAATTTGTAATAATACAATTGCACTAAAACATTTTTTTTATGTAAACAGTGCTAGACCAGTAAAGATGTTCACATTGAGATGTGTTATATTATTTGGAGATTCAGATGACATGGAAGTCAATGGAAAACACAAGAACTGAAGTTTCATATTTTGAGATAATCATTCAAACTAATGAGGTTTTGAACTTGAAAGTAATAATCCCTTTTATATATGTATCAATGTATTACTCCCCTAGTAAATCTTGGTAACAAGAAAATCACAAGACATTAACATGCAAAATGTCACCATCTGACATTTGCTAAAGACGCCGAAAGCCAAAAATGGTCACAAAAAATTGGAGACCATAAAAATATATCACCACTTGTGGTGGCGACATAACACAGAAAAGATGACATAACAATAGACCCCTGAATCTGAAGCACACGTTCATATATACAATAACTTGCAGATATGTACAATGACAATATATATGTACAATATATATGTACAATGACATGCAGCATAATCATAAGGTACAACAGTTCCCAAACTTTTGAGCTTCATAAAGTGATACCTTGTACATAACTTAAAATAAATCTTATGCTTTTATATAGTTCAGAGTACAAAACCTCAAGACCTAATCTCTTATGTCACCTGATTTATGTGTGATAGATAGAATAACATGACGCTCAATTAATAACATAACTGTAGTACTATATATAAGACTTAATCACTTATTTGTGATTGTAAATATTTGAAAAAGTCAATCAAACTTCAATGTAAAGATAATATCATATTAATCAAACTCTACTATAGCACAAACACTTGAAAATATCTTTTACTTGCTTACATTTGAACTATACAAAACATCTTCTGATGTCAAGATACTTTAGGGGAGGCATCAAAAGTTCAATGTCTGATATGAAACTAAATAAATCTAGTTTTGAGTTGGACCCCCCCCCCCTCCCCCTCAAAACTAAATACAATGAAAGTTGATCGCGGACTTTTCACATGTTTTAGCGACTCAATTTGGACTTTCATGGGGCCAGTACTATAACTTATTTATGATTCTTAAAACATGTGCCAACAACAATAGGCATAATATTCCATGTTGCATGCATCTTGGTGAAGAAGGCATCTGGTAAAGTCTTTATTTTTAAACCATTCCAAGGCATTTCGAGTCGAAATTGCGAAAAATTTAAATGTTGAAATTTGTCGGATAGCAAACTGAAATAGCTTTGACCCCCTCCCCCCCAAACTAGATTTATTTAGTTTTCTATCAGACATTGATCTTTTGATGCCTCCCCTTAACTAAAGCAAATATCTATTGTGTAACTTCAAAATATGTAATATCACGTTTGAGATAATGTTTGTGGAGATTTTTTCATGACATTCAGAGTATATTGATTTAATGAAGGCAAATCGGGTGCAAGGAATTCATTGAAAGTAAAGTGCCACTGAGATTTTCAGCACTAGATTCAACCGGAGATGAACGAAGGAAATTAAATTAATAAATAATATTAGATCCACTCAACACTCTCTTACCTTTATTATCTGCAGCTATGAATCCCAGTATATTTTCATGTCTCAACATGGATGTCTGGTAGAGCTCAGATTCTCTGGACCACGATTGCTCTTCTCGTGCTTGGACTATTTTTACTGCAACATTTTCTCCCCGCCACCTTCCCCGTAGAACTTTTCCATAGCGACCTAAGCCAATTGTCTCGTAAAGCTGTATCTGCCGCGCTACTGTTCTTTGTACTAACAGAGGTAGACCTACAAATCATCATAATAAACAGTTACTTATAAAAACAGAAAATACAAGTTAGCCAAAACATAAAAAATGACTTTCTAATTATTTAAAAACACAAATGTATATTTGTACTCCTTGCTTTAGATGACAGAAATAATGTTGGCTTATCGTGCATAACATCTAAAAAACCTAAAATATATCTCAGTTGACTTGTTTTCAATATTAATATTCCCCATTCTAAATGTTGAAAGAAAAAATGAAGTTAATTTTATAATGATTTTACCCCCTCTAGAGAATGAAATTTGAAAATATAATATAAAATCAAAAAAGAAAAATTGCACTGAAACGCCTTCCTTTGGGTATCTAGTTCCAATCATGTACCAACAATGTACAAAATAAATGAATAAATTGTTTAGTGTCTACCTGACCCAGATGATCCCGAACAGGTACCAGAAGATATAAGATCCTTCAGGGTGCTGTTAGCTGGCATTAGACCCTCATACTCATCCTGTAGATGAAGAGGTCCTGTGCTGTGGATAGGATACCTAAATAAATCAAACATATTAGAATAACTTATTTTTTCATTTGACCCAGACATTTGCTGTAAAACCATGTTTATTCAATAAAAGGCCCCAAAATTTGAAAACATTTAGGAGCAATTAACCATGATGAAGATTACAGAATATTTAAAGGAACATTACACAAAGAATTGAAATGCAAATGGTGCAAATCTTATCTATGTGATTTTAGTTTCAAATAAGGGATGTTACCTGTGGGAGAGGTAGCGTCGGTCTTTTTGGTGCTTAACATACAGGAAAAAGGCAACTCCCATAATGCAAATGAAGGCAACGGGAATGCCTATAAGTAGCGTCAACTCCCACCAGCTCAGACCAAGAGCTCCAACTGTCTTTGTTGGCTCTATAAGCACAAGTCAATAGAATTATTACAGATCGATATAATTATTTTGAAAGTAACATAATTAGGTAGTGATGTCAATTATTTAATAAACATGAGACGTTGTTGCCTACAATAAACGAAGAAATAAAAGTGTCAGACAGGCATAATCAAATATTTGTTTCAAAGGGGATAATTAATGTTCTAAATTATATTACACTAGGTAGCTAGTAGGCAGCTGGGTACATGTCTATCACAAATAGTAATACATCATTATAGTTCTGTTCTCTTATAACATACAACTACAAATTCTAACCTATGATCAGGTCAACCAGTCTACTTAAATACCAGCTAAGAAATTTACAATACAATACAATACATAAAATATGTTACTAGCGGAAATTAATAACACCCAGCATGCATAGATCTATAAAACATAAATCATCCAGTGGTTTTATCTTTAAATATGACTAATACACTCTAGGATAGGATGTTATTAAATAGTAAAAATCTAAAGATAAATGTACTTAAAAAACAGTATTCTTACCACAACCCCAAGAAATCTATATCTATAAATCTGAGTTATTTTAGGAAAGTTATAGGCACCATTCATCGAAAAACACTCAACTTTGAACAATTTCAATGGTCCATAACTCTATGCATGGTTACTTGTATATCAATGCCACCTCAAGATAATTTTACTCACAAAAGTGGTTTATTGGTTTTAATGTCGGCAATCTGACCTTTTTTAGCCTTACCATTAGAGTTGGATTTATTCAATTTCTAACTATTAATGTCGAATTTCAATGAATAAAGTTATTTTGTTTTGTGGCTACTTCATCCATGATATTATTTTGGATTTTTTAAAAAGCGAAACAAAAATTAAAATAGCCAATTTCAAAAATCTGAATTGCAAGCCATGGTTGAAATTGTCCAATGAAAAAGAAGCGCCAGGGTGAAATAACACAACAGTTACAGCGTCCTAGACTTCCACCAACGCGAACATCAATTCTGACCTCGTGAACAACCTTCCTTGCGCTCGAACCACAATTCTCACAATTCAAACATATTTCTCCACTCGCGCACAGATCTCGCGAACAACATACCTGAAAAGAAAGTCTGTAATTTTATTCCTCTCATTACGCATAACTAAATTCCAACCAACTATTTTTATTTGAAATTAGGAAGAAATGGTTTCCCAGTTGTTCATGAATATCCACTTATTGAAGATGACATCATCTTCAAGCTCCATATAACTTGGAATCCCAAATACCCGGATACATTATGTACAAATTGTTCGCGATCGCGGATCTCTGTTTGGAGTGGAGAAATGTGTTTGGGAGCGAGGAAATGGTGGTGCGTAACTAAAGATTTCATAATCGCAATGTGAGAATCATGGTTGAAGTGCAAGAAATGTAGTTCGCGAGGTCAGAACTGATGTTCGCGTTGTTGGAAGTCTAGGAGGCCTAGAGATACTCCCTACATGTTTGTGTTAGGATCATTATGCTAGTCAGCGTGTTTTGTGAAATAGCCTCATTGTCAACAAGACCAACTATTAAGGATTATTTCACCCATTTAAAGCAATCTGGGAATGATTCTGCTTCCTCCCACAGTGATTTTGAATAGCATTCTGGGATTGATTAACCACCACCACTGTCACAAGAGATCAAAGCATTGTGGGTAAAACATTCCTCATTTAGTATTAAACTTTCAATGTGACCAATTACACTGCATATGTGGAAGAAAAATACTATAATTGAGGTTAACCAAAGATGTTTAAGATTCATTGTGTCCCAAATGGTCCATTTAACACGTTCTTTATGTTCCTTTTGCTTTGAAGCAATCCGACAATGCTTCCAGTTGGGAATGTTTAAATTACCCTATACCGAGTTAAAAATCATAAAAAATCTAAATTTTGACCAGCTCAGACATTTACCTCAGAATAGTTAATGTGAATTATACAGGATGTCCATAAAGTATCTTTACAATTTCAATACAAGGATTGTACAAAGTGTAAAGAGACTTTCTAGAATTCCTGTACATCTAGTTCAATAAAAATTAGCATAGAACTCTATGAGGAACATCTCTTGGGAGATCTATAAATTAAATTTTTATTCTTGTCATAATAAATAAATAAATAATAATCAATTAACTAGAAAATTAACTAATAAAAAAGCCAAAAAATAAAACTGCACACACATGTTATATAAGAATTTCTGAACAAGGTATAGCAACACACTGAAATATGAGCGTATTAATTACTCTAATTACAGAGTGTCCACTAATAACTGTAAGTTCCAGCACCCATTCCATCAAATAAAGGACACCCTGTACAAGGATTTTTAATGCGAATATAAACTGGGAGAAATAGGGTATTTGTGAATGGTGGCTTACTTGAGAGAGGGTTAGTAAATAGTGAATGGCAGTGAGATTTATCACAAGGAAGATGGTGTATGCAATTCAATACTTAATAATATTACAAATGTATAAGACATCTTGTACTAGGATCAGTTTAATTGAACTTGTATATATAGAATATTTATCCAATGTATACTAAATATATATTAGGAAAACAATGCAAGATATTTTAATAACCTCCACTGACAAATAAAACTATATAATCAACCCTCAAAAATGGCACCACTTGCCATTTGTAACAGGCACTGAATGCTTTTACAGGATGGTGCCTAACACAGTCCAGAAAAAGAGGGCAATTTATGTCAGTGTAAGCCATACTCCAATTAGGATGATTCTCCAGTTTGTTAACGGGAACTTGGAGACATTAATTATTCAATATTAAAGGACAACTGAAATAGTAATTTTAGCCTAAAGGAATCGATTTTATCGAATCGAATGAATGTTTTTGGACATGTCATCTTAATCAGTAATGTGGCAACTGTTTCATTCTACTCAATGTGGTAGTGGTTTAATAAGCAATATTTAAATTTATTGTATGATCTGTAAAATGAAGCCCTCTGATTGGTCAGTTCTTGTGCTGTACCAATCTGTATTGCTATCGAGATTGTCCCCATTGAAAATATTGGTACGGAGGGGACATTCTCAGTAGCAATAAAGAGGATCACACGATAAAAACGTTCTCGATATTCTGTATTGGCACTCGACTCGTCTCGTTCCAATACGGAATTTCTTGAGCAGAATATATCCTGAATTGCACTTCAAATCATTCAATAACTTATAGTTTGTGACATATTTTGGCCCCCAGGTGGCCTGTTTTGGTCCAATAATTCATGATGTCATAATTCGAAGGTGTTTTGTTATTTGGTTACTCAACAATCATACATTTGCAATAACGTCATGATTACCAAGAAATCAATAAACCAGAACTATAAATAAGTATGACATCACTGGACACGTAGGGGTCAATCTGACTGATCTATTGGTTCTATAATATCGTTATTAGACAATATTAACATTTATTTATTTTGTAATGGAGAACTCTACTTATTTGGGCTTGCAAAAACTGCATCTTTATAGTTGCAAATTTCAGTTGAGCTTTAACTGAAGAGAATGGAAATATACTAATATGTGTATACCTAATGTGAGTGGATTTCAAGGATTGGTGAATATTCTAATGATGATAAAGCAATTCCTTGCATATTTCTATATGAAACACAATCTTACTATCTGGACCTAAATAACAGCAGAATCTGTCGATAAAGCATATCCGTGAGCGTCTCAACTTGTCCAGGAAGGGGAGGCGGGAATGAGGGAGTGTGGTCAAATACCGACCTGTGCTATTTTTATAAACATGTGTTGCTATAGGCTTGTTGCACAAAGTCTCATAGCAGCAGCTGATCTGCAATCCACTGCCAGGTTTAGACTCACAGTAAGAGGGTTTCCCTTTGGGATGCAGTTGAAATTTCTTGTAACATCTAGAAAGATATACAAGCCATGCCAAGATTAGAAAAAGGAGGGGTAACTACACACTATACAGGTAGAAAAGAGCACCACACCATACTACACCCCTAGTCACTACATGTATAGTGGACTATATGAGTTTCATGCACATATACTTACTGGGAACTTTAGTTGGCAGTGTCTTCAATGTTACATTCATCCATTTGTTGCAATAGTCTTTGGAAGAGCAACATTCTATAACTTTAACATGCCGTATTTTCTCAGTGTTTGCACACCTCAGTGGCCTATTATCCGGCTTCAGGTCAGCTTCTTCAAAACACCTACAAAGAAGGCTCGTTAAAAAGGCTCCTTAACTATAATACTGACCTTTGTACAGTGGCGCTTGTTTGTTGTATATACTGTGCATGGATAGTTCTCAGCTCTTAGACTCTCAGATAATAGGAGTCAGGGAACTTCACCAAACTGTTTTATGTAAAACCTGCAATGAAAGCTGGCGAGGATCGAACTTACAGCAGTGTCACATATAACACAAGTTGAGAATCGAATTGCCCCTTACATAAATTAAAGACCCATTTCAAAAAAATGTGGATAATTTGAAGAACTTTATTTTGAAATTCTTAGTAGAACAAGTCAAAATGATAATTTTGCACCAAGTTTAGAAAAAAACTAAATGAGACCACTGCAACTGTGATGTAATTTCTCAGATATGAACACACGTAATATCAGGTTGTAGTTCACATCTGGACCTTTTCAGGATTCTCCAATATTATCTATAAACTGTATAACAATGTCATGGTGTATATTATTAATAACAATGAATAGTTAATGTGACATTACTAAGGTTCAAGCAGCTCAATCTGAGCATTCATAACGAACAGGTATAGTAACGTTAAAAATTACCTTAAAGATAAGATAACAATGTATAAACAGAAATTATTTACTTAATAATAATGTAGAAAATAACTGTAAGTTCTAACAAACAACTGCAAACCGTGGCAGACAACACACCGGGGATACTGACAGACATATCGATATGTTATATTAAAAATGATCTTCAAAGAATTATATTAACTAGAGGCTGTACCTTACTTTCATCTTGATGAAAATCATTTTGCTTCCAGTTGACAGTTTATGCAAATTTAGCAACAAGTTTTATACAATTCTTAGTCAAGTAAAATTTTAATATCCTTAGGATACAAGATGTGATGCCTGTCAAAACTTGAAAAGTTGTGAGTAGTTAATATGTGGTTAATATTGTGATATCTTGCTGGAGATACACTTACACTTACCCATATGCTGTGATAGGTTCATTTGTTTCCTCGTTTCTATGAACCTGTTTGTAGCAGGCACCCCCTTCTCCAGCATCACACGTCTCGTTATTTTTATCATCACAGGAAGCTTGTTCATTACAGTGACATGATATTCCTGGAGAAAACAAGGATATATGTTCGAATTTGGATATCTACTCAAATAGTTTAAATGAATCTGTACCTTATTGATCACCCAGCATGGCCAAATATGAATCAGTTCATATCAAATTTCATATTATCCTTTGAACAGTTTACCTTGATGAGCTGAAAAGAATTTGTGATGGCTTAATCACTCCCAGCTAAATCTCAAGCTCCAATCAAGCTTTCCTTACCCCCTAATTTAATACTAAGTAGAACATTGCAATATTGACAGCTTCCTTTGAATTATGCCTCTTGATCAAAGTGTGTTTATTAGAATCCAAGTTTGGGTATACTGTATTGCGTTCATTATCCAACCATGCAAAAGAACATGGCTTTTTCCCAGCACAGAAATAACAACTGGATATTTCAATATGATGTTCAATGTACAAACTGACGATTTTTTGTAGATCATTTGTACATTGTTTTCTAATTAAAGACAGTGTATTAATCAATCACAATGGGATTGAACTCATGGTACTAAGTGTTGAGAAAACCAAAGGCCTTATATTCAATGTGTAGCATTCTTTATGACTGCAATATTACAATTGCAAAATAAGTCACAATGATGGCATGCCAAAGTGCCAGTGATTTCAGAATAAAATTTTTCGGTTTATAATTTAACAAGATTCTAAACAGAATTGTTTTTTCTTTATTTATTTAGCATACTGGGATGTTCCCTTTGAATAAATAAAACATGATAAAAGACAAGCTAATAAACTCAGGATAAGGAATATGTAATAATAGTTTTCATATCACAGCCATGGCAGTCAAACATATTATTGAGTACAAGGAGGCAATGTTGTCCATGTAGTAAATTGTTGGACTGAGTGTCCGACAATTACCTAAATGGGCAACACTGCCTCCCTTTGACCTGTCTTTTAGGCCTAGGCCGAAGGGGTGTAACGTCGATACCATTATGGGGCAACTTCGACATGTGGGGTAACTTTGACACCTTGTTGTTTATTTGCTCTAATTTTCGCTCTATGGAGAAGCCATGTTTTTTTCTTGCATGGGTTGAGATTTCATGAGATTTTTATTTTTCCAGAAAAAAAACATGGCGGAAAACGGAAATTCTACTTTTAATATGGAAGTGTCGAAGTTACCCCGCCTACCATGTGGACATTACCCCACACGTCGACATTACACTCCCTTGCCCTAATAGTGATTTCAACATACTTCCTGCGAAAGCTATGTGGATTTTGATATAATAGGTTTCCAACGGCGCACTTGGACAGCTGAATAATAGTGACCTTTAAAACATGAATAAAGATTTCCGCAGCTTACTTTTGGTCTCTAACTGTGCTTACATCAGTATCATCAATCCAGCACAACTACTGTCACCAGCAGAGGCTGAAAGACTCAAAACCAAGGCTTGGGTAAAAAATCCTCCAATAAACTGTAAAATAGGAGACGACATCCCCGATGACGCACGCTTCATCAAAAATCAAGCTTTTAAAACTATTATCAAACAAGCTAAAGCAGAACAAAAGAGATGCAGATGGGTAGGACTCAAGCTCATAATAGACGGTAACAAGGTCAACTTAGAGGAAATATATAAAGAAGCAATGGCTCGATCAAGGAACGCACAGCAAAGACAGTAATCGTTATTCCCCACTAACTTTATGAGTATAAAACCTAGACATAAACAAAGCAGAAGCAAATAGACCATGACCAAGCACTTCATCAACAACAATAACAACAGAACTTTCACTAAGACACTACTAAATGTATCCTTATTTCCAAATTAATAATCACATGTTCTCAGATATATTTGACGCATCTATTAGTACCACATAAGCCCAAAGTCTCCATTTTATTTTTCTGAGGAAAGGATCGATCTTTCTGTTAACATATAAAAGGTTTTTGGCTACCGAGAACAATCACACATAGCAACCAATCAGAGGCGCCCTCACAATTGTAATTACTATCCAATCAAATTCATTGTTGCTTAGGGATGCGCATATAGTCCGAGGTAATTTTTGAAAACTTCGATCTTTTCCTCAATCAAAACCATTCAATTTCGAGACAGGGCGATAAAAAGTGAAAACATTGCGTCACAGTTAAATAGAGGACTAATCCCCGCAAGATAAGACAAAGGTGGAGTACCCAGAATTTTTTAATCATTCTTTTTTGAAAACTTTTTGTAGCCTAGTTTTTGTTCTAGATCTAAGCTAAGCTTAACTTTTGCTCAAGCTTAGAGACCGAACTGAGTTTTTTCCTTTCAAAATGTTGAGGTATGCAGGGGTGCGGTACCCATCTAGTGGGACCCCCTTTTTCCTCGACCTCGCCTACGACTTAACAATTAATAACGATGTAAGGGCGTACAGGGGACTGGGAGAGCATAAAATTTTACAAATAAAATATGTTATAAATGGTATCACTTAAAATAGGGTCAATAAATGTGAGAGGTATACAAAATAAGGTTAAAAGAAGAAAGGTTTTCAACATGACCAGGAGACTGAATTTTGATGTAATGTTTCTACAGGAAACACATTGTGCAGCGAAACAAGTAGTCCAATGGAAGTTTGAATGGGGTTTTAAAGCATTCTTCACCCAATTTAGCACACAAACAGTAGGTGTAGCGATACTATTTTCACAAAAAGCAGACATTGAGCTTATAGACAATGAAATTGACAAAAACGGCAGATATATCATTGTCAAATGTAAAATAGCAGGTAAAAAAGTAATATTAATAAATGTATACGGACATAACCATGACGAAAGTAAGCTCTTTGAGGAACTCATGGAAAAACTTGAACAAAACCGGGACTACCAACCGATATGTGGAGGAGACTTTAATGTGCCACTCAATCCACTCTTAGATAAAGAAGGAGGAAACATAGCAAGCCATAAAAAGACACGAGCGCAAATCTTAAATCTCCAGGAAGAATGTACATTAATAGACATATTTAGAATTAAAAATCCAAACTCCAAAGTGTATACTTGGGAAAATCATAATAGCACAATAAAATGCCGATTAGACTATTTTCTAGTAAGCCATGAACTAGCACAGAACACGGAACAGACAGCAATAGAAAGAACCCCAGGGAACCAATACAAAATAGCAGATCACGAATTAATTTCTATATGTATTAAACTTCTAGATCAGCCAAGAGGTCCAGGAATATGGAAAATGAATGCCAGATATATAGGAGAACCTGAATATGATAATCTAATTAAAGCAACAATCTGTAACACTAAACAAAGGAACAACTTGAACCCGAATGGAATATGGGAACTAACAAAATACAACATTAGAAAAGTGTCGATTGAGTACTCAAAGGCTCAGAAAAAGAAAACAAATACAGACCTACTACTAAAGGAAAGTAAGGCAAAAGAAATTGAAAATAAAATTAAAGATGCAAATGAAATAAGACAGAAAGAACTTCTAAACCGCGAATTACAGGATATAATTGAGGACATCGACCAAATAAATACACAAAATGCAGAAGCAACAATTTTCAGAAGCAGAACAAAATGGATAGCAGAAGGAGAAAAACCAACATCTTATTTTCTGAAACTTGAAAAGCGAAACTTCAACAACAGAACAATGTCAAAGGTTATTAAAGACAATGGTGAAAGCGTGGAAACACAAGCTGAAATAGCAAAGGAACAAGCAGCTTTCTACAGCAAGCTCTACGAAGCAACCAAAAACAATCTAAATGAGTATGACGACATTTTTTTTCCACAAGTAAGAAATATTACAACAATTAATGAATATGACAAGGAAAAATGTGACCAAGATCTAACAGAGGAAGAGTTAGTACTAGCGCTTAGAGATATGAAGAATAAAAAGTCACCTGGAACAGATGGTATTCCAGTAGAGTTCTATAAACACTTCTGGAAAGAGATCAAAGACACACTAATACTAAGCTATAACTTCTCTCTTGAAAACGGTCTATTAACTACAGAACAAAGACGCGGAATAATTACAATCATACCAAAAAAGGGCCAAGATGCCACAAAACTGAAAAACTGGAGACCAATTACACTTTTAAACACAGATTACAAGATTCTTACTAAAACAATTGCTAACCGAATTAAAAGCAACCTAGAAAAAGTCATAAACACAGACCAGACTGGTTTTCTTAAAGGCAGATACATAGGGGAAAACATAAGGCTTCTCATAGATACAAATGAAAGACTTCAACAAGAAGGCAGGAATGGTATAGTAATGATGATAGATTTTCAAAAAGCCTTTGACACACTAGAACATAACTTTATCTATAAAACTATGAAATACTTTAACTTTGGAGAACGAATAACAAACTGGATAAGAACAATATATAAAGACAACACAAGCACTATCATCAACAACGGATATACATCAAATTACATAAACATTGAACGAGGAGTACGTCAAGGCTGCCCATTAAGCCCCTATCTTTTTATTATGTGTGCCGGAATACTAAGTACTGCACTTAGAGCAACAAAAGACATAAAAGGCATTGATATAGACAATGTGAACTGTAAGGTGTCACAGTATGCCGATGACACAGTGTTGTACCTAAATGACAAAGCATCAATTAAACCCTCCGTAGACATGCTTGAAAAATTTGGTAAAGTTTCAGGACTAAAGATAAATAAAGAAAAAACAAAATAGGTATACTAGGAGAAAGTACCAGAGCTATAACAGCAGAGGCAGAAAACATATGCAATGAGGTAGGCACAAAACTAGAAAAAACTGAAATCAAGGTCCTGGGAATTACAATTCCATTGGATGGGAGACCTATCGGGAAAGCCAACTTAGAAAAACCTATACAGAAGATTAAGAATTTAATTAAAACATGGAAAGAAAGATCTCTAACGCCAGTTGGTAAAATATGTGTAATAAAGTCCTTAATTCAGTCCCAACTTTCTTACGTTTTGACAACAGTTCCAATACCACAAGACAACACATTAAAAGACCTAGAAGATCTCCTCTACAACTTTATATGGTCAAATAAAAATGACAAAATTGCAAGAGCAACACTTAGGAGAACAACAGAAGAAGGAGGACTAGATATGACACACCTTGAATCGTATGCAAAAAACCTAAAGCTAAAATGGCTGCGTAAACTAAAAGATGAAGATTGCAACAGTAAGTGGAAAAGAATCTGGATGAGCAAACTAGACAAAAACAGAGACAATAACATTTTAGAGTATAACATTGAAAACCCTTACAAGTCTGATGTAATTACAACTAATTTGAAAAGCTTGGATGAAGTTCTTAAAATATGGCATGAGGTAAAATATATAAAAGAACAGGATATTGACAACCCCTCCAATGAAATCATATGGAACAATGAATGTATAAAGCAAAACAAAAACCCGCTTCAAAATAAAGAATGGGAAAGGAAAGGTATAACAAGAATTAAACACTTATACCAAAATGGTCACTTAAAAAGTTATGATCAACTAAGAAATCAATATAATTTACAAAACCAGACCTTTCTCAACTACCACACTGTTATAAGATGCATACCACCAAGGTGGAAAACCCTAATGGCAAACACCAACTTACAAGATGACGAAGATAATATTGAGAGATTAAAAACATGGGACAATAAAAAAACGTACCAAAAGCTCAGCAAAAAGTTCAAGCAAAAGACCCCTACAGGTCAAACCAAATGGAGAGACTACTTTCAAAAAGACATAGAATGGAAAAAAATATATAATCTAATAAACAAACTGACAAAAGATACGAAAATGAAATATTTTCAATATAGGATACTAAATAGGGCAATATACTTCAGAAAAATACTTTTCAAAATGAAAAAAGTAAAAACCCAAACATGCGTACTGTGCAATAGCAACCAAATGGACGATATAGAACATGGTTTCCTGAAATGCCAAGTGATGGAAGATTTCAAACAACAATGCTACAGAATCCTGAATGAAGAGATACCTGATGACCAAGCTTTTATGTTAGGATCTCCAAGATTGTCTCTCAGCCAAAACCTAGCAACCTTACTCATAAAGAGATTCATGTATATTAATAAATTGGAAGAAAAAACACCTACCATAAATGCTTTTCAAAGATACTTAATAAGAGAAAAGAAGGCTGACAAATATATTGCAAAATCACATGGACAAGAAGAATTGCATGACAGAAAATGGAATCTTATAAATTCAATGATAGAAAATTATGTATAACCCCCCTTTCTGAGCTGGAAATCAAATACTACAAAACATACATACAGAGTCAGAAAGGGGGTAAAAAGAAGACCTAAATAGAAAAACCAAACTCTCACATTTGACCCACTATACTTAGATCAAGTAATTATAGTCTCTCCCCTCCCCTGTAAACCCCCCTTATATACTTTCTTATAATATGTATTATCATGTAACCTTATATTATAATGTAAATCTAAAACTTGAATAAATATTTAAAAAAAAAAAAAAAAAAAAAAAAAAAAAGTATCATCAATCCTTGCAAGTATTGGAGCGCTGAAATACTTCTTTTTCTATCGAGACTTGTAAATTGTCCATCGAGTGAATCTTTTTTCAACCCATTTCCAATATGGCGGTTTGCTAGGAGCGAGATAAGCAAAGAACGAAATGAATTTTGAGAATGGTTTTGGTTCGGACAACCTCCGGAGATTTACGAAAATGTCCGAGCAGAAAAAAAGACATATTGCAATTTGGCAGTAAAAACATTCACTCGACTAACAATTACAAGTCTTGATCGAAAAGGAAGTACTCCAGCGCTCCAATACTTGCACGGAAGGATGATAATGATGTATAACATACTACTTTTTTCAAGGCCTGACTTCGTCGCTAACATGCTAAATATAAGAGTTAGCTGACGTTTGGGAGTCTGACTTACCTTCTAAAGGTTAGAACCCGAATCTTAATGAAACCATATCACCTTTGTTGCGTCGATGATGATGCATAAACATAGCATTTGATAGAAATTAGTGTAAATGCTTTTCCGACTTTTTCATTTTTCATCAATGTTGACTTTCGGGAAGGCGTTGTAGTTATCACGAAATAACGCATTGACCCTTGAACTTTACTTTGTTGACGTGTCAACCAAGCATGTCTGGTGTGAAAATTAAAAGAATATTAAGCAATGTTCTACATCCGCCAAGCTAAGTGAAGTAGCCAATATAAATTACCAATTTCAAGTGAAGTACGCAACGAACGAAACTGCGTGATCTACAGTCCCACTATTTGTCTGAACGAAATGCTACGTAGAAATATGAGCCGTCTGCTGTATTAGTCGATTAATAGAGTAAGACCTGTTGGTGATGCTTTATAATTTAGACCAAAATATTGAAGAACATACGAACCTGTAAATCGTGAAAACAACGAACAAATATTCGGTTTTCATATATGTTCGGTAATTTTTCGTATTGAAACTTCCGGAACTTACAAGGAAATCATTCGTTTTCTCGGTCCATGATTTACCTCTTGGATGTTGTGGCAAATACTCCATGGTTGACGCAACAAAGGTGATATGGTCTCATTAAGATTCGGGTTCTAACCTTTAGAAGGTAAGTCAGACTCCCAAACGTCAGCTAACTCTTATATTTAGCATGTTAGCGACGAAGTCAGGCCTTGAAAAAAGTAGTAGTTAGAGAATAAAAGTAAGCCGTGGATCGACTTGATTCGTGTTTCAAAGGTCATTATTATTCAGCTGTCAATTTCTCCATTTGAGAGCCATAAGTTTCAAAATCTAACATGGCTCTCAAAGTGAGTAATTTCAACCACATTATTTATTTGTTTTGTTTTTGCTTACGTATTACAGCGAACCAACTGCGATTGATATTTATGTCATTGTGAATACTGCACAAACAGAACGCTTAGCAATAGCAAGCGTATTCAAATTGTGATAGCCTACTTTGTGAATAAGGCCACTGATACCCGACTTTTTCAAAATAGCCTAAATAAAAAAAAATGTTCCAAAAGAAAAATATATTTCAGATTCATGAGATCTACATGATATCACTACTACATAGTGTTGGTACCATCTAAGGTCGATCACGATATACGAAACTCCAATATAGCTTCCATTAAAGGTGAACCTACGATTACAAAGATCAAAACAAGAGTGTGCAAATTGACCCAGAAAAGAGAAACAAATATTGACGCCATCTTGAATTTATGAATTCTTGTCTGAAATTTTTTTAAAGATGTTTACGACTTTTCTGGTTCCAAAGAAGACACGATAATTTTGAAATTAATATATATTCATACCTGTTACTTCGGCTACACAAAGTAGTACATTGACGATCAGCAAAAGCCGAAAAGCTGCCATTTTTGGCATCATAAGATGGGAGTTTTGTCAAAATGTACTTTCATAGTGCCAAAACCGTATTACTTCCTGGCTGGGTCATATCCATACGCAGATAGATTCGTGGGATTTCCAAACAATCGTACCATCAATCAAGATGACATTGTAAATACCTCGCGTATAGGCATACATTTCGGAAACAAAATATAGATTAATTGTCCCTTCAATATTTTTATATGTTTGTAATCAGAATTATATTCTGCTAGGTCATAAAGTAGTACAAAATGTTTACGCTTCTGCGACAGAGACATCTATCAATTGCATTGAAAACAAAAGTGTATGATGGTGATATTGCAAAACAAAATTGTTTAATATTGGTATTCAAATTGATTTATAGATAACCAGCATTATTGAATTTCCCTCAACGGTCTCCCCATAAATTTGCACATTTGCATATCACTGTATTCCATGGTTTCTTATATTATGTGGGTCAAAGGAAGATAACAAAATTTGGATTGAGAAAAGGTGTTCACAATGACAGGTGTTCGGTTTTAAGCTGTTAAAGAGATCGAGTCGTCCAGATTTCTGTTCTGGACAATCAGTAATGTCCCAATATAATTGCTCATGAAACATCATATATATCTTAGATATATCTTGAGACCAAATCATAAGCACGATATCGACAATATATTGAGGATATCAACAGGACAACCAAAAGAACAACCAAGTGTCAGAATTGAACGCAATAAGTCGAAAACAGAATACAATGTTTCTTGGGGATTTATCTATATTGTAACCACTTAGAAGTAACAATAAATATGGCTTCTCTAAGCCAAAATAATCTGAAGGAAAAAGCCAATCTGACGGGAACAAATTTGAGCGGGCTTTTTAAATTTTAATATGAATTCCTATTGATGTAAGTGGAAAATCATGGCTAGGAACAATCATCGAATTGATACTGTTAACGAATTAATTCAAGCCTCAGAATTCATAAGTTGATAAACAAACTTGTTTTACATCAAATAACATGAAAAGATATGCATTCTACACTCACCATATTATGAATGGAAAGAGGCCTACAACAAATCATAATTTTAATAAAAATATTGACTTTTATTGGTTACACATATAAGCGTACAATTCCTTAATTTTCATAATCAGCTGTATGAATTATACAGCTAACAGTTTTTTAAGATTACATGTACCAGTATATATGGTGTAAATGATAACTGATAATGAATCATAATGTTAGCACTCTGTACACATATTGATTGCATGTACAGTCTACTTTCATTTCTCACGTACATGTAAACTCTCATTGCTTTTATTGATTCTCTGTACATTGCACTCTCATTGATTGAATGTGCATTTTACTTTCATTGATTATCTGTACGTTGCACTCTCATTGATTGAATGTGCATTTTGCTTTTATTGATTGTCTGTACATTGCACTCTCATTGATTGAATGTGCATTTTACTTTCATTGATTATCTGTACGTTGCACTCTCATTGATTGAATGTGCATTTTGCTTTTATTGATTGTCTGTACATTGCACTCTCATTGATTGAATGTGCATTTTACTTTCATTGATTGTCTGTACGTTGCACTCTCATTGATTGAATGTCCATTTTGCTTTCATTAATTGTTTGTGAATTCCACTCACATTGATTGAATGTGCATTTTGCATTCATTGATTGTTTGTACATTGCACTCTCATTGATTGAATGTGCATTTAGCTTTCATTGATTGTTTGTGAATTCCACTCACATTGATTGAATGTGCATTTTGCATTCATTGATTGTTTGTACATTGCACTCTCATTGATTGAATGTGCATTTAGCTTTCATTGATTGTTTGTGAATTCCACTCACATTGATTGAATGTGCATTTTGCGTTCATTGATTGTTTGTACATTGCACTCTCATTGATTGAATGTGCATTTTGCTTTCATTGATTATGTACTTTGTAATCACATTGACCAATTGTGCATTTTGCTTTCATTGATTATTTGTACATTGCACTCTCATTAACCCTTTCCCAACATGAGTATAAGAGGAAAATGTTGGCCCTGGTGACGGATAAGTAAGAGCAGTTTTTAGGGGAAAACTGCAAAATACCTACGCCCCGGGACCTATACCCTGAATTTTATACTGAAATACAATTTCTAGTAAGGATTATCACATTAGAACAACTTGTCAAAATTTGGTGTAAAAATACTGAATAGAACTGGAGATATTGTCATTTCATTGATGTATATAGATAAAAATAATGGTGCCAAAAGGAGCCTATCGTCCTGAAAGGTATTACATAATAGGGCTCCATATGGAGCCTATCGTCGTGAAAGGGTTAATTGGACGTGCATTTTCTGTTCATCGATTATAATATGTACATTGTACTCACATTGAATGAATGTGTATTTTCTTTCATTGATTTTATGTTCACTGTGCTCTCATTGGTCGCATTTACATTATACTCTTATAAATGATATGTACATTGTGCTTTTTAATTGGTCGCATTTACATTATACTCTTATTAATCATATGTATATTGTGCTCTTAATTGATTGCATATGCATTGTCAGATTGTGTTCAATCGATTGTGTGTACATTGTGCTCATTGGCTGCATATCATTAAGTTCAATTGATTGTAAGTTCATTGTGCTCTCATTGATTGCACATACATTGTGTTCAATTGATTGTGTGTACATTGTGCTCTCATTGACTGCATATACATTGTGTTCAATTGATTGTGTGTACATTGTGATCTCATTGATTGCATATGCATTGTGTTCAATTGACTGTATGTACATTGTGCTCTCATTGATTGAATGTTCATTGTGCTCTCATTAATTGCATATGCATTGTGTTCAGTTGATTGTGTGGACATTGTGCTCTCATTGATTGCATATGCATTGTGTTCAATTGATTGTGTGTACATTGTGATCTCATTGATTGCATATGCATTGTGTTCAATTGACTGTATGTACATTGTGCTCTCATTGATTGAATGTTCATTGTGCTCTCATTAATTGCATATGCATTGTGTTCAATTGATTGTGTGGACATTGTGCTCTCATTGTGTGCATATGCATTGTGTTCAATTGATTGTGTGTACATTGTGCTCTCATTGATTGAATGTACATTGTGCTCTCATTAATTGCATATGCATTGTGTTCCGATTGACTGTGTGCACATTGTGCTCTCAATGAAATCATAAACATTGTACTCTCTTTGATTGCAGGTACAGTGTATTGTTCTTCCATTGATTGGCTGTACAGTCTGTTCTCATTGATTATATGTCATTGTCCTCTCATTTATTTCACATATCCTGTTCTTTCTTTGATTGCATGTACATCGTGCTTTCATAGATTCGATGTACAGTTTGCTCTTAATGACTGTATGTAGCTTTTACCAGGTTAACTGAATTTATAGTATAACATACATGTATGTACATGCGCTCTAGTTTGATGACAAAAATAGATTTTTTCATCTTTTGTTATACTTGAATATATTTTCGGTAAAAATTACAAAACTTAACTGATTTTGAAAATATAGTCCCTCTATATTGTATATATGACAAAAATATAACAATTTGACTATCAATGCAGTCAAAATGTAGCAGAAATATCAATTTGGCAGCAAAGGACAAAATGTAAAATGTTGGAGGCAAAATTTTCAATAAACCTGGCAATTTGTTCCTTATAGTAATTCCAATATCAAGCTGAAAAAAAGATTTGAGGCATCTGATCAAAAATTGAAGTACGTAGAAAGGTCTAGATTGAAATGAAAAATGAAAAAGGGACACCCACCTTTTTCAAGATTTACCAATTGATCTTATAAAATCAAGGCCTTTCATGAAATAGAGTATGAACTAATGGAGCTTTTAAAAATGAAATATGCCATGGACACTGCTACCCACCTAGTTACACAGACGTATCGTCAGTGTATCATGGCTGAACTACTTCCGGGATTTGAATTTGGTAAGATATTTTTATTTCTCGATTTACAGCTACTTATAAGTCACGATGTGGATTATAATTTGGCTCGAAGTTATGGGAGATAGTCTAGTTTGAGAATGTGTCGATGGTTTTAGGTTTGGTATGTTAACGAAGATGCATTTCACATATTTAGTCCCTCGCTTTTATTACACTGACAATCGGCATTAATATTGGCAATATTACACTGATATTGGTCATTCGTCAGTGTAACAAAAGCGAGGGACTAAATACGTGAATTGTGTCTTCGTTAACATATAAAACCTAAAACCATCGACACATTCTCAAACTAGACTATCTTCCTTAAATTCGAGCCAAATTATTACCCACAACGTGACTTATAAGTAGGTGTAAATCGGGAAATAAAAAAATCTTACCGAAACCTAGTCCCGGAAGTAGTTCCGCCATGATACACTGACGATACGTCTGTGTAGCTAGGTGGGTAGCAGTGATGGAGTGCTAACTGTGAACAAAAATATCTTTAATAAAAAATTACCCACAGCTTGTATTTGTCTTTTGTTGCCTATTTAAGTAATGCTATAGCACCATAGGTGGCTATGAAAGAAACACAGTACAGTTATGAAAACCTATCTAAGTGGAACACCTGAAAACAGTGTTCCCCTTAGGAGGTGTTCAACTTATACAGAACTTTGAAATGTTTCATCTAGAAAGGTGCAGAGGTGTTCTGTTTACAGAGGTCTTCTATTTTTTGGATTTTACTCTATACATTATTTTCTATATGGAGTATGTGAAAACATACTTTCGGTGATATCATTTTATGAACAAGCTTGTGTCTCACTTTCGACAAAATATAACATACAAATATTATATATACAAATATAAGGATGACATCAGTAGTCTTACATTAACCAACACATTAACCATTTAATTGATGTCATATGATATGTAGATGACATCATCAATAATATTGTTAGAAACATTTTATATGAATATAGTTCATGTTCTAAACCAAAATTGAGCTTTTAGAGCATGTTTCTGTTCCCTTTGCATAGCTTATCAAATCTAAATAAAATACATTGTAATTACAAGGTACATACAATTGTGCATATTATTGTATATAATGTTTCATGTTATTACAATATTTCAACAAGAAAACAGCAAATCCAGCGAGTAGTAGATCCCATGGAACAAAACATGTTTTGATAAAGAGTAGCCATCTTAAAAATTTCTTCTTGAGCAGAGTTCCTTTATCTCTAGGTATCAGCATAGAAATTTCAACCAAATCTGTCCACTGGTATTTAAGTTATCAAAGATTGATTTTTTAACAAAATGGTAGCCATATTAAATTCAGCTGTCATCCTGAATATTTCTTCTCAAGCAGAGCTCTTTTGTCATCAAAAAAATTTGAACGAAATCTGTACACTAGTATTTGGGTCATCAAAGATCAAGTTTTTCTTACGAAAAATGGTGGCCATTTTGAAATTCAGCTGCCATCTTTGAAATTTCTTCTCAAGCAGTGCTCCTGTGTCCCTAGGCATCAGCATATCAAATCTGAACCAAATCTGTCCACTGTTATTTGAGTTATTAGTTAAAATTACTTTTTTACAAAAAATGGCAGCCATTTTAAAATTCAGTGGTACTCCAGTGAGCAGAGTTCCTTCATCCCTAAGTATCAGCATATAAAGTTTGAACAAAATCAGTCAATCATTGTTTGAGTTCTCAAAAACAAAATGTGGCATTTTTAATTGTACGGCCATATTGAAAATTCTTTCTCAGCAGAGGTCCTACACCGATAAGGTATAACCTTATAATATTTGAATCAAATCCATAAACCAGTATTTGAGTTATCAACCGGACAAACAAATGAATGGACAAACGCAGACAGCTTCTCTATATCCCTAAGAACTTCGTTCGGTGGGACAATAAAACACAATATCTTGCATTACAAAAATGATTTTGAATATATCATGCGTGGTATGTACTGTACATAAAATACTTTAATGCCTAAATTATCAAAAAGTAAAGATTTCAAATAAAATGTTGTACCTAAGATTTAAACAGTATGTGACTATAAATATACAAAAGATCCTAACTACGAAATCTTAACTGTCAATATTCTAAAGCAAATTTACTGAATACAAGTATTATAAAATTTACATACTTCCATGAAAATATATTCACATTTTAACTGTTAAATATTCCCTTGGACTGTATAATATTTTCACATGGTGTATTAACTTTCATTTGGTATGTTAAATACTTTCCAATGGTATGTTAGATTTAATATTTTTACATCTTGTGAATGTATTTCATGATGCCTTCCCATTGTGCATTTCAGAATATGTTCCCATGGCATATTTCGCTCACATCGTTTAATTTGGACCATAGGAAGAAAACCTTGTCTTACAAACTTAAAATTTAGATAAAATGTAAATATTGGGAGCAAACCTTTAAAAAGGAAGCCTTACAATCCTAATTTTACAGAATTTAAATGTTGGGAGCAGGCTTTCCGAGCACCACCACACTGCAATGCTGCAATGCGCTAACACTGCAATGTACTAATGCTGCAATATTTGACAGTGAGAGGAACTTTTTCAATAATTCAATAGTTCTTAAATATCTGTAAATCTGATGGCTTTCCTCTAGTCATTAACCTATCATGAAAATGCACATCACATGAAGAATTCTTCTTATCGTTTTTCAAGAAAATAAATCAAATTTCCACTTTCGAATGAGATCATGATTTTATTGCAAAGGCTGAGTTTTGAGAAACAACTGTGGCGAGGTAGTTCATAGTTACTCTTGGGATGATTCACTTCTTCAATTGCAACTTTTCTCTTTTTGCACTCAACAAATTGTATTGCAATTCCATATTGCACCCTTTGCAACAACAGTTTCTCTTTGGTCAGAAAGATCAAATATAAAATCACAACATGACTGGTTAAGACTTGGCATGCTAGGTTTTCAAATGACTACAGATATGACATGTATCTCTTCTGTAGCAAATAATAGCAATGAGGTTAACTTCTCACTGCCCAGAACCTCATCTGGGTATTTCAAACTTATATCCCTAACCCTGAAATATTTTAAACCCAGGAAAAATGGGAAAAGTAAAAGTAAAATGTCACCTAAACAGACATTTCAAATTTTCCAGTATCTATTGGTAGTCAGGTACTATTTAAAAATATTTACACTGTATTGCTTATCTACTTTGACTAGCACTGTTATTCAGAGTATTCTTCTGAAGTATTGAAGTGTTAAAACTTCAGTGAGAGAATGTCAGATACAAGGTTTATGTATCAGAGTATATGAAATATATACAGATATATAAATATATCATGGTCTATCTGAGCATTGTTCGCATTCTCCAAGTGCTCCATTCTCTGTGCACACCATACATTAACCTCCTAGTAACAGAACTGTGTATACTGTAAGGAGTTTTCATCTTTGGGATCCAATCATAACTGGTAAAATAAATGATACCGTAAAGGTTTGGATTATCTGCATTTGGCCTCTAAAATATGGAAGATCAAAATTTTGGTTTACCAACTGAAGAGGGCAAACTTAGAACTTAAAGAGAAATGTAATGTATTGGGAGAATGCATCGTCATTTCAGTTGTATCATTGTTGGCACATTGAGATTATAGCTATGATATCGCACAATTGCACAAAGACTCCTTAGAAACACTATGACTAATATATACACTGTTTAGGCTCCTTAAAAGCACTGTTATTTCTTCAGGTTCATTGATTCCCCTAGCGAGGAAAGAGTTTTCTTGACTCTCAGTGCAGTGAGGCGTGCAGCACCGTTGTGAAACCAGCATTCTTTCATAACTTTACCCATAACTTGCATGGCCTGAAATACAAATTGTAGAAGAAAAATGTAAAGTATTCGAAAGCGTGTAAGCAATATCCAAACAGATAAAAATTTTCCCCCAAAATGTCATCTAAAATAGTTGTCTCATGATAGAACTTAAAAGTTCAATAAAGCACAATTGGAAGTTTGAAAAAAATATAAATAGGTAAATAAGTACAGCCATTTTTATTGGTATTTATTGAACAACCCTCATACATAAATGCAAAAAGTAGTTCCCACTAAAGGAAAACATAGATGGCTCCTTGGAAAATAACTAGATTCAAACTTGTTTGGTTGTAAAGAATGCTATCGTAAATAAATTTTTGACGAAAATCCAAAAATAAAATGAGAGCATTGACATTACTGCCTTAGGTCACTGTATCTTTCCACAATTGGCTCATAGTATTTATGAATAATAATAATAAAAAGGTTCCATGAGAATGTAAGTGTTAGGGGTCCCACGATACATTACCTTTAATTTCAATACCAGCAACGATATTTACCCCACGATATGATACAAACGATACGAGCAATGTAAGAGCGTAACAAATACTTTTTTATTTTTTAAAAATATATGGGTAAACAAGACAAATGTACCAACCGCCGAATTTCGAACTTGTGAAACAGTATGAAGCTATGAATGTCTTCCTACAACTGATGTCCACTAGTGTCCGGTGTCCATTCATGGTTTATATTTTTATTTCACATTCTTTTTCCAAGTTTTTTCATTAAACAAAACCAGATATCCTTTATTGGGGGTACATTCTATGCCAGATTACACAAGGAAAATAACAAAATGGAAAAATAGGAAGATACAATGATTTTGCTGATTTGGGAGGTTAAAAACGATACAGAATTTTAACCTTTATTCAAGTTTACTATCGATACGTTCGTATCGTGTCTAATTGCTCGAGCAAATCCATGCAATCGCAAGACCCCTAGTAAGTGTGCATGATCCCTAAATTACGCAGACTCCAGATATGGAGTTTACAGTCATTTTTTAAAATCTATAAACCGAGCCATGTTGGGTATTCAGTTGTATCTCATACTTGAGTGGGTTTGGGGTAGATATCAGCCGGGAATATATATCGTATCTGAGGAGCGGGCAGGATATATTGTATATGTCCCGCTCCAGGCCAAATGCGGGCAGATATAATATATCCATCCCGCTCCCGGGAATTTTTCAAAAGTTTATATTGAACAAAAAGAATATTACGAAAATGTTAAATATAAATATCTTGTCATTTGAAAAAGGTGGAAAAGGTTATACAGGCCTGTCAACTGTCCCGCAATTTGCGTATTTGTCACGCATTTGCTGAAGAATTTGAAGTCACGCCAGTTTTTTTTGCGTGACACAAAATGTCACGCAAATACGCATTTTACCTGGTAATTGTCACGCAAATATGTTTCTGTAAAAATTTTTTCAAAATATGTTTATGATACGGTAAAAATACGAACGTCGGAAAAAAACGAACGCAATTTGTTCGGATTTGTCACGCGAATCCCGTATATGTCACGCATGTTCATTGGAAATTTTCGTACCTACCCCCCCCCCCCCCCCCCCGTTGACGACATAGCGAGCGTAGCGAGCGCGAAAAATTTGAGGTTATAAAAGTTTAGCAAAGGTGCTCAAACTTTGGCCAAAGGTGTTTAAAAGTTGGCCAAAGGTGTTCAAAATTTGGACAAAAGTGTTCAGATTTGGACTTCGGTGTCCAACATTTGTAAGTCACTCATATTAGGTGGTCCCAAGTTGACAGCCCTGTTATATCTACCCTAAACCCACTCAAGTATGAGATACACCAGTTATGCACGGTCGGTTTGGATACATGGAATGTCCCTTGGGATATACAATACATCTTCCCTCGGTCCCTTCGGTTCCTCAGGAAAATATATTGTATATCCCTCGGGATATTCCCTGTATCCAAAACCTCCCAGTGCATAACCCCTATATATTCATATATGTGTAGATGATACCTGATGAATAGGAAAATGTGTAAATAGTTGTGTACTTCATTCTATAGCGACACAATGGGCATTGAACATTCGTTTTCATTTTTGGCCAAAATAACAATTAGTATTAGTAAGAATTTACTTGGTGAAATCCTTTCCCAGGATCCAAGTACATTCATGATACAAAATATCATGATACATCACCAAATTACAAGTTCAAAAATCAATAAGCTTATCCTCGCCAAGTCTTTAGGGGTAGCACAAGCATATGCCTGATAAGATTTCTCATTCTTCATAGAATCAAACAGAATCAATGACATTACAGATGCAAAATCAATTTTTATCAGTATCTTGATTACCAATAATATTGAAGGCTGTAAAAATAGCAATATCCAAATCTATGTGTTGGAGAGAGGTTCAAAATTTTACTGCGTCACTATAGAATGAAGAACACAACTGTTTACAGAATTTCCTTTCAGGTGTCATCAACACAAATAGAATAAAAGTATTTTAACAAAGACAAGAATAATTTTTCATCATTATAAACGTACCTCATTTGTTTGCCATCTGTTTGGAACTGAAGGTCTGAGTTTGTCTGCACACACAACTTTCTTCATGTCTTCAATGCTGGGATCTGAGGGAACCAGATCATAGTAGGGGAGTTGATACTCATCAACAATACCTGAAACACACCATCCCATGTTATTAGAGTGGGCACCAGATCATAGTAAGGGAGTTGATACTCATCAACAATACCTGAAACATACCAACCCATGTTATTAGAGTGGGCACCAGATCATAGTAGGGGAGTTGATACTCATCAACAATACCTGAAACATACCAACCCATGTTATTAGAGTGGGCACCAGATCATAGTAGGGGAGTTGATACTCATCAACAATACCTGAAACACACCATCCCATGTTATTAGAGTGGGCACCAGATCATAGTAGGGGAGTTGATACTCATCAACAATACCTGAAACACACCATCCAATGTTATTAGAGTGGGCACCAGATCATAGTAGGGGAGTTGATACTCATCAACAATACCTGAAACACACCATCCCATGTTATTAAAGTGGGCACCAGATCATAGTAGGGGAGTTGATACTCATCAACAATACCTGAAACATACCAACCCATGTTATTAGAGTGGGCACCAGATCATAGTAGGGGAGTTGATACTCATCAACAATACCTGAAACACACCATCCCATGGTATTAGAGTGGGCACCAGATCATAGTAGGAGAGTTGATACTCATCAACAATACCTGAAACACACCATTGCATGTTATTAGAGTGGGCACCAAATCATTGTAGGGGAGTTGATACTCATCAACAATACCTGAAACACACCATCCAATGTTATTAGAGTGGGCACCAGATCATAGTAGGGGAGTTGATACTCATCAACAATACCTGAAACACACCATCCCATGTTATTAAAGTGGGCACCAGATCATAGTAGGGGAGTTGATACTCATCAACAATACCTGAAACATACCAACCCATGTTATTAGAGTGGGCACCAGATCATAGTAGGGGAGTTGATACTCATCAACAATACCTGAAACACACCATCCCATGTTATTAGAGTGGGCACCAGATCATAGTAGGAGAGTTGATACTCATCAACAATACCTGAAACACACCATTGCATGTTATTAGAGTGGGCACCAAATCATTGTAGGGGAGTTGATACTCATCAACAATACCTGAAACAAACCATCCCATGTTATTAGAGTGGGCACCAGATCATAGTAGGGGAGTTGATACTCATCAACAATACCTGAAACACACCATCCCATGTTATTAGAGTGGGGACCAGATGATAGTAGGGGAGTTGATACTCATCAACAATACCTGAAACACACCATCCCATGTTATTAGAGTGGGCACCAGATCATAGTAGGAGAGTTGATACTCATCAACAATACCTGAAACACACCATCCCATGTTATTAGAGTGGGCACCAGATCATAGTAGGGGAGTTGATACTCATCAACAATACCTGAAACACACCATCCCATGTTATTAGAGTGGGCACCAGATCATAGTAGGAGAAGTGATACTCATCAACAATACCTGAAACACACCATTGCATGTTATTAGAGTGGGCACCAAATCATTGTAGGGGAGTTGATACTCATCAACAATACCTGAAACAAACCTTCCCATGTTATTAGAGTGGGCACCAGATCATAGTAGGGGAGTTGATACTCATCAACAATACCTGAAACACACCATCCCATGTTATTCGAGTGGTCACCAGATCATAGTAGGGGAGTTGATACTCATCAACAATACCTGAAACACACCATTGCATGTTATAAGAGTGGGCACCAGATCATAGTAGGGGAGTTGATACTCATCAACAATACCTGAAACACACCATCCCATGTTATTAGAGTGGGCACCAGATCATATTCGGAGAGTTGATACTCATCAACAATACCTGAAACACACCAACCCACGTTATTAGAGTGGGCACCAGATCATAGTAGGGGAGTTGATACTCATCAACAATACCTGAAACACACCATTGCATGTTATTAAAGTGGGCACCAGATCATAGTAGGGGAGTTCATACTCATCAACAATACCTGAAACACACCAACCCATGTTATTAGAGTGGGCACCAGATCATAGTAGGGGAGTTGATACTCATCAACAATACCTGAAACACACCATCCCATGTTATTAGAGTGGGGACCAGATCATAGTAGGGGAGTTGATACTCATCAACAATACCTGAAACACACCATCCCATGTTATTAGAGTGGGCACCAGATCATAGTAGGAGAGTTGATACTCATCAACAATACCTGAAACACACCATTGCATGTTATTAGAGTGGGCACCAAATCATTGTAGGGGAGTTGATACTCATCAACAATACCTGAAACAAACCATCCCATGTTATTAGAGTGGGCACCAGATCATAGTAGGGGAGTTGATACTCATCGACAATACCTGAAACACACCATCCCATGTTATTTGAGTGGGCACCAGATCATAGTAGGGGAGTTGATACTCATCAACAATATCTAAAACACACCATCCCATGTTATTAGAGTGGGCACCAGATCATAGTAGGAGAGTTGATACTCATCAACAATACCTGAAACACACCATTGCATGTTATTAGAGTGGGCACCAAATCATTGTAGGGGAGTTGATACTCATCAACAATACCTGAAACAAACCATCCCATGTTATAAGAGTGGGCACCAGATCATAGTAGGGGAGTTGATACTCATCAACAATATCTAAAACACACCATCCCATGTTATTAGAGTGGGCACCAGATCATAGTAGGGGAGTTGATACTCATCAACAATACCTAAAACACACCATCCCATGTTATTAGAGTGGGCACAAGATCATAGTAGGAGAGTTGATACTCATCAACAATACCTGAAACACACCATCCCATGTTATTAGAGTGGGCACCAGATCATAGTAGGGGAGTTGATACTTATCAACAATACCTGAAACACACCATCCCATGTTATTAGAGTGGGCACCAGATCATAGTAGGGGAGTTGATACTCATCAACAATACCTGAAACACACCATCCCATGTTATTAGAGTGGGCACCAGATCACAGTAGGGGAGTTGATACTCATCAACAATACCTGAAACACACCATCCCATGTTATTAGAGTGGGCACCAGATCATAGTAGGGGAGTTGATACTTATCAACAATACCTAAAACACACCATCCCATGTTATTAGAGTGGGCACCAGATCATAGTAGGGGAGTTGATACTCATCAACAATACCTAAAACACACCATCCCATGTTATTAGAGTGGGCACCAGATCATAGTAGGGGAGTTGATACTCATATCAACAATACCTGAAACACACCATCCCATGTTATTAGAGTGGGCACCAAATCATAGTAGGGGAGTTGATACTCATCAACAATACCTGAAACACACCATCCCATGTTATTAGAGTGGGCACCAGATCATAGTAGGGGAGTTGATACTCATCAACAATACCTGAAACACACTATCCCATGTTATTAGAGTGGGCACCAGATCATATTCGGAGAGTTGATACTCATCAACAATACCTGAAACACACCAACCCACGTTATTAGAGTGGGCACCAGATCATAGTAGGGGAGTTGATACTCATCAACAATACCTGAAACACACCATTGCATGTTATTAAAGTGGGCACCAGATCATAGTAGGGGAGTTCATACTCATCAACAATACCTGAAACACACCAACCCATGTTATTAGAGTGGGCACCAGATCATAGTAGGGGAGTTGATACTCATCAACAATACCTGAAACACACCATCCCATGTTATTAGAGTGGGCACCAGATCATAGTAGGGGAGTTGATACTCATCAACAATACCTGAAACACACCATCCCATGTTATTAAAGTGGGCACCAGATCATAGTAGGGGAGTTGATACTCATCAACAATACCTGAAACACACCATCCCATGTTATTAGAGTGGGCACCAGATCATAGTAGGGGAGTTCATACTCATCAACAATACCTGAAACACACCAACCCATGTTATTAGAGTGGGCACCAGATCATAGTAGGGGAGTTGATACTCATCAACAATACCTGAAACACACCATCCCATGTTATTAGAGTGGTCACCAGATCATAGTAGGGGAGTTGATACTCATCAACAATACCTGAAACACACCATCCAATGTTATTAAAGTGGGCACCAGATCATAGTAGGGGAGTTGATACTCATCAACAATACCTGAAACACACCATCCCATGTTATTAGAGTGGGCACCAGATCATAGTAGGGGAGTTGATACTCATCAACAATACCTGAAACACACCATCCCATGTTATTAGAGTGGGCACCAGATCATAGTAGGGGAGTTGATACTCATCAACAATACCTGAAACACACCATCCCATGTTATTAGAGTGGGGACCAGATCATAGTAGGGGAGTTGATACTCATCAACAATACCTGAAACACACCATCCCATGTTATTATTAGAGTGGCCACCAGATCATAGTAGGAGAGTTGATACTCATCAACAATACCTGAAACACACCATTGCATGTTATTAGAGTGGGCACCAAATCATTGTAGGGGAGTTGATACTCATCAACAATACCTGAAACAAACCATCCCATGTTATTAGAGTGGGCACCAGATCATAGTAGGGGAGTTGATACTCATCAACAATACCTGAAACACACCATCCCATGTTATTCGAGTGGGCACCAGATCATAGTAGGGGAGTTGATACTCATCAACAATATCTAAAACACACCATCCCATGTTATTAGAGTGGGCACCAGATCATAGTAGGGGAGTTGATACTTATCAACAATACCTGAAACACACCATCCCATGTTATTAGAGTGGGCACCAGATCATAGTAGGGGAGTTGATACTCATCAACAATACCTGAAACACACCATCCCATGTTATTAGAGTGGGCACCAGATCACAGTAGGGGAGTTGATACTCATCAACAATACCTGAAACACACCATCCCATGTTATTAGAGTGGGCACCAGATCATAGTAGGGGAGTTGATACTTATCAACAATACCTAAAACACACCATCCCATGTTATTAGAGTGGGCACCAGATCATAGTAGGGGAGTTGATACTCATCAACAATACCTAAAACACACCATCCCATGTTATTAGAGTGGGCACC